ATGAGGATGGTATCAGCAAGGATAGATGGTGTGGTTGACCTTAGAGTATGGTGTCCAGGAAAGACACTCAGGTTTAGAGGTGATCACCAGATGCCTCTAATCCACTGGGTGAGACATGACATGGATTTATCTTCTTTGGGCCTGGTTCCTTATCTGCAAACTGGTGGAACAAATGCTACCACCTTCATCAAATTAGTATGAGGATTCAGTGAATGAATCATTGCCAGCCCCCCAGAACAGAGCTTGACATAAAGAAAACAACGTTCAAGTCTGTTTAACACAAATATGCCTTGAAAGATAGTTTTCTTTCTCTTCAGGGTTTTACACATTGTTGGAATCTGTTGTTCCACCTTGAGAGGCCCCAGATACCCAAGGTCTACGTTGCTAAGTTTTGTAGCAAAAGTTGGGCAGGACTAAGAATTATTAATAATATATGCTCTCTCCATTTCCACACCGACATTAAAGACTTACTATAAAACTACAATAATCTAGACAGTGTGGCCCTGGATGCTGTTGCTCAGTGGATTGGGCACCAACCTGAGAACAAAAGAGTCACCAGTTCAATTCCCCATCAGGGCACATGCCTGGGTTGCAGGCCAGGTTCCCATAGGGGGCGTGCGAGAAGCAACCACACACTGATGTTTCTCTTTCTCTTTTCTCCCTCCCTCCCTATCTCTCTCTCTCAAAATAAATAAATAAAATCATTTTTTAAAAAGACAGTGTGATGTTGGCAAAAGAATAGACAAATAAATGAATCGAAAAGAATAGGAAGCCCACCAGCAGACCCACACAATGTAGTCAACTGGTGTTTGACAAAGAAGCAAAGACAATGTAATGAAGCAAAGATAGTCTCTTCAACAAATGGTTCCAGAACAGCTGAATATCCACCTGCAAAAAAAAATAAGAAGAATAATCTACACACAGACCTTACGGCGTTCACAAAAATTGACTCAAATTAGATCAGAGACCTAAATTTGACATGTAAATTATAAGGCTCCTACAAGATAGGAGAACTTTTTACTATTCCAGGGTGTCTATTTCTTCACATCTGACCCAGACATTCATTCCCTGGTAACCTTACCTTCATGCTATGGATGAAGTTTAGGTTTAAAAAGATGAGAAATTTGGCAGGAGGTAGAATGAATGTGGGAGGTTGGGGTGGTGGGTTGGGTGGAAGAGAATAACAGGAGGGGGAAATGGAGACAACTGTAATTAAACAAAAAATAAAAATAGAAAAATAAAAAGATGAGAAATTGGCCCAGGCTGGGGAGTTCAGTTGAAGTATTGCCCCATACACCCCCCCAAAAAAAAATTTGTGGGTTCAATCCTGTCAGGGCACATACCTAGGTTGCAGTTTCGACCCTGGGTCAGTGTGCATATGAGAAGCAACAGATCAATGTTTCTCTCTCTCTCTCTCTCTCTCTCTCTCTCTCTCTCATCAATAAGCATATCAGGTGAAGATTTTTAAATAAAAATTAAAAATTAATTAATTAAAAATCAAAAGATGAGCAGTTGTGCTGGCTGGGTCACTCAGTTAGTTAGGGTGTCAGACCGACACACCAAGGTTGTAGGTTTAATCCTCAGTCAGGGCACATACAGGAATCAACCAATGAATGCATCAATAAGTGGGACAACAAATGATGTTTTTCTCCCCCTTCCTCTCTCTCTCTCTCTCAAAATCAATAACAAAATTTTAAGATGAGCATTAAGATATCTTATGGGGGAGGAGAAAGACAAAATGTCCTATGGGTCTGGAGATATCTTTCTCATCTACAAGAGAGCTTGCCCCATCATCTCCCTCAAAGGAGCTACCCCTGCCTCCCCACCCCCCATGAATTGGTATATAACTGTTTGCGCAGGCTGAGTGTGATTGAAAACTTAGCACATACGTAACCAGCTTCCTCACACACGCAACCTGTGGTCAACATGGAAACTGGTGGGTGGCCCCGGGTTCTCACTCACTACTTCCTTCATGAGCACTTCCTGTGTACTCATCAAGGCTAAGGTTTCCAAATCATGGAAAGTTGGCTTGAAGCACTCAACTTTATTCTTAGCAAGTCCTATAGATTGGAGGCCCGAGTATGGAAGGATAAGACAGTAGCAATCAGACAGGGACCCTGGACCCAGGGAGAGCAGAGCTTCCAACTTCAGGTCAGAATATGCCAAGGAGTTTGATTGACATCCAAGCTATCATTTAAATCAAGAGTGGACATCGTTGCAGAGACAAGTATAAAGGATACATGGACAATAACAAGGGAGGGTTGGAAATGGGAGAGAGTTGGGGAGGGCTGGGGGCGTGGGCTGGGATGGGGGTAAAAGATAGAAAACTGTACTTAAACAACAATTAAAATAAAATAAAATAAAGAGTGGACATCCCACTTTAGCATTTCTTTTCCAGGATAGCTTCTTTTTTTTTAGTTTTTAAAAAATTTTTAAATTTTATTTTTAGAGAGGGGGAATAGGAGGGAGAAAGAGAAAGAAAGAAAAATCAATGTGTGGTTACTTCACATACACCCCTACTGGGGACATGGCTTGAAAATCAGGCATGTGCCCTGAGTGGGAATCAAACCAGCACTGCTTTATTTCACAGGCCAGCGTTCAATCCACTAAGCCACACCAGGGCTCCAAGGTAGCTTCTGACTAAAATGTTATACACACATGAGAATGACATCTTCCCTCAAAATGTTAGAAAACAGCCCTGACCCATACTACTCAGTGGATGGATCTGGAGATTAATTTGCTCAGTGAAATGAGCCAGTTAGAAAAAGGCAAATACCATATGATCTCACTTATATACGGAATCTAATGAGCAAAATAAACTGATGAACAAAACAGTAACAGAGGCATGGACACATGGGACAGACAGACAACTGTCCAGGGAGAGGGGGGTTGGGAGACTGGTTGAAAAGAAAGCTAAGGGATTGAGAAAAATATGTATATGTATATATAAATACATAGACACAGCCAACAGTGTGGTGATAGTCAGAGGGAAAGAGGATGAAGGCATAGGAGGAAGTGAGGAGGTGGAAGTGGAGGGGCGGGTAAATGGGAACAGAAACAGACTTTGCTTGGGGTGATGGGCTCATGATGCCCTGTGCAGAAAATGTTTTATTGAGTTGTACACTTGAAACCTGCACCCCTAAATTCAAGGTGGATAAAAGACTTAAATATAAGCAGTGACACCATTAAAGTCCTAGAGGAGAACATTGGCAGGAAAATCTCAGATATTTCACGCAGCAACATTTTTACTGATATGTCCCCTAGAGCAAGGGATATAAAGAAAAGAATAAACAAATGGGATCTCATCAAAATAAAAAACTTCGGCATGGCTAAAGAAAACAGCATTAAATAAAAACAAAGATGTTTCTCTCCCTCTCTCCTTCCCTTCCCCTCTAAAGATAAATAAATAAAATCTTAAAAAAAAATAAAAAGACAACCAATTGTATGGGAAAACATCTTTGCCAATGATATCTCAGACAGATTTAATCTCCAAAATATACAAAGAACTCAGACGACTTCACTCTAAGAAGACAACTAACCCAATTAAAAAATGGGCAAAGGACTTGAACAGACACTTCTCCAAGGAGGACATACAGAGGATCCACAGACACATGAAAAGATGTTCAATGTCACTAGCTATCAGAGAGATGCAAATTAAAAGCACAATGAGATACCACTTTACATCAGTCAGAATGTCTGTCATAACACAACAAACAACAAATGTTGGAGAGGTTGTGGGGAAAAGGGGTCCCTAGTTCACCGTTGGGATTGCAGACTAGTACAACCACTATGGAAAACAGTATGGAATTTTCTAAGAAAACTAAAAATGGACCTGCCTTTTGACCCAGCAATTCCACTGCTGGGATTATATCCTAAACCAAAACCAAAAAAAGGCAACGAAAGAAAAAAAAGAACCCTAAAACACCAATCCAAAAGGACCTATGCACCCCAATGTTCATAGCAGCACAATTTACAATAGCCAAGAGCTGGAAGCAACCTAGGTGCCCATCAGTAAATGAACCGGTCAAAAAATTGTGGCACATATACACATGGAATTCTATGTAGCAGAAAGAAAGAAGGAGCTACTACCCTTTGCAACAACATGGATGGAACCGGAAAGCATTATGCTGAGTGAAATAAGCCAGGTGTTGAAAGACAAATACCATATGATCTCAGCTTTAACATAAACCTAAACAACAAAACAAACAAGCAAGCAAAATAAAAACCAAGACACTAAAATAGAGAACAGGGGGACAGTGACCAGAGGGAAGAGGGGAGGGAATTTCAGGGGAAAAAGGGGAAGGATTTACAGGAACTTATGTATAAAGGACACATGTACAACAACTAAGGGGGGTGGAAATGGGAGAGAAGTGGGGAGCACGGAGTGGGGTGGGCTGGGATAGGAGTAAAAAACAGAAAACTGTACTTGAACAGTAATTAAATTTAAAAAAAGAAAAAAAAGAAACCTGCACCCCAACAAATTCAACAAAAAAAACCACTGCTAATAATAGACACACTCAAGTCAAAAAAAATTTAATATGAATGTAACATTTTAATCCTAATTTTTTATTTTATTATATTTTAATATTTAATTTCTCCTGTATAACAGACTAACGCAATGTATTTATGCAAGAAACAGAACAGTTTTTTGCTTAAAGAGTTGCATTTTATTGAAACACTGTAACAAATCTTTATCTTATCATGGTCCTCTCACTTTTTTCATTTTATTTACTCTGAAAAAAATTGTTATTGTTGTCACAAATATTTTTAGAAGATGGAGTTGTCACTCTGTTCTGATGAAACCAATTGACTTACCCAAGTACGTACACGTTGTACACAGGGAGCCAAGGTTTTCTTTTTCTTTTTCCATGATCCTAAGGTTTTTGCTGGAACACTGCCCCATTCCTTCCCTGGGCATAATGTCCCCATTTCAAACTTTAGACACTGAGGTTCAGGCGGGGCAGATGATTGTCAGAGGCCCTGGTTTGGCCTCAGAGAGGATCAGACTGGTCCTGAGCACCCTGCCCCTCCTCACGCCGCCAGGTCAGAGCTGGAGGAAGAGCTACAAACCTTCTCATAACACAATTCACAGCAGAAGTCCCACGGCGACTTGTGCTGGGCTTCGCACACCACATCCTGTGCTGCATGGGCTGCCAAGCTCAGTCCCCACCCTGCTGCCCCACATTCACCGGCAGACTCTGCTATGCTTTCCACACTCGCTGCCCTGCTGGGTGAGTGCCCACGTGGAAGGGAGCTGGAATCCAGGGCACCTGCTTCGGTAACGTGTCTCATTATTCCTGTCTTCCAGGGCTGTGTCTGTGCCAGTGGATCGGTGCCCAGAAACGTGAGTTTTTTCCTCCAAAAGCCCCCGAGTCCCTCTTCTGGGTTCAGACTGGGCGTGCTGTCCCCATTTCAAAATGTAGGCGCCGACCCGGAAATGAGTTTCAGGTGGGGCAGACAAAATGCACCCACTCGAGAACAAGTGTCAGAGGAGACAGGGGCTCTGGCTGGCTAGGAGGGCTTGAGGCTATGGGCTGGGTAGAAATGAGAAGGGAAGGGGCTCCATCTAGAACCCCAGCCTCCAATCCCCTTCCAGAGACCCTCTCGAAACCCATCATCTGGGCCAAGCCTGGTTCCATAATTCCAAATGGAATGGCGGCGATCATCTGGTGCGAGGGGACTTACAGGGCCATTGAGTACCAACTGCATTTTGACGGACATCTTTCCACCTTGGAGAGACCAAACCCCCCTGGAATTACAAACAAAGTCAAGTTCTCCATCCGGCCCATGACCTCACACACTGCAGGGCAATACAGGTGCTTCTACAGAAAGGGGGAGCTCTGGTCAGAGCCCAGTGACCCTCTGGATCTGGTGGTAACAGGTAACTACCCTATTCTCTACCTTTCTGTCTCTTCCAAGCCTCGCTCAGATACTGTTCATCTTGGGGGTCAAGGGTTTGATCGTTTCCTGTAGGCGTTATCTATTGAGAGTTATCTGTATGTCCTGGGGCAGAATTTGTCTTAGGTCACGTTCTTTAGGTAAGAGACTCTGAGGTGGATGTTTGTGGGCAGGGAGGATGACCCAGGGAGTGGCCTCAGAAACAGCACCTGTCACGGATGAGGGACACAGACTGGGCAGAGGAGGCTGGACTGTGATACTTAATCTGAACCCAGCCAAGCACATGGGAAACTCTAGATCAGAGATGGCCCTTCAAAGTGGTCTCAGAATGCTGCTAGGGGACCCCCAGCATCAACCAGTGATTGGATGAGAACCATTCCTAAGGAAGTTCCAGACAGAGACCCTTGCTCTTGTAGCGTTCGTAGTCTTCATTCTTTTAATCCTCAGCTGAGGGTGTGTTCATCGATTTTAGAGAGAGAGAGAGCAAGGAAGGAAGAGAGAGAGAAACATCAATCTGTTGCCTCCTGTATGTGTCCCAACCAGGGATTGAACCCATGACTTAGGCACGTGCCCTGACTGGGCATCAAAGCTGCAAACTTCTGGTGTATGGGATGACGCTCCAATCAATTGAGCCACCTGGCCAGGGTGGCACTGGCATTCTTGTAGGAGGAAACAGGCCACCAGTCAAACTCCAGATACATAAATCACTTAGATAGAGCATGAGGAGAAAATGGCGGCATAAAAGTAAAGACAACATAGGATGGAGTGACAGGGACTGGGAGGGAGAATACACTCAGGCTCCCTTCACCTGAGGCATGTTTACAAACTTAGGCAAACATGGGGTCACCTGGAGTGCTTGTAAGATACAGGTGATGCTAGAACACTCACATGCATGGGATCTCCATTCTCAGTCCCAAAAGGGAGAATTAACCCAAGTGTCTCTTGACAAATGAAGGGGTCAACATTGGGACCTACTCATACAATGAAGTACTATTCAGACTTAAAAAAGAAGGAAACTCTGTCCTGGCCAGTGTGGCTAAGTTGGTTGGTCTTCCAGTAAACCAAAGGTCATGGGTTCAATTCCCAGTCAGGGCACATGCCTGGGTTTCGGATCTGGTTCCCAGTCAAGGCACAAATAGAAGGCAACCAATTGATGTTTCTCTCCTGCATCAATATTTCTTTCTCTCTCTCTTTTTCTCTCTCTCTCTCAAATCAATAAACATATTTTTGAAAAGGAAGGAAATTAAGAACAAACTGACAATAACCAGAGGAGAGGTAGGAGGGGATAATGGGGGGAAAAGGGGAAAGGGTTTTCAGGAACATGTATAAAGGACACATGGACAAAACCAAAGGGGGGTAGGATGAAGGGTGGGAAGTAGGAATGGCTGGAGTTGGAGGGGAGTGGGGAAGGGAAAATGGAAACAACTGTAATTGAACAACAATAAATTATTTTTGAAAAAGAAGGAAATCCTGACACATGCTGTAATGTGGGTGAACCCCCCATTGAAATAAGCCCGTTGCAAAAGGAAAATTACTGAATGACTCCTCTTGTTGGAGGCACCTAGAGTCATCAAACTCACAGAGACGGAAAGTAGAATGGTGGGTGCTAAGGTGGGGGAGGGAAGAGGAAATTATGGTTTAATGGGGACGGAGTTTCAATTTCACAAGGTGAAAACAGTTCTGTGGCTGGATGCTGGTGATGGTGGCACTTAACACCACCGAACTATACACTGAGAAGTGCTTAAAATAATACATTTTATGGCACATGTATTTTACAACAATTAAAAATAACGATTTTTTTTTTTACAACAAGGATGGCTGCCCCACCCCTGAGTTTCTGATGCAGTAGGTACAGGGCAGAGCCTGAAATTTTGCATTTCTTTTTCTTTGTACCCTCAACTGAGGACATGCTTATTGATTTGACAGAGAGAGAGAGGTAGGGAGGAGACATAGAGAGAGAGAAACATCCATTAGTTGCCTCTCTCAGATGACCAAACCCACAGCCTAGGCATGTGCCTTGACCAGAAATCAAAGCTGCAAACTTTCTGTTTATGGGGTGACACTCTAACTAACCAACTGAGCCATGTGGCCAGGCCTGAGGATTTGCATTTATAACAAGCTTACAGATGATGCTGATGTTGCTGGTCCCAAGGACCAAACTCTGTAGGGAACCGCTGCTGTAGGGCAATTCCCAGAGAGAGAGAGACTTGCCTGTACACCCCTGCAAGCTACGGGAGTATCTCAGTCCTGAAGGGAGAGATCCTAGTGGGTACATCTACGACCGAGACAAATTTAGGACACAGAAGAGACCAAAATTCTGGGGAGTGACTCCTGGCCTTAAAGACAAGGGGTGGCAGGAGGTGTAGGAGGCAGGTAAAGATGCCCTTCACCTTCCACAACCTTCTCTCACAGGAATGTATGACACACCCACCCTCTCGGTTCATCCGGGGTCTAAGGTGATCCCGGGAGAAAATGTGACCTTCCATTGCCATCTAGAGACTACAACAGGCACATTCTTTCTGCTCAAGGAGGGGAGAGCCAGCAGCCCACAGCGCAGTAATGGAAAATTTCAAGCAGAGTTCCCTGTGGGGCCTGTGACCACCGCCCATTCAGGAACATACAGGTGTTTTGGTTCTTACAACAACTACATGTGGTCTTTCCCCAGTGAGACTGTGGTGCTCCTGGTCACAGGTGAGGAAACCCCCAATTTTACCCCGTGGTTTTTTGTAGAGAAGAACAGGAGAGAAATAAGGAGGGGAGGGCACACAGAGGAGGTGGGAAGACCCAAGGAAGCCCCCAAACCCTTACTTGTGTCCTTGTCCCCATTGTCAGGAGACGTCGAGGACACCAGTCTTGTACCCACAGGACAGCCCTCTTCTGGTGAGTAACAGGGAGGACATCAAAGCCCCCCAACCACCATGACCTGTGGGTCCATCGGTCAACCACACAGACACCCTTGCCCTTGAAGCACTTGTATTGTTTTGCAGAAGATAGACCATGAGTCAAAGTCAGGGGATGTAAATCAATCAGGTAGTTCATGAGAAAGACACGGTAGTGTGGGGGAAAAGTCCAAACAGAACGCGTGGCGTTGAGGTGATGGGGAGGGCAGGTGGCAATGTCCAAAAGACAAGGAGACATCTGAGTGAATACTGTGGCTGTTGAAAGAAATAAGCTTCCTTTGTAAAAAAAAAAAATTATTTTTAGACAGAGGGGAAGGGAGGGAGAAAGAAAGGGAGAGAAACATCAATGTGTGGTTGCCTCTCACACACCCCGCACTGGTGACCTGGGCTGCAACCCCAGCATTGCCCTGACTGGGAACTGAACAGGTGACCCTTTGGTTTGTGGACTGGCACTCAAGCCACTGAGCTACACCAGCCAGGGCGAAAGAAGCTTTCAGAGAGAGGGAATAGCCATGCATATGCCCTGTAGCAGGTAGGTGGCCAATGGGATTTTTAAAAACAAACAAACAAGGAAGGAAGGAAGGCAGTGGGACTGGAAATCATACCAGGTGGGCATGAGAAGGGGTCAGAAAAGCTCATTTGGGACCTTGAAAAAATGGAAAGACTGAATTCTACTGTGTGTGAGGAATAAGTGGGAGAAGAGGGAATAATTTTCAGGAACATGGATAAAAGACACATGGACAAAACCAAAGTGAGGTAGGATCGAGGGTGGGAAGTGGGGATGGTTGAGATGGGTGGGAGGGGGGGGAATGGAGACAATGGTACTTGAACAACAATAAGAAAGTTTAAAAAATAAAGGGAAAGATTAAGAAAAGAAGTGGGATTGATTGGCCTAGTGAGGAAACTGAGGCTCATAGAGAAGACAGGCCTGGCGTGAAGACACACATGTATTAATCCCAGTGCTGAGTTCTTGCTCACACTCATCTGCCTTTTAACTCTCCCATTCTGCTGGTCCAGTCAAGCCACTGGGCCCCGAGGGTGGGGTGGGGACCTTGAAAAGCAATATACAATGTCGTGGGACATACCCCAGGGACAGAGAGGTTGGAGTGCAAGAGGCCAACACCATCCCTTGTCCTCACTTACCCACTTTCTTTACCTTCTGCAGATGCTCGGGAGCCCTCCTTGTTCACCACAAAGGTGGTGGGATTCCAGAAAGGTAAGCAGGCCCCCAGGCATGTGGCCAGGACAAGAGACAGGATCTGATGACACCGTTAGGCTCTGGTCAGTGACCACTGTTCTTCTGGTCTCAGGTGGTGCCATCTGGAATCAGCGAGCTGACACTGTCCTACGGGTGGGTCTCATGTTCCTGGTCCTGGTGGCCCTTGTGTGTGTCCTGACTGAAGACTGGCTCCGCAGGAAGATGACAGAAGAGAGAGCCAATGAGGCTTCGAGTCAGGAATGCAGGGTGAAGTTCAGGACCCAGAGAGCCCTGGAAAAATGACCGAGAGATGCAGTGGCCATCGGTAAAGCTGAACTCTGACCTTGACCTTGGGCCACATGACCTCCGTGTTTGGGGGAAACCAAGGGGTGTGTGCGTGGAGTTCGATGCACCATCCTGGGGGCAGCAGGAAGGGAGGATGAAGATGCTAAGTTCTTCTGCAGGCAGATCCCACTGTCTCTTAGAACTCTGGGTTCTAAGTATTTGTATTGTTGTTGAATTTATTAGGTTGATATTGATTAATTAAATTATACAAATTTGGGGTATACAATTCTACAATACATCACCTGTATGTTGTACTGTGTGCCCACGCCACCTCAAGCCAAGTTTCCTTCCATCACCATTTATTCCCCCTTTTCCCTCTCCTACCTCCCAACTCTCCCCTTTCCCTCTGGGAATCACCATACTGTTGTCTGTGATGGGTTGTTTGTTTGTTTGTTTGTTTGTTTGTTTGTTTGTTTTTGCTTAATCCCTTCACCTTTTTCACCCAGCCCCAATCCACCCCCCTCTGACAGCTGTCAGTCTGTTCTCTGTATCTATGACTCTGTGGAATAGTACTTGGCTGAAAAAAAAAAAAAAAAAAGAAGAAGAAGAAGAAGAAAGTCCTACCCTTCGGGACAACATGGATAGACCTGGAGAGTATCACGTGCCATGGAATGAGCCAATCAGAGAAAGACAAACACCACGCAATTTCACTTTTATGTGGCATCTCACATGTGGCTTTAATGAGTGCTTTTTTCTATCACTTCCTCCTGGGTCCCTAGAGGGGGCAGGGAGGGAGGAGGAAGTGAGAACGGAGGGGCTGGCTGATTGTTTGTTACAAAGGTTTCTTGGGAACATTCACGTAACATTTCTGTTAACTTCTCAATGGTCAGAACTTAATAGCTTAAGAAGCAAGCTATAATGGGAGGTTGAGCAATGTAGCCTTTGTTCTGGGTGGCTCTGTGGCTGGCTCAACACCAATAAAGTCATGAGTAATGTCATAGGGTCTCCCTAGACTACCGCAGTCTCTGTTACAAGCCCCTGCTCTGCGTTGGGCCCTGTCGAAAGTATCACACACTGAGGCAAACATGATCCCTGACATGACAAGACACTGCCAGGAGGAGTACAGACCTTAAAGAAGCAAGTCAATAAAAAAGGGGGTAAGTCTTGTGATAGAGGAAATACAGAATGCGCTTAGAGCCCATTCCTATGCAATATACCATTTAGTAGACCTGGAGAAGCGGGTAGGGGTGATGTCTGTTGATGCAAAAGGTGTCTGTTCATGATCCCAACTCATGCAAAGGCTGAGGTGCAAGACAAAGGGTGAAAAACATTCAGTGTAGCTAGAGGTTTGTTTGTTTGTTTGTTTGTTTGTTTGTTTGTTTCAAATACAGTTGTCTCCATTTTCCTCCCACCACTACCCACTCCCACCCCAGCCATCCCCACTCCCCACCCTTGATCCTACCCCCCTTGGGATTTATCCATGAGTTTGGATTGTGAGAGAAAGAGTGGGAGATGCTAAGCAAATGCAGAAGACAGATCAAGCATGGTCACGGGCCCCACCTAATAAATACACATTTTATCCTGGAGGCAATGGGAATTCATTAAGCCATTTTTATCAAGGATGTGATCTGGTGAATAGTGCATGGTGTAAAGAGCCTTCTGGGGGAAATAAGAATGTGGGAGAGGAAAAAAACATGAAGAAAAGGGAGAAGAGTTGAAGATGGATCGTCTATTTCTAGATTTGACAACCAGGGACATACGGATGCCACCAGTAACCCAGAGGGATGTCCAGCTAGGGGGGATGGGTACACAGTCTTAAGAGTTGGCAAATATATATTCTCCTGTTCTCATACTGCGAGATTTCCTTGATAATTTGGGGAGCTTTAGGTTTCAACGTTCGCTTTAGAATTAGCCAGTTTTCACAAAATACCCACCTAAGTTGCGCATGAGATCATATTAAAGCTACAGATGAATTTAGGGGAAGACCATCATCCTGTTGATCTTTCTGTCCATAGAAGACTCAAACCAGAGAGGTGGTATGTTTCACCGTTCAGTTACATGTTCACTGATTTCTCCAAATAATATTGTGTTGTCTTCCATGCAGAGAATGTGCATGTCTTTTGTTAGCTATCCACCAGGTATATCCACACTAACATGATTCTTTTCTTAAGATGTATTTATTTATTTTTAGAGAGAGGGGAAGAGAGGGAGAAAGGGAGGGAGAAAAACATCAAAGTGCGATAGAAACATCAATTGGTTGCCTCTCGTATGCACCCCAGTCAGGGACCTGGCCTGCAACCCGGCATGTGCTGTGACTGGGAATCGAACCAGCGACCTTTTGGTTTGCAGGACGGTGCCCAACCCACCGAGCAGCACCAGTCAGGGCCACAGTGCTGTGATTCTTATTTCATGAGTGGTATCATTCTTTAAATAATGTTATTGCTATGGGTGGTTGCTGGTCTTATAAAATAAAATCTACTTGTGTCTGTTAAAGTTCACATCTTGATTTTAGCAGTTTTAGGTTATGTTTAATTCAAAAATGTTTAGGGTTTTTTGTTCTTCTAACATTGATTTTTCACAGTCTTACTACTTAGAACATCTGGGACATGAATAAAGTAGAAGTAAAGATAGCAGATACCTTTTTCTCAGTACCAATATTGAGGGGAATATTTTTAATATTTCACCATTGTGTAAGCTAGTCACTCTAATGTCTTGTCAATATTGTCCCAGTTAGAAAACACCTTTGTATTCTTCTTGTGCTAAACTTTTTTTCCATTTGAAGATAACAAAGACATCCAATGAGACTAGTTGAGAGGCCCCTGCATTATTCCAGGTAAAAGTTGATAATTACTCAGAGAAGGTGGGCACCCCTGACATATTTTAGGCACAGAAGCCAAACTTCATTTTATTGTTTAGAAATAGCTCTGGCTGGTGTGGCTCAGTGGATTGAGCACCGGCTGGCAAACCAAAGGATCACTGGTTCAATTCCTGGTCAGGGCACATGCCTGGGTTGCAGGCCAGGTTCCTGATGGGGGTTGCATGAGAGGCAGCCACACGTTGATGTTTCTCTCCCTCTCATCTCCCTCTCTTCCCCTCTGTCTAAAAATAAAATCTTTTACAAAAATTTTTTTTAAAGAAATGATGGCTGAGCATGTGGCTGAGTCAGAAAAAACTCTGAAGTTTGTAAATTGGGCAACTGCATGAAGGAAAGGGACATTTTCCTCTAATTCACACTCATACCCATTGATGTTAATACAGTGGATAAACCTTGAGAGCTATGGCAGGAAAAAGATATTTGGGGGCAGAGTCAGAGACACAAAGTAGCGATTCATCTTCCCAAAGTGAACTATGCTTCAATTGAAATAGGACTGACCTGTAACATTGTGTAAGTTTAAGTTGTGAAGTGTATTGATTTGATACATTTACATATTATAACATGATTGTAGTGTTTGCTAACCCTTCTATGGTGTCACGGAGTTACTCCTTTTTTGTGGTGAGACAAATTAAGATCTAGTCCCTTAGCAAAAATAAAATATTGTTGTCTGTCTCCCTTGAACTGTGCATTCGACCTCCAGGACTTATTTATCTACTACTTGCAAGCTTTTACCCTTAAACATCATCTCCCCATTTCCCCCACCCCCAGCCCTTGGTAACCACCATCAACTGTGTTTCTACAAGTTCAGCTTCTACAGATTTCACATACAAATCTGCAGATCATACAGTGTTTGTCTGTCTTTGTCTGACTTATTTGACTTTGCATAATGCCCTTCAGGTTCATCCGTGTCGTACCAAATGCAAGATTTCTTCCTTTCGTATGGCTGAATAGTGTGTGTGTGTGTGTGTGTGTGTGTGTGTGTGTGTGTGTGTGGCAGGCACAGTTGTCCCTTTACACCACAACACTGCTCAAGCCCATCTCCTTTGCTGAAGGACCATCTGGCTTTGCAGGCCAATGCTACTGTACCTCAGTATCATGGATATAGAAGAGGTGACATGTAAAGACTTAGCAACTGTATTCGAATACCAATAAAATTTTTTGTCTTTTAAAGGAAAGAAAAAAGAAAAAAACTTAACACAGCATCTCTTTCCTGGCCTCACCCAGCCTCTTTTCCTTCTGCATTGACCTCAGGTTCTTGTGAATTCCCAGTTACAACAACAAGACAGGATCTCCAGTCTGCCTTCCTGGTCTTTCTTCATCCCATTTCATACAACAAATCTATTGCAGAATCAGGAGGCCCAAATTTGATCTCTGTAAAAAAAATAATAAAAATAAAAATAAAAAACTGTGTGCCTGTGGCAACCCATGTCCCCTCTATCCCCCCTTTCCATTTGCCAAAAGGAAGGAATGTAGATCCTTCTTACCAATGTTATGAGGACAAGATGGCATCCCCACCCCAGGGCAAAGTTTCCCAGCTCTGACTTACAGACAGGGTTTCAAGCTTCGGATTATTGAGCCAATTCTGCAGATGAAGGTGCCTCTCTCTGGTCTCACTGGCCCATGGATGTGGAGACCCACTTCCCCCGAGTAATTTCCCGACACCTCCTGTCCCTCCTCAGCCCCTGGGAACTGGTTTCTCACCCCCTGGTTGTTTTCGTGACAAACGCTATGGGCTTCCTGAAACTTGCAGTGGACATTTCTGAACCTTTTTATCTGTGTTCCTCTGCTGGCTGCCTGTGACCACTTCCTCCCTGCCTTGTCACTTGGCTGGCTTCCTCTTCTCATTTTATGACTGTTCTTACAACACCAGGGTTGCAGCCTCTCCAACGCCAGAGCTCTGGGGGGTTTCGGCCAGCAGGCCCTCCTTTCTCCGGACACAAGTCTGGGGGGATCTCATTGAAGTCCGTGGTTTTAATTTCTCCAAGATGCATACCCAAACCTGTTTCACTGAACGCTAATTTTTTCCCCTGGAACTTCAGGTCATTTTATGAGGTGTTTTCAACTAATCTGAACTCACCAACTTCCTACCCACAAAACTTGTCCTCTAACTTGCAAAACTCCCCACCGTGTTCATGGTCACTTTGCTTTCCTCTCTACACCTACACTTACGCTTCTGATCACTGTGAGGAAAATGTGTCACACGAATCAGCAGGTAATAATACAGTTGAATATTTATGGGTTGTGGATACAAGTGTATAGTTTTATCATTTCTCCCCACAAGTGTTCTTATGTCTATTTATCTTTTGACATTCTGGTCAGGTACAGGTCATAGAAAAACATTATTTTCCAGGAGGTTCAGTACAAGAGTGTGTGATGCATATTTTTTTTCACTTTTGTTCTTTAAGTTGATAGAATTTAGTGAGCTAAAGCTTGCATCATCTTATTCACCAATGTCACCCCAATACATTTAATTAAAAGATAAATGTTGATTATATGTAAGCATTTTAAAAGATTATCTGTCTTCTGTAGGAGTGTATTATATATAATACATATAAGACAGTATAATAGTTTATTTTTTAATGTCACATGTTTTCTGTGACACACATATGTAACACTTGCAACTCCCAGTATTTTTACTGACATGCAGACATTGGTAAATACTTTTGCCTTCCATGTTCCTGCATGTCACTTGCAAGATATCACAAACCCTAACATGTATTGTCCTCACCTTTTCCATTAATCTTTTTCTTTAGATTGGCTACAACATACATATCGCATATGTTTATATGGTACAAGTTATTTATTTAATGTAACAATGTAATTGTTATGCAAAATGTTGCATTATGTAACAGTTAGTGTAAGAAAACCAAGATGAGTCAGTTATGCAGGAGGATATCTCTCTATTTGCACATTGGAGATTTTGAAAATCAGCATGTTAGCAGGGTGTCTCCACTCCAGCACTAGTGCCATCTGAGGCCAGGTAACTCTGTTTTGTAGAAAGCTCTCCTTCCTGTTCAGGCGGCCATAACAAAATCCACAGGTGGAGGGCTAACACAACAGAGATTTATTTCTTCACTGTTCTAGGCCTGTGCAGAGCTGAGCCCTGCAGGGGTTGGTGCTGGAAGGTCAGGTAGGGTTTCAAGGGTGTGAGGCATGGGGAGGGGGGCAGGGCTCCCCTGACAGGTGAGGCTGAGGTTGTTAACACCTGCTGTGCAGAAAGCAGATGAGAAAGCATAGCCCCTTCCTCTGTGTCTGTAGTTGCCCAGCAGGGGACCCCAGGGAAGCTGTCCATCTCGAACACACCCCATCAGACTAGAAGCCTCACCTGCTCTCAGCAGTGGCGTTTTCAGCCTGGGGACGCTGGAACTGCTAAGGAGGAAAGACAGAGAAAAATCCTTTAGGGGCCAGCTGTGTTTTCTGTCCACGATAGCCTGAGATGGTTACTAACAAGCTATGCTGTTACAGAAGACAGCTCAGCCTCTTTCGGGTGTACAGAGTGGAACTTTATTTTATGCTCGCGGACCCAGAGGAGTCAATCTCCAAATTCTGGGCCCCGATCAGTGGGGAACAATTGTCTATAGAGGGTGAGGGGCGGTCTGACTCTCTAACTGTTACTTCTGGCGTGAAAGCAACAAAGCAGAACTGCTGAGAAGAGTTAATATGAATTTCTTTGTTCTTACTCCTCAGTTACTTGGTTACTTGCTCTCCCCGATCCTGTTGACTCAGCTGCGAGCCCCCTCCTGGGCAGGCCACTACAATGCCACCAATTAATCAAGTGGATATGTGTAACCCTAACTCAAGTGGATATGTGGAAGCTGATCCGAGGCGTCGCAAAAACACCCAGAAACACCGGGATGACGCACACCAGACCACCACTTCACTGGCTTTGAGAGGCTTATCAGAATCCAGACCCTTCTGCTCCAGGAACCAGTAATAAAGATGTTCGTCCAGACCAACACCCCCACGAGGACTCAAATTCCAAAGACCGAACTTCATCAGAACCCTTTCTGTGCCCTTTTCCAAATTCTCTTCCCATGCTGCTCCAATAGCGACTTGCTCCTGACAAGCTTGAGGGAAGGAGGATGTCAGGGTTTGTACCCGCCACCTTCTCAAATTCCGGCATCTGATATTCATAAAGGCGCAATTACAATCCAGTCCAGGTCTCTCCTTTTGGCTGAGTAGTGACGGGCGGCACCAGCCTGTGGACATGGCTGATCCCCGGTTTCAGGGTGACTTATGGGGGCTGTCGTGTGTGTCATGGGGTGCTTAGCAGAACCCTGGCCTCTCTGCACTGAACGCTAGCACCACACTCAGTTGCCAACCTAAAAGTCCAGAACTGTTTCAAGTTCACAGACAGGAAGTACATTTGTGGCTTCTGGGGTGGGGGGCAGAGGGGGCAGGGCAGGAGGGAGGAGGACTGAAGAGTGACTGCTTCATGGGCAGAGGGTTTGTTTGAGGGGAGGGAGGTGAAAAAGTTCTGGAAACTAGACAGTGGTGATGGTTCCACACTACTGTGACTATTCCAAATCCTGCTGAATTGCACACTTTAAAATGAGTAAAAATAGTACTTTGATGTTCTGTGTGTTTTGCCACATTAAAAACAAAAAACAAAACATATCTCCCACCCTAGGTCAAGTCTCCTTCCATCACCATTTATCCCTCCCTTTCCCTTCTTCGACCTGAAGATTATCATGCTCAGTGAAATAAGCCAGTCAGAGAGACAAATGCCGCACGATCTCACTTATACGTGGAACCTAATGAATGAAATACGCTGATGAATAAAATAGGAAGAGGCATGGATACATGGAACAGACCAACAGCTGTCAGAGGTGAGGGGGGCAGACTGGATGAAAGAGGGTGAAGGGATTACCCAAGAGCCGATATGCATGACCCATGGACACAGACAACAGTGCGGTCATGGCCAGAGGGAAGGGGAGTTGAAGGCAGGAGGGAGGTGGGCAAAGGGGGTTGGGAAATGGAGGAATCTGTCATAGTGTCAACAATAAACATAAATAAATAAACAACAAATTGACAATAATAATCAATAAACACCGCTTGGGAGAGGGGGAAATAAAGCTTAGCAACTCCTGCATTAGAATACCTTCATTAGAAAGCTGATGAAGAAAACCACAAACCACACCCATCATGTAGCTTCATGGGGCTATAATTAAGTTAGGCCAGGAAATACCTGAGGTAGGGCAGAACACTAGGGGGCAAAAATCAACAATCATCTATAAACGTGGGGCCTATTAATAAATGCAGCTTCAACCCTGGCTGGTGTGGCTCAGCGGATTGAGCGCCGGCCTGTAAACCAAAGGGCTGCTGGTTTGATTCCCAGTCAGGACACATGCCTGTGTTGAGGACGAGGTCCTCAGGTCTCCAGGTCCCCAGGAGATGCAACCACATGCTGAAGTTCCTTTCCCTCCCTTTCTCCCTCCCTTCCCCTCTCTCTAAACAATTAAAATCTTTAAAAACATAGTAAATGCAGCTTCAAACATAATGCTTTGCCTTTTATTGTTCTGTATCCTCATGAACAAAAACAGACATTTGACATAAAGTGGGTGTGTGAGTTGTGCCAAATTTACTGTAAACCAGAGGGTGTAAGCCAGTGCTCAATTCTCTATTTTGAACCGGTGATTAACGTGTGACCATTTGGTCTTCGTCAATGTCAGAGAGACAAGTAATTTACTGGAACGTTTTCTCAGGATGTCCAGAAAATGAAGTCACCATAGGAGGGGTCCGGTCAACCCGGCATTCTGATATTCGATTGTCAGCCCGGGGTTGCTGTCTTTCAGTTCCTGCAGCAGCTTCTGGATTTCCCCATTGGGCTCATCCATCTTCAGCCTGAGGATCATCAATGGACCATGACTGTGTTTCAGCGCTTCCAAGAGCACCATTATTCCATCCCGCCCCAATGTGTTCTGGGCCAGGTCCAGAACCTCCAGCCTCTGGTTGCTCGGGAGAGCAGAGGCAAGATCCTGGCAACAGAGAGTCGAGATGGAACAGCCACGGAGCCTGTTGAGAAAGAGAACGGGTGCCGAATCGCTGGCTGAACAAGTCCTCATGCAGAACCTACCAGTTGCTGGCCACATTCTGACTTGCTAGGGACCTGTAGTGAAGAAATGGGTGGAGGGGGGAACCTTTCAAAGAAGCAAAGCACCTACCCCAGGCATTTTAGGCTGCAATCTGGCTTCTTCAAAGCCTCACAGAGAAACCGCAATCCTCTAGCTATGGGATTGAGACCCAGGTCCAAGTACGTCAAGCAGGAGTCTCCTTGGAGAACTGTTGCAATATATTTGCAGCCACGTCTGGTTATGTTGCACTTATACAACCTACCAAGACAGTCATACGGTGAGAAGTCTTGTATCCATCCGTGGCACGTGCCTGGTGAGGCAGCTGTTACACCCAGTACCATGTAGCTTCTACCTCAAGCGTCCTCATTTCAGGCAGGTTTATACATAGCATACACATGGGATGATGGTTACGTTATCTCCATGTGCCTAGGTGGTGGGGTGGGGGATGCAGGGGTGGGGCTGGCCCTTGACTGTTGCCTTTTATCATGAATAAACACACACACACACACACACACACACACACACACACACACACACACACATCTCCTAAGATACAGATGTTCCTGAAATGGCAGCATAGCCTAACTCTTTCATATAGAGCTGTCTACCTAGCAACATCATGTATGAAATTTCATTTTCTTCTAATGAATACTTGTTTTGAAGATATAGAATCTTTCTTTTCATTTTTCTTCTATCTACCACTATAACCAGAATACTTGTTTTTCCTTTGAAAAGGAAACTAGTACCCCAGACTTAAACTATTGGGGTATGTCTAGATTAGCATATATCATTTGTTTCGTTTTCTAATTTTTTTAATTTATTTTTCAATCACAGTGGACATACAATATTATGTTAGTTTCAGGTGTACAATATAGTCAATAGACATTTATATGACTTACAAAGTGACACCCCCAGTAAGTCTGGCACCATACATAGTTATTACCATATTATTGGCCATATGTCATACTTCAGTCCCTATGATACACATGAGACATCAGGTGTTTCTAGAACCCACTAGAAGCCATAAAAATAACTGGCAGACAGCAGTTTTCTAGGAGAGCAAAAACCCCAGAAAAGTCAAAACCAGATAGAATTTCTGAGCAGAAACAGGCCTCCAGCCCTACACAATCTTTTGAACATTACCCTACCTGTGATTCTAATGGGCACAGGTAACCCGTGCTGGGCTTGTGCCCAGGTAACAAGGTCAGAAAACTCCAGCCCATAGGTCAAATGCATCCCACTACCTGTTTGGGATTTTTTATAAATAATGTTTTATTGCAACACAGCCACACTCATTCCTAGCCTACCCGTTTGCAGGACAGTGCCCGAGTTGGATAACTAGAACAGAGATCAGAGAACGGGCCCACAAAGCCTAAAATATTTACCATCTGGCTCTTTGCAGAAGAAAAACAAATTTTCTGCAAAGAAAACCCTACGCTATGCTCTATACCCTATAACTCAATGCATTCCCAACTGCAGGAAGAAGTATGTCATGTGACCTCAAAGAAGATACGTGAAATGCCAGACCTGAAAACCAGTCCGGCCAAATTCCCAAAATACAAAGAGGCCAGAAGGTAAACTCAGCCCTGAAAGGCAGGCAAATATTAACATCTATTTTTGTCTACCCAGTCTTTCCCTCATTTCCAGCAGGCGGTTGCCAGATTCATTCAACAGGAATCGCTAAGTGGTCTCCTATCTGTTCTTTGCATCCAGCACGCCCACACACACAGCCCATAGGGACTTACACCAGGATCTGTAGTTGACAGTCAGGGTAACTCAAGCCCTCACACAGCAGCTGCACTCCACCATTCCCAAGGTCATTGTTGGCCAAGCACAGGTGTGTCAGCGTTTGGTTGACAATCAAAGCAGAAGAGAGCTCCTTGCAGCAGGCTCCCGTCAGGTGACAGTTTTCCAACCTGCCGAAGCACGCCACCCATGGCCAGACAGTGAGAACATTTCCAAAGCCCAACCTCCTCAGCTGCTAGCTCTTCTTGCAAACTCCCCACCTATTCTATCTTGCACCATGAAGGACCAGTGATGAGAGAAGGGTGTGCGAAAATGTATGCTTCATCTACGTGAAGCAAAAACGGAAACCCAGAGTTGTCTACCTCAGTAGGAGGTCCCTCACCAATTGCACTGTAAGTCCAGCATTACCACTGTTCTCTGTGTGACCCAGAACTAAACAGAGATGGGCCACAGAAGAGAGACTTACGACAACCTCTGCAGGAAACACTTCGGGTGTTTCAGCGTCGCACACAGCAGCGTGACACCCTTATCCCAGAGCTCACTGGCGGTGAGGTCCAGAAACTGCAGGGACTGGTTGATTATTAGGGCCAAGGAGAACTCATCCCACTGTGGAAGGATGTCAGAACAAGACCCCAACCTATGGAATACATGGAAGCAAGTCATTCTCTCGGGAGGACAGAGAGAGACCCTATCAGCTTAGTACGCTTCCCCAAAGATTGTATCCTTGATCTTCATCATATTTTGCTCCAATATGTGTGCAAACTTGGCCTGAACTATTGGAGATCATTGACCTCCTTTGCTTCTTCAAGTATCCCCATGGTCATTTGATCAACATCCAGCCTCATCTCACATTTGTAATACAATTCTATGTGAAGTTTCAACAACATCATTTTTTTTAATCCTCATCTGAGGATAAGATTTTTTTTTTGCATTGGTTTTAGAGATAGAGGAACAAGGGAAGAAACATTGAAGTGAGAGGAAAAACATCACTGGGTTGCCTCTCGGACATGCCCTGACCAGGGACCAAACCCACAACCTAGGTACATGCCTTGACCAGGAATCAAACCCATAACTTTTTGGCATATGGAACAATACTCCAACTAACTATCAACAGACTCACCTAGCCAGAGCATCTGCTCAGTCTCACTTAGGTCTAGATATGTGATTCTATAGAGTAAAAAATGATGCCTGATACTCAAAAAATCTAACTTCATAAATTATTAGGGAATATTCAAATTTAAACAAGGAGGTACAGCCCTGGCCATGTAGAAGATGGTACATGTTCTGTGTCAGCCATTTCTTCTTTTGAAACCTCAATGTATCTTTTAGAAACATCAGCCCTGGCTGGTGTGGCTCAGTGGATTGAGCACCAGACTGCAAACCAGAGGGGTCACCAGTTCAATTCCCAGTCAGGACACATACCTGGGCTGCGGGCCAGGTCCCCAGTTGGGGGCACATGAGAAGCAACTACACATTGATGTTTCTGCCCCCCTCTCTCTAGAAATAAATAAAATCTTTCAAAAACTTTAAAAAATGAAACATCATTTATATCAGCAGTTTTTCCAATTAAATGAAAAGAGCACCATCATCAATTATCAACAGTGGTAAGAGCTACCCTTTGTGCCTGGCCCCTAGGCAAAGCATTTCACACATCACGTTTCATTCAATTCTCAAAATCCATTTTATGGATAAAGAGATCGTATAGGTCATTAATATCAGTAAAAAGATTTTAGCTCATTTCCAAATTCAAAATCCTGCCCTGTCAGCCACTACCTCAGGTTGCTACTGTACTGAGTGGAGGAGGGGATGGTGTCCTAAAGACGGGTAATGATAATCAGAGCCTTTGTTATGGGCGTTCACTGAGGAAGCGGGAGTGTCTCAAACCAGTGGGCCACCAGGAACCAGGACCCTCGAAGCTTTACGGGGATCACTGAGTGGCCAATCTAGGTCAATGGCTGCTCCGAAATTATAGCACAAAGGCAACATGCCATCTGAAATACCACGTCCCAAACCCAGAGGCTGACACAAAATTTTGGGATTTCTTTGCATTTAGGACTCATGATTCCATGCAGGAGATCAGGTTCTACCGGAGAATACACTCGCCCCTCCCCCATGTGGCCGGATGCAATGTCCAATCAGAGCAGCTCCCTGTTGTGTGTCGCTCACGCAGCGCACAGCAGTGATGTGAGATCTACCTGAGATACTGCAGGTTGCATGTCTTGTGCTTCAGGACCTCACACAACAGCAGGAGCAGCATCGTATTGCTGTGGGCACCACCTTCCAGGGTCAAGTGGGTCAAGGTCTTCTTACCAACGAAAGCCAGACAGAAGTCCCGATATGCATCCACAGGGCAGATGTTCTTAATCCTAGGAAACATAGAAGAAGGGAGGGATTCCACCTTGGGTACCCAGGGGGTTGGGGCTCTGAATGCCTAGTGAACTGAGAGGTCTCCAATCAGGATAGAAATGGGGAGGGTGGTCAATACACTGACCTGAATTGAAGGACCAGTCAATGGAATGACAGATGGAAAAGAGAAAAATGAGGGCTATGAATAGAAGAAGTACATGGTGTTGCATGGAAGGTGGAATCAGATGAGGAGCTTAGCACACCCTTCTCTCAGCTCATGCTTTTCCCTAGATCCTTATGTTTTGTATTATATCATTTCCTTCCACATTCATCTCACAAACTTCTTCAACACCTCAGTGCCTACTGCCTTTTTCTAATAACAAAAAAAATCACTTATCCCTATACCCCCATATAGAGAGACATGTGGTCTCTATTTCTGCAAAGCACTGCTGATGTAGGCTACTGTAAGTTCTGGTTTTGAAGTTAGCAAATAAATTGCAGGCTCCTTGATGATATGGATCAAGAAGATTTTTTTTTGTTTTCTTGTCAGCTAGCATGATTGTGGAATTTTTAAATGCAATTAAAATAAATTCTAGATAATGTATAACATGGAAATTTTTTCTAATCAAACTCTGGGCTTCAAGAATGGCAAAAACTACATACACATCCATAATTTCTTTGAATGTAAATGAGTTAAATGTTCCAATCAAAAGACATCTTGATTGGGTAAGAAAACAAGACCCAAGTGTCCACTGATAGATGATTGGATAAAGAAGATGTAGTACATATATAATGGAATATTACTTAGCCATAAAAAAATAATGAAAGCTTACTATTTGCAACAGTATGAATGGACCTACAGGGTATTAATGCTAAATCAAATAAGTCAGTCAGAGAAAGACAAATGCCCTATGATTTCACATATATGTGGAATCTAAAAAAATAAATAAATGAACAAACAACATAGAAACAAAAAAAAAAGAGAAACAACTCTGTGTTTAAAATATTGTCGACTCTTCCAAAACCAGCAACTGGTCTTACAATTCTTTACCCTTCATTGTTCGATAATGAATATTCCTGGTGGCTCATCCAAAAGAAGCTTTGAAATTAAATTTTCAGCACAGAGAGACTCAGAATAGGGAAAATGCCACCTGTCCAGAGCCCCTCTTTAAATTGTCCTAAATGCTTAATGATACAAATTAGAGGTGTCTTCTTTCTCTTTTTTAATTTATTGATTTTTTTAGAGAGAGACAGACATTGATATTTTTGTTCCACTTCCTTATGCATTCATTGGCTGATTCTTGTATGTGCCCTAGCCAGGGAGTGAACCTGAAACCCTGGCATATGGGGGCGATGCTCTAACCAACTGAGCTACCCGGTCAGGCCAAGAAGTGTCTTCTAAGCCTTGTTTTCTGTAGTCCCTTACAAACCAGGGCAATGTAAGCCTTTGAAGACCATATGGAATAAATTGACACCTGTGCCATCATCAGTCTGTGTCAGGTTTTGTTGCTGTTTGTCACCTGACATCAGCAGGTACAGTCCATCGCTGTAGGGCACAACTATTGCTACATTTTCAGTGACTTCATTAAGGCTTCCAAGGCATGATGGTTGAGGGGAAAGTTTCAGCAACAGAGAAGGGGTATCCCTTTATCCTGCATTGGTTGAAAAGGGTGTCCTCATAGTCACCTGCCCAGGTGGCCCACATCACAATTCACATTCACCACCGCCTACCTTACTCAGACTCACTTCTCAATCCCAGTCCACATGCAAGTTTTAAGGTCATTATTACCTCATCAACACATTCTCCTTTCTTACTTTCTTCATTTTTTTTTGCTTATGTTTTTGAAGTTTTCTATTACAGAAGACATTCATTAGTATATTAGTTTCAGGTGTGCAACACAGTAATGAAACACATGTGATTTATGAAGTGATTCCCCCAATAAGTCTACCACCACCTGACACTCTACAGAGTTATTGCAATATTGTCTACTAAATTCCCTATGCTGTACTTCACATCCCTGTTAACTATTTGTACTTCTCAATCCTTTCGCCTTTCTCACCAATCCTCCCAACTCCCCTCCCATCCATGACTATCATTCTGTTCTTCTGCATCTGTGAGTCTGTTTCAGCAACAACTTCTTATCTGTGTATTTGAAACTTTTCTCTCTCGAGTATTTCCACAAACCCACCTAGGTCTACTTCAGTCATTCATGTACCTCTATTTCCCATGGGCCAAGTTTCAAGCAGCCTCATAGCAAGTGTATGGAAGGATCCAAACTCTTGGCCAAGTTTCATGAAAATGACTTCATGTTGCATCACTCAAATGTATCCACAGTGGATGTTTGCAAACATCCAAACTCCTGGACAGATTTCATAAAAATGACTCAATGTGATAGATGATTCTCCCACTGGACACCTTTAAAGACAGGAATCATTTCATTTCTTTGTATCCTGAGCACCTGGCTGGTCAGAGCCTGGTAAGATAATAAAATATTGATCTCCCAATCAAAACGCTTGGGGACAGCCCTGACCAAGTGGCTAAGTTGCTTGCATGTCATCCCATACACCAAAAGGTTGCTGGTTCGATCCCCAGTCAGCGCCCATATGGGATGCAACTGATTGATGTTTCTCTCCCCCACACCTACCCTGCTCTCTCTAAAAATCAGTAAACATATCCTCAGGTGAGGACTGAAAAAAACAATGCCTGGAAACAGCCTTTGTAAGGTTAGCTTCTACTTACACCACCTTCTGGAGATGACAGGCGGCACGGGTTATCTGGTCACAAAGAATCCTCACAGAGGAGGAACTCAGGAAGCTTTGACTCACATCCAGAGAGCTCAAGTTCTCACTGGAACTGAACACAGAGCAGAGATCCATCCAGAAAACAAGAATATGGTCATCGTGCTCATACCTGGGAGGAAAGAACCAAAAAGAGCACCTGTTAAAACTACACATAGGATTCCACATATGAGGCAGACTGTATTGTATTTGTCTCTCTCTGACTGGCTTATCTCACTGAGCATAATATCCTCCAGGTTCATCCATGCTATTGCCAAAGATAAGAATTTCTCCTTTTTTACAGCTGCATGTGTAAACGTACCACAGCTTTTTTATTCACTGATCTACTGATGGGCACTTGGACTGTTTCCAGATCTTGGCTATTGTCAATAATAGGAACATAGGGATGCATATGTTCTTTTTTTTAATATTTTATTATTTATTTATCTTTAGAGGGGAAGGGGGGGAAGGAGAGAGGGAGAGAAACATCAATGTATGGTTGCCTTTTGTGTGTCCCCTGCTGGGAACTGGCCTGCAGGGAACCGGCCTGCAACCCAGGCATGTGCCCTGACTGGGAATCGAACCGCGATCATGTGGTTCGCAGGCCTGTGCTCAATTCACTGAGCTACACCAGCCAGGGCTGCATATGTTCTTTCTGATTAGTGTTTCAGGTTTTTTAGAATATATTCTCAGAAGTGGGATCACTGGGTCAAAAGGCAGTTCCATTTTCAATTTTCTGAGGAAACCCCACACTGCCTTTCATGGTGGCTGCACCAATCTTCATTCCCACCCTTTTCTCCACAGAATCTAAGGAACCAAAAAAAAAAAAAAAAGGCATGGATACATGGAACAGACTGACAGCTGATAGAGGGCAGGGAGTGGGAGGACTGGATGAAAGAAGGTGAAGGAGTTAGCCAAAAAAACAAATACATAACCCATGGACACAGACTACAGTGTGGTCATGGCCACAAAAGAAGGGGGAGAGGGGCAGATGGAGGTGGGCAAAGGCAGGGAAATGGTGACTGAAAGAGACTTTGCTTGGGGCAATGGGTGCCTGGCACAGGGTGCGGTGATGTTTAATTGAGTTGTGCACTTGAACCCTGTATGGTCTAACAAACCAATGTCACCCCAATAAATTTAATTTTTTGAAAAATTGCATATGGAAAAAGCAATGAGAATTAATAGGTGGTCCTGCAAAGGGAACAATAACAAAATGAAAAAGGAACCTACAGAATGGGAGGAAACATTTGCAAATCATACATCTGATCAGGGGTTGACATTCAAAAATATATATCTAAAGAATTCATACAACTGAACAGAAAAAAATGCAATTATAAAATGGGCAGAAGACCTGCATAAACATTTCTTTCAAGATGACATACAGATGGCCAACAAGGACATGAAAGGGAGGTCAATGTCAGTAGTTTTATCTAGGAAATAGTCAAAACCATGATGAAATCTCACCTAACACCTGTTAAAATAGCCACTATCAAACAAGATGAGATAGCAAGCATCAGTGAGGATGTGGAGAAAAGGGAACCCTCGTGCACTGTTGGAGAAGAATGTACATTGGTGCAGCCTCTATGGAAAACAGTATAGAGGGTCCTCAAAAAAATTAAAAATACAGCCCTGACCAGTAGGGTGGGGTGTTTTCCTGCAAAGTGAAAGGTCACAGGTTTAATTCCCAGTCAGGGCACATGCCTGAGTTTTGGGTTCAGGTCCCAGACAAGGTGCGTACAAGAAGCAAATGATCCATGTTGCTCTCTCACATTGATGTTTCTCTCCTCTTTCTTCCTCCCTTCCCTTCTCTCTAAAAATCAATAAACACATCCTCAGGTGAAGATTTAAAAAAAAAGAATTTGGAGGGAGGGAACATATGTGAAATGTTGAGAGAGTCTAGGAACTACCTGAACTCATTCACTACATGAAAACTTAACACTAAAACAGAAGGAGGCCGATTCCGGGTGGTGAGCGCACAAGGGTGTAGACACTTCGTACTATAAAGGTGTACACCTGAAGTTTATATCATGTTATTTTTAAGCATTTTTTAATTTAATTATCGTTCAAGTACAGTTTTCTGTCTTTTGCTCCCATCCCAGCCCACCCCCCCCAGTGCTCCCCACCTCCCTCCCATTTCCACCCCCCTTAGTTTTTGTCCATGTGTCCTTTATACCAGTTCCTATGAATCCTTCCCCTTTTCCCCTGAAATTTTCTCCCCTCTCCCCTCTGGTCCCTGCCAGCCTGTTCTGCATTTCAGTGTCTTTGGTTATATTTTGCGTGCTTGTTTGTTTTGTTGCTTAGGTTCTTGTTAAAGGTGAGATCATATGGTATTTGTCTTTCACCGCCTGGCTTATTTTATATTGTGTTATTAATCAGTTACTCCAATATACTTCACAAAAAACTTATAGGTTCCAAAGCCCCCATTGCTAACTTGAACATCGTACTATGTGTCTTGAATGGTGAAACTGGTGGGGGGTTGGAATTCCAGCAAGAAGGAAAGACTGACCTTAAACCCCATGGAGCAGGCTACTGTCTTCTTCAGCAAAGCATGGAGGAGGTGAAAGGTGGAAAAAAGGGAGAGTGAGAGGGGACAGTTCTTACCTCTCCTCCCAGGTTTCTGATTCCAAGATTCTCTCATCCTCCAGGAATATCCACCTCTCCACCTGCAGCGAAAACTTCTGCACGTACTGACAATGCTGGAGACAGAATGCTGAGTGCACAAGGTCCACTTTGCTTTGCAAATGCAGGGACATTTCCCTGACATGAGCCATGGCCTCCTTCACGAACAGCTCATCCTGAGATTCATAGAGACAGTAGAGCACCTCCTTCACATCCGTGGTCGAGGAGAAGGGTTCACTCTCACCAGACGATGACCTCCGTAATTCACCAGACAATGACCTCAGTAACTCCTGCTTGACCCACAAGGACACTGGGCAGCCAAAGGTCATCTCCAGCTCCCTGGATCTCTGCTCATTGGAGAGGCCAAATAAGAAGTAGCCCACATGAGTCAGGTTGGGGTTCTTCAGTCTTTCTTCCTTGGAGAGCAGCATCTGCAGATTCCCTATGTTTGGCCTGCGGCTGCCCCCATAGTTCTGCTTCTCACTGTCCAGAATGTAGAACACAGCAGCCAGAAGCTGCTGGACACTGAGGTGGATAAAGGTGTAGTAGCCTTCACAGTCTAGGTTCTCCTGGATGATGTTTTTGTCCAGGAAAGGCCGGAGGTCAGACTCCTTGAGCCCCAGACTCCTGAGATCTTCTCTATCCAGCACGGACGTCTGCTCCCAGAGGCCCTCAGCAGCCAGAAGACACGCTGACCTCAGTGCAGCTTGCAGGGGCCCTTGGGGGCAGCTGGCAGAGGTGGATGTGAACTGGCCACACAGGAAACGCAGGAAGAGTGAGGTGGTGGTTTGGCAGGTCAGGTCTAGGTCTTGTTCCTGCTCCATCTGCTGGCTCAGGCAGGTGCAGGTGACCCAGCACACAGCAGGCATGCAGCCCATGTGGAACAAAGCCGGGTTGCTACTCATGGCCTCGAAAGCTTGCAGGGCTTGGTCCTCATCCGCAAAGTGCTTCAGGAAGTAGTTCCTCCTGCCCTCCTCCGAGAGCCCCTCCACCTCTATGAATACAGGTTGCTCAGTCAGGAGCCGGAGGTCTCTCAGGGCCCTGGGGCGTGTGGTAACCAGCAACGTGGCCTTGGGGAGCAGTTTCCTCTTCAGCAAACTGGCCAGCAGGATGGGCACTGGCTTCTGCTTCTTCCAGTCACAACAAATGTCATGGATGAGTGACTCTGAGGGGACCCTGAGCTCATCAAAGCCATCAATGACAAACAAGATGTTCTGGGCTTGGTCTGGGATCTCGGCTTCCTGCATGTCTACCCTGGTCTTAGATACCAGCTCTGCAAAAGTGCAGGTGCCCTGGCGGTTCATCTCCTTACAGCTGAGATAGAAGGTTAACTTGAGTGTATTGGGGAGCTTGTCCTGTCTCCACTCGAGCATCCACTTCTTGGCCAGTGTGGTCTTCCCAATGCCCGCAGGGCCATGCAGCACCACGGTCAGTGGCCTTAACTCTATGGGTGCTTTGGGACTCCAGAACGATGTGAACTTTTGGCTCCTCGAGGTGACTTTGTAGTGAAAGTCATCACCATCTCCAGGCCAAAATGTATGCTTCCAGATAGTATAAACTTTCTCCATGGTGTTTCTCTCTCTCTCTCTCTCTCTATTTCACCTGTAAGGGTATGCAATAGGCAAAAGTTGGGGCAGCCCATGATTATGCTTAACTGGAAAATGAGAAAGACCAGGAAGAAACAAAGTATCTTGCACTGTACCAAACATCAAATGTATGACTCTAAGACAGTATTTACCCACCTGGGGTTTTTTGGTTATTAATTTTAGAGAGAGGGGAAGGGGGAGAGTGAGAGAGAAAAGCATTGATTTATCATCCCACTTACTTATGCATTTATTGGTTCATTCTTGTATGTGTCCTGATGGGGGATTGAACCCACAACCTTGGGATATCAGGACAGAGCTACCCGGCTGGGCATCCACCTGGCTTTTCTCACCTCCAAGAACCCTTCTTTCTCACCCAGCTTCCAGTTATCTACTTTTCACACTTGTGTGCACTTTGTAAAATACTCATAGCTGCAGCTTGGCCCACGGGATTATTTGTACTCCCTAGAGCAGACACTATCGCAGACAAAGAATACTACAAATATCCTTCAATCTACTTTCTTTGTATTATGGTAAGATACACATAACATTTTTTAGCTGTTTTAAAGGGTATGATTCAGTGGCATTGAAAATATCCACAATGGTGTGCAACCATCATCATGAGCTAGTTGCAAGAGTTTCGCCACTCCTAACAGATACTCAATGCCCATTAAACACTCACTTCCCTCTTCCTCAGACCCTGGCAACCACTAATATGCTTTCTCTCTCTGTGGGATTACCTATTTGGGACATTTCACACTGCTTGATTAAAGGAACTTCTAATGTCATAGGGGCTGAAGATACATAAACACCTTTCAATGTAATGGAATCAAGTCTATGTGCCAGGGGGTAAGTTTTATAAAAATACCAGACACCTAAGAATAAGTCTAAGACATGTCATGTCTCTCCCCAGAGATCCCCAAGTTTGTAAATAACATCAAAGAAATTAGCAGTTAATGGAGAAAGAACATCTGTGGGTTGGGAGGCTCTGTATGATAATATCAGTTCTTTCCAAATTGTTCTACAGTTCCCATGAATTTCTGTCCAATATCCCAGCATGTTTGGGTGCTTGATTGGCTAAGTCTGAAGTTTACATGGCCTGGTCAGGAGCTCATTTGGTAGGGGCATCATCCCATGCACCACAAGGTTGTGGGGTCAGTGCCCAATCAGGGCACATACCTAGGTTGCAGGTTTGATCCTCAGTCAGGCATAAAACCAGGATGACAAAAATCGAACCATTGCTTGATCGGTTTCCAGGTCCTTATCCGAATGTACTGTGCTCATCTGCACAGAGAACTTTTCAACCCCCTCCCTCAGTCTCTTTGCTCTGCCTTCCCTCTCCCTCCTTGTAAAAACCTCTGCCTGCACTGAAATATTAAGATGGGCTTTGGGACACGAGTCCCCTACTTTCTCAGGTGACTGGCACTTAAATAAACCACTTTCCTTTTCACCAACACCTGTCTCCTGAGCATTGGCTTTCAAAGCAGCAGGTAGCTGAACCTGGGTTCAGTATAAATGACATACATGGGTATACACATATGCATGTAATCACTAATCAGATTGCTGGTGTTAATGACGCTCCATGTGTAAAACTAGTAAGAGATTATATGTATGTACAAGGTGAGCAAAAATAGGTCTACAGTTATGAGAACATGAAACAGTTTATTCTTGTGTTATTTATTAATTATTGTATTATATTCCATATGAACAACTATAAATCTACTTTTTATTGAATTTCTTGGAGTGACATTATATAGGTTTCAGAAAATAAATAAATATTAAAAATAATAGTAAAGACCACATATAATAACCTACAGCCAACATCATACTCAATGGGCAAAAACTAAAAGCATTTGCCTTAAGATCAGGAACAATACAAGGATGTCCACTTTCACCACTCTTATTCAACATAGTAAAGGAAGTTCTAGCCACAGCAATCAGACAAAAAGAAATAAAAGGTACCCAAATTGGAAAGGAAGAAGTAAAACTGTCATTATTTGCAGATGACATAATATTGTACATAGAGAACCCTAAACACTTCGCAAAAAACTACTAGATCTAACAAGTAAAATTGGCAAAGTAACAACCTGCAAAATTAATTTAGAAATTGGTGGCATTCTTATATATTAATAATAAACTCTCAGAAAGAGAAACTAAGAAAACAGTCCCATTTACTATTGCAACAAAAAAAATAAGGTAGTCATGAATAAACTTAACCAAGGAGATAAAAGACCTGTATTCAGAAAACTGTAGGATATTGAAAAAAGAAATTGAGGAAGATACAAATAAGTGGAAGCATATACCATGTTCATGGATTAGAAGAATTTATATCATTAAAATGTCTATACTACCCAAAGCAAGTTATACCTTCAACACAATTCTTCTTAAAATACCAATGGCATATTTCACAGATCTAAAACAAATGTTCCAAAAATTTATTTGGAATCCAAAGAAAAATATCTCGATTAGTCTCAGCAATTTTGAGAGAGAAGAACAAAGTTGAAGATATCACAATACTTGTTATCAAACTCTACTACAAGGCCATGGTCATCAAAACACCTTGGTACTGGCCTAAGAACAGGCACACAGATTAATGGATCACAAGAGAGAATCCAGAAAAAATCCACACCTTTATGGACAATTAATATTTGACAAAGGAAGGGAGAACATACAATGGAGTAAAGGCAGTCTCTTCAATAAGTGGTGTTGGAAAAATTGAGCAGGTACATACAAAAAAAATAAAACTAGACCAGCAACTTGCACCATACATAAACTCAAAAATGGGTTAAAAAACTTAAACGTAAGTCATGAAAACATAAAAATCCTAGAGAAAACATGGGCAGTAAAATCCCAGACATCTCTTATAGTAATATTTTCCCAGGGCAAGGGAAACAAAGAAAAAATAAACAAATGGAACTACATGAAGCTAAAAACTTCTGCACAGCAAAAGAAACCAACAAAATGAAAGGGAACCCAGTGTATGGAAAAACATATTTGCCAATAAAACATCTGATAAGGAGTTAAATTCCAAAATATATAAAGTACTTATACACTCAAAACCAAGAAGACAAACAATCCAATTAAAAATGGGCAAAGGACATAAATAGACACTTCTCCAAAGAGAACAAACAGATCGTCAATAGGCATATGTAAAAAATCTCAACATCACTAATCATCAGAAAGATACACATTAAAACCACAATGAGATACCACCTCACATCTGCCAGAATGGCCACCATCAATGAATCAACAAACAACATGTGTTGGAGAAAAGGAAACCTTTGTGCACTGTTGGTAAGAATGCAGATTGGTGCAGCCACTGCGGAAAGCAGTATGGAGTTTCCTAAAAAAATTTTAAATGGAACTGCCTTTTGACCCAGCAATCTCATTTATGACAATATATCCTAAGAATCCCAAAACACCAATTCAGAAAAATATATGCACCCTATGTTCATAGCAGCATTATTTACCATAGTCACTTATCTGGAAATAGCTGAGGTGCCCATCAGTAGATGAGTAGACAAAAAACTGTGGTACATATACATGATTAAATACTAGTCAGCCATAAAAAAGAAGGAACTCTTACCTTTTGCAACAGCATGGGTGGACTTGGAGATTATTATGCTAAGTGAAATAAGCCAATCAGAGAAATACAAATACCATATGATTTCACTTCGATGTGGAATCTGATGAACAAAGTAAGTTGATGAACAAAACAGAGGCAGAGGCACAGATACATGGAATAGACTGACAGCTGTCAGAAGGGAGGGGGACTGGATGAAAGAAAGTAAAGGGATTAGCCAAAGAACATACATGCATGACCCATAGACACAGATGGCAGTATGGTAATGGCCAGAGGAAGGGGGAGCAGGGGCTGGGTAGAGGTGGGCAAAGGTAAGGAAATGAGGACATTTATAATAGTGAAAATAATAAAAATAAAGAAAAAAACAATAAAGTAAAATAAATAATATTATGTTATAAAATTATACATGTAGGTTTTAGGGGTACAATTCTATAATACATAATCTGTATATTGTCTTGTATATTCACCACCCAAAGTCCAGTCTTCTACCCACCTCTGCCTACTTCCCCCCTACTCCCTTGTACCTGCCCTCGTCCCTTCTTGCCCTCTAGTAATCACCATACTGTTCTGTGTCTGAGTTTTAGGGGGGAGGGTTGTTTGTTTAATCCCTTCACTATTTTTACCCAGCCCCACAATTCCTTTCTCTCTGAGAGCCATCAGTCGGTTCTTTATCTATGAGTCTGTTTCTGTTTTGTTTGTTAGTTAATTTTGTTCATTAGATTCCACACATGAGTGAAATCATGTAAACCTACTTTTGCCCCACTTTGTATACCTCGTAAATACATAATAAAGCTGAGACAAACATATTCAATCTAAGATTGTGTCCCAAGTATACTTCAATAATAAATAAATAGGAAGTTCATGTAGCTTTTTGACTTAAAAGTCACAGAATTCAGGTAAAGGACAAAATATGAGTGCACGAAATGTTCACTTTATAAGCATAACCCCTTTATCTGGACAATCCCCCCTATATTTTTCTGTCACCCCTGTCCAGTTGGTATTCAATCTTACACTGGTTATATTAGTTTCAGGTGCACGATATCGTTGTTTGACATTTATATACCTGACACTGTGATTCCCCCAGATTTGGTGACCATCTCTCACCCTGTAAACCTGTCATGATGTTGTGTACACTTGTCACAATGCTATTTATGACACTCCCTTTCTCCTCTCCACTCATCCCCTATCCCCTCCTTTCTGGTAATCATCTCTATGCAAATTCTAGCATTCAGGCTCTGTGCTTTGTACACTAAACTTGAATCCAAGGGCGGTGGTTCTCCGAGTGTGGCCTCTAAGACCAGCAGCAGCATCTGCAAACTTGTTTGAAATGCCGGTTCTAAGGCCTGACCCCAGACCTACCAAATTGGAAACTCTTGAGATGGCCCAGGAAGGTGTGTTTTAACAAATCCTCCAGGTGATAATGATGAGGACTGGTCTCAGGGCCACAGGCTGAGGGAGAAGAAAGGCCCAAGTTTCCATGGCCAAGGTTATCACATTTAATGCAAGAAGCGGAGACTGAGGCTTGCCAGACTGAGGATTGCCAGCAAGGAATTGGAGGGTGGGGTGGAAAAGGGGGATTAGGAAGAATAAATTGGTGGTTACAAAATAGTCATAAGGATATAAACTATACCACAGAGAACACAGTCCATAATGTTGTCATAATGGTGTATAGAGTCAGCTGGCAATTGGAAATACCAGGGAGATCACTGTAAAGTATATGATTGGCTAATCACTATTCTGTACACCTGGAACTGGTACAAAATAATGTTGGATGCAAACTGTAATCGAAAAATAGAAGTTAAGGAAAAAGAACCTGTGCGCTCAATCACAGATACATGGCCTCAACCAATTAAATAAAAACAAATTAAAATCTTTACATTCTAATAGGAAGGACACAGGGACGAGAACTAAGGGGGGTAGAAATGGGAGGGAGGTGGGGAGCAAGGGGCGGGGGAGGCTGGGATGGGAAAAATAGACAAAAAACTGTACTTGAAAAATAACTAAATAAAATTAATTTTTAAAAAAATCTTTACATTCTCAGGCAATAGTAAGGATTAGTCACCAGATGAAATACAACTGCTTAGTAAAAACAGAGGGGATAGTACCATATTTTGCTGTATATAACACACACTTTTTTTTCCAAATTTTTGAGGGAAAAATGAGAATACACATCGTGCATGGGTAGTACTAATTCTGTATCTATATAAATTGTTTTTAATTCTTTTATTTATGCTTAGGCATTAAAAGTATGACTCTAGAAAGCAATAATGGCATCTGTATGCAAAAGAAGACCCTGGAATATAATCACTGGTTTTGTTTCTAAATGTAAATAAATAAATAAATAAATAAATAAAATTTTAAAAATTGAAACAAAAGATTTTTTTCCTGAAAGTGTGAGCCAAAAACACGGGTGCATATTAGACATGGGAGCGCATTATCTACAGCAAAATACAGTACATCTGTTCAGATGAATGCATGGTGAAAAATGTCTCAACACGCAATGGATAATAAGGGCTCTTGGCAGTTCTGAAATAGTAAGTGTAAAAATGCTCATGCTGAAAGGTAAAGTCAAAAGAGAATAAAGGACAAGTGACACACCCAGTGTACCAATGGGAGCAAGCCCTCCAGTCCCTCAAATGGAAAAGTCGTAAAAACATATAATAAACCTCTGGAATCCAAAGACTGTGCTTGAGTGTCAATCAATGTCATGGATAATTTGGGTCCAGATATTATCCTTTTTCAGTGCTGTCTTTGATCCGCGTGCATTTGGTCTCGAGAGGAAAAACAGGCAAGGGAGACTGAGTCACCCAGGTCACAAAGAGTCGGAGAGTCGTCAGGAATCTCCATGGGGAAGGGGGAGGGAGAAGGAAGACGTCTGTCCTGTTTTCCAGTTAAGATGGAAGGAAGCCACCTAGGGAAGGTGGTGGGGAGAGGGGGATGGGAGCTAGACTTGAGAGGACAGACGGGGACAGAGTCGAGTGGACAATGAGGACTTGGAGACTCCTAGAAACCCCAATGCCAGAGTCAGAAACTAGGTTCCTGCTGAAAGAGCCCACAGGGTGATGAGAGGAACGAGGCTCTGACAAGCAGTGACCCACATGAGAAGAAAATGAGGTCTGGAGGAATTTTTGGTAAGACAATGAGGAAGAAGAAGTCTTGCCCCTACAGGCAGGACGCACAGAAAAGTGTCCGTATGAAGCAGGCCACAAAAATCTCCATCTCTCCACAGGTCTGCTTACAGATGGATAATCTGGTCGTTGGGTGACTCCAAGGAGGCCAGCCAGGCTGGGAGTTAACCCCAATGGAGACAGGCCCACTTTCTAACCCGGCAGCCCAGCACAGGTAAACCACACTGGATATTGGAGGCACATGGGTGCACCCAGGCACAAGCTCTCCCAGAGCTCAGGGGATGGTACTCAACTCCCTGGGGGAGAAATGGGGCGGAGTCAGGGGAGGAAGCAAGAGAGGAAATTCGGGTTTCCTACCGCCAAGTGCGGACGAGTGTGCATGTCTGAGAACCCCTGCTGACCCTGCTGAAGTAGCTGTGGGTGACAAGTCATTCATGTCCAATTCCCACCCATACACCCCACTGTTCCACCAACAGCTGCATGAGGAGTCTCCCAATGACAGTGCGCAGAGGCCACTGGCTACTTACATCACTGTCTCTGCTCTTTGAACAGGGAAAACAGACTCGTTCCCAGCCTGAACAAATGGGTGGGGAAGAAAAGGGGGTCCCTTCGAGAGCAGATAAGGGCGGGACTTGAGAGGGAGGCTTGGGAAATGACTGCTAGCAGCCAGCCGATGATGGGACCAGGTGGAGAGCTTTACCTGGGAGGGGATGAAGAGCTGGTCTTTCTTTGAAATAGGTCTGAGCAAGGAAGGAAGAAGGCCAGAGAGGATAAGTCTAGAAGCTGAGCAGAATGAGCCTGAGAGGCTCCATTGCCATCGCGAAATAAAAATAAATAAATAAAGGTGCCTACTCTACTGTGCACCTGAAACTAATACAGAACGATATTGAGCCTTGGCCCGCAAAGTTGCAGGTTCGATCCCGAGTCAGGTACATACCAGAAGCAACCAATGAATGTATCAATAAGGGAAGCCATAAGTCGCTGTTTCTCTCTCTCCCCACTCCCCTCAAATCAATATTTTTTTATTAAAAATATAATATTGACTATCAACTCTAACAGATATATAAATAAAGTCAGCTGTGCTATGCCAAAAAAAATTAAACCGAAGGCACCTGCTGGAAGGAAGTGTTGCATTACAGCCTACGATGACAGTGATATTCTGTTGTCATAGCTTATTGGGGGAGGGCGGAAATACAAGACTGTAAATTCCATGACGACATCACTCTCCTGCAGAAGGCATTTCTGTGATGCTTGCATCTGTCTTTTGGGATCCAGAAGGAATGTCACCCCGACCTACAGATCTGACAGATGGAAGCTCAAGGTCATGCATGGCACAAAATGGTGGTTAGGAGTGTGTACACCACAGAGGGGCGGGTGGGATCTCTGCAGGGCCACAGAAATGTTCTGAAATCAGACTGTGGGCAGTGGTTACACAACCCTGTAAGCCTACAAAAAATCATGACATGCTTAAAACAGGTGGATTCTACAAGATGGAATGATGCTTCCATGGAACACTTGAAAATAACATGAGAAGGGAAAAAATGGCCTGTGGCATCCTAGGCAGCTGTCTCCTCCCCATCTGTTCTCTTCTCATTGCAAAAGAGAGCTCAGCCCGGGGACCTCCAACCCCCCTCTAAAACCCTCACAGTGAGCGTTAAAGCTTGCCCCGCTGGGTGTGGTAGGGACTAAACCAGTAGTTGCTGTTTACTGAAAGGACGAGGCAGAGAAAGAGCTAGGAGGGCTGATACTCACCTACCCGAGTCTGGGACTTCCTTGTAGCCTGAGCAGATCCCAGCCAATGAGTTCTCCAATAAGAGGAGTTCTTCTGCCGGCCCACGCTTCATGATTGGCCTGTGGCACCCCCATGGGAGCCGATCTTTCTGCCCTGGTGGAATAACCCCTCTGATCACCAATGGGTGCTTGTCAACCTTCCAAATGAGACTCACATTGAAAGGACCTGGGCCCTCTTCATGGAGAGATCCTAATTGAATTGGTCTGGAGTAGGCAATAGAGAACCAGGAGCCTTCAGAAGCTCCCTGGTGATTCTTATGTTCAATCCGGTTCTCAGACCATCTAGGTGAGGGTTTTCAACCTCAGCACTGCTGGCCTTTGAAAGTGGGTGGTTCTTTCATATGGAGAGCTGTCCTGTCTACGGTAGGGTGCTCAGCAGCATCTGTGGCCTCCACCTACCAGATGTCAGTAGCATCTCCAGTTGTGACAATCCAAAATGTCTCCAAATAGTGTCCAGTGTCCCGTGGAAAATGAACTAGCCCCCTCCTGAGAACCACTGACGAGGTTGCAATTAATGGCTTCTTCCCATCATATCAGTTATATTGAAATGCGTGCACATTCTATGTTAAATAAAATTGATAGCTCTGGCTGCTGTGGCTCAGTGGATTGAGTACTGGCTTGTGAACTAAAAGGTCACAGGTTCAATTCCCAGTCAGAGCACATGCCTGGGTTGCAGGCCAGGTTCCCCAGTTGGGGGCATGCAGGGGGCAACCAGCTGATGCATCTTCCCTAGCACATTGATCTTTCTCTCCCTCTCTTTCTCCCTCCATTCCCCTCTCTCTAAGAAGAAAATAATAAAATCTTTAAAAAATTGATAGATCAGCCCTGGCTGGTGTAGCTCAGTGGATTGAGCGCGGGCCTGCGAACCAGACAATCGCGGTTCGATCCCAGTCAGGGCACATACTGGGGTTGCAGGCAGGTTCCCTGCAGGCCAGTTCCCAGCAGGGGATGCATGAAAGGCAACAATACATTGATATTTCTCTCCCTCTCTCCTTCCCTTCCCCTCTAAAGATAAATAAAATCTTTAAAAATTAAAAAAAAATTGATAGATCAAAACAGCCAACCTCACTTGTTCTACAGCTGACGATATTTATTTAGATTGACATTTAAATATGACAGAAATTTAAATAAGATAGTTCAGTGCGTATTAGCTTGACTTATTTCGTATTAATTTTTATGTGTATTAATTTTGACTCCTTTGCCAATTTGAAAGCCATCTCCCCCCCAGAAGAAAAAAACTTGAAAACTAGTCAGGTGGCTCAGTTAGTTGGCACATCTCCCATATACCAAAAGGTTGTGGGTTCAATACCTGGTCAGGGTACATACCTAGGTTGCAGGTTCCATCCCCAGTTGGAACACATGCAGGAAGCAACCAAGTGATGTTTCTTTCTCAGATTGATTTTATTTCTTTTTTTTCTTTTTTTTATTTATTTTTTTAAATTGATTATGCTGTTACAGTTGTTCTATTTCCCCCCTTCATTCCCCTCCACCCTGCCCCCCCATCCCCACCATTACCCCCCTTTAGTTTATGTCCATGTGTCTCAAGTCCTTTAGGTTCTATATTTCCCATGCTATTCTTGCCCCCCCATCTATTTTCTATCTACTGTCTATGCTACTTATTCTCTGTACCTTCTCCCCCCATCTCCTCCTCCCACTCCCCTGTTGCTAACCCTCCTTGAGATCTTCATTTCTATGTTTCCACTCCTGATCTAGCTGTCCTTTTAGTTTGCTTTTGTTTTAGGTGTGGTTGTTAATAACTGTGAGCTTGTTGTTCTTTCACTGTTCATGTTTCTTTAACTTCTTTTTCTTCGATAAGTCCCTTTAACATTTACCACGCCCCCACATACAGCGTCACAACCCAGCGACCTGGGAGTCCAAGGCGCCGCTTCTCACATTTAAAGGGCCAGAACAGACCAAAAATGTCGCAGGAAGACCTCAAAGCCCCAGAGATAAATCTAAGCGACGAAGAAATAGCAAAACTCTCAGACGCACAGTTTAAAACACTGGTCATCAGGATCCTCACAGATCTGGTTGATTATAGCCACAAATTAGAGAAACATATGAAGGCTAAACTAATGGAAATGAATGGAATTCCACAGGAAACCCATAGCGATGAAAAGGAAACTGGGACTCAAATCAATGGAGTGGACCAGAAGAAAGCAAATAATGGCCAAACAGAAAATAGTGAAGAAGCGAGAATTCAAAGAAATGAGGAGAGTCTTAGGAACCTCCAGGACATCTTTAAACGCTCCAATATCTGATTTTATTTCTTTAGTTTCTCTATAAACATTTGGGTTTATCTTTCTCTTTTATTACTTAATCATTTTTATTTTTGTTCTATTACACTCATCTCAATTTTTCCCCTATTGTCCTCCTCTGCCCATCCCACACCCTCTCCCATAGTTGATTCCCACACCGTTGTCCATGTCCATGGGTTATTCACACATGTCCTTTGTTGAGTTTCTTCCTCTTCTTTCCACCATTATCCCCCTCCCTCCTCTCTCTGATCACTTTCGGGCTGTTTCATGTTCCCATGCCTGTGGTTCTATTTTATTCGTTAGTTTATTCTGTTCATTACATTCCTCTTATAGGTGAGTATGCAGCAGAAAGAAAGGAGGAACTCCTACCTTTTGGGACAGCATGGATGGAATTGGAGAATATGGCGCTAAGTGAAATAAGCCAGTCGGTAAAAAACAAAAGGCTTATCTTTCTTTTACAAGTCTGTTTTTCTTTCCAGCTTTATTGATCTGATTAACAAATGGAAATTGCATATATTTAAGGTGGACAATGTGATGTTTGGGAATATTATGTTTACTATATCTATCAATTAGCCCCCACAAAGGGGAATTCAGTTGAAATCAACACAGTTTGTAAAAGGTACCTTCCACATTGCTGCTTTTATACTCACACATAAAACACTCCCCGCAAGCCATCACTTCCTTTACTCAGCAAACAGTCATGCCTTTTCAAAACTCACCCTGAAAGTTCAGAAATACTGCAATACCAATCCAGCATGTATATTTATAATTAATCTCATCCATAAACACCAAGCATACATTAAACTAAAAATGGCATTTATCAGGAACACATCTGATAAGGAATAGGAATATTTTCATAGGCACCCAGGACAGGTGAGACTTCTGCAAATCAACCACATGCCCCAGAATAAGACAGAAGCAGCTTAGGTTAGCCAGCTCCCAGGTATCCAGCACCACGCGACATTTTAACAGGACAATTGAGCAGCCTGTGCAATGAAAAGAAAGTATCCACAATCAATTTTAAAATGAAAAACTACCTTTAATAATAATTGAATTACTGAGCAAACTATTCCTTTGCATGTGCTACATCCTTTATTCCTCATAAAACTTATGAGGAAAGTACTATTATCATCAGCAATTTGGCTGATGTTAAGAACTAAAGCTCAGTTACAGAATTATAGTCAGTGGATCTAAGATTCAAATCAAGACAAGATGACAGTCAGTATCTTCTTGCACTACTAGTGAATAACTAACTCGCAGCTAACTAAGTGAATCAATCACCAAATGCATAAATTAAAGTATACAGTTGCTTATTCACAAACACATATTCCAGGCTTCACAAAAATCAACTAGAAGGCAAAATAACCACAAACACATTGATGGATTCATAGGTACCATGATCCAGTTATTACCTTATTTCACTTAATCACCTATAGCCCTATAAAATGTGTTTACACTTAACATCCCTGTTTACAACTGAAGAAATTGACTGAAATATTGAGTGACTCCTCCCCAAAGTTCACAGAACTCACAGGTGGCAGGAGGAGAGGGACAGATTTAGACAGGCTTCCAATGGAATAAGTGAGTTTGGATGGGGTAGACAGAGCCTGAAACAGTGGTTAAATATGAAAAAGAGGAACTACCTGGTGAGAACAGAGCACTGGATGAACTGATAAGAAGCCACAATCGAGAATGCCTTAACAGGAATGTCCCGTGTTGTCAGAACAGATCTAAGCCAGGCCAGGGGTCTCTTAAGGGGGCAAGTGAGTAACATGAACAAGACTATCATGTGAAGAGGGAGAAAGAAAAACCACCCTTCAAATCACCTGCTTGGAAATGAGCTGTCTGGCATTGTCTGGTGTGGCTCAGTTGGTTAGAGAGTCATCCTGCAAAGCAAAAAGTCAGTGGTTCAATGCCTGTGTTCAGGCCCTGGTCGGGGTGTGTATGAGAGGCAACCAATATTTCCTTTCCTTTCCTTCTCCCTCATTCTCCTCTCTCTAAATATAAATAAATAAATAATTTTGAATGGGATGGAGGGTGCATAGGGTAGGGGAGACCAACAGGGGAAAAGTTGAGACAATTGCAACTGAACTCAATTTTTTGAAAAAAGAAAATAAAATATCTATTAAAAACATTTTAAAGAAATAAGCTCTCCAAATCCTGCCACATGTGACAGCAGGGATGAACCTGGAGGAACTTGATGAAGGCTCCACCAGTGCGCAGGTTTAAGCACAAAGGTGAAGGGGCATAAAGATCGGGGAGAATGCAGAAGGAAGGGGTGTCGAAACCACGGTGACAAAGGGAAGCTACATGTTGGCTGGTCAGCACAAAATGCGATATACAGATGATGTTATAGAAAATGACACACTTGAAACCTCTATAATGTTATTAACCAACACCACCCCAGCTCATTTAATTTAGAAAAGGACAAAGGTGTGACTTCAACCAATGGGATATCTCCTTTAGGTTTAATGTTGACTGAGTTCCAGGGACAGAATTCATACCAACAGCACCTTGGAGAAATACACAGCAACAGGACAAATGATAGTTCCACAATGGCCCCTCCAGGGAGATCTGTCTGGGACACTTTGCACACTCAGCTGTTAGCACTTCTCAGGAATTCATTGTCATTCCTGCCATTTCATACATGAAGAATGGAACACAGAATTGACAAAAGAGGACCTTGAGTTCACACAGTATTTCAGAGCAGACTTCAGGTTGGAAATTGTTTATTTCCTCTTCTTTACCCTGTGGTTATCTTACCCCATCCACTACAAAAAAAAAAAAAAGATTGAAATGGAGCACAGAAAATACAAAATCATATTAGATGAACTCTTTTTATGAGCACAGTGGCAAGGCACACCCTGGCATTTAGAATCAAGAGCCATGAGCTCACAGAGTATTTCAGAGCCCATCTTGGGAACTACTTCTGATCTGCTTTTTATCTATGCTCCCCACTCACTGTGCACTTTAAACAGAAAGATGAAGTGCTCCTGAGGAATTGGGGACAGAAATAGGGACCAAGTTGATAGATAGCATTCTGAAAGTCAGATGACTATCATCTTCATGGCTGAGCTGCATCTGCAAGACTCACCCAGAAGAGGTTGTGAAATGTCTTCTTTCACTCTGGGGTGAAACCCAAGGCCACTGCACCACTTCCTGTTGCCTTAATCTTATAGATTAAGGCAAATCTGTGCCTCATACTGCAGCATAGCTGGGGCAAGCAGCCAGCTGAACCGTCAATCATGTCCCTGATCCTGCCTACTCTGCTCTGTCTTGGTGAGTCTGGGCAGAAGGGTCAGAGTGCAAAAACAAGGCTACAGGGGGTAGGTCAGTGGTTCTGTAAGATGGGGCTGTTCTCCAATAAAAATGAAGAAAACAAAACAGAAAGGAACCCATAAACATAGAGAGCTGACTGATGGCTGCCAGAGGAGAGGGAGATTGGAGGACTGGGCAGAAAAGATGAAGGCATTGAGAAGGTCAGGTTTGTGGCTATAAAATAGTCATGGGATATAAAGTATGGCATAGGAAATATAGTCAATAATATTGTAATATCTGTGTAGGTGTCAGATGGGTGCTGGAAATATCAGGGGGACACATTATAAAGTACATGATGGTCTGACCACCATGCTGTACACTTGAAACTGATACAAAATAATATTGAATGTGAACTGCAAATGAAAAAAAAATTAAGTCTCAGTTGTTCTCATCTGTTCTTTTCTTCCAGAGCTAATTCTGGGTCAGAGCATACAGGCTCAGAAAGGTAAGTATTTTTGTTATATTATTTTTTATTATTATCTTCTTTTCTAATTATGAAGTGAGTTTTTTTTTTGAGTTCCAAAGACTGAGTTGGGTTTGGCTAGATATCAGCTCTTTTGGCTCCTGGGAAAAGGCATCTTTGCTTTAACCTTGTGGCTGTAAGCATGGAGGCAGTGGGGAGTGGCACGAGAAACAGATACACCTGTACATTTCTCACCTGTTCTTCTAGGAGGTTTACCCCAACCTAATATCACAGCTCATCCCAGATCCATAGTTCCTTATGGTAAGCATGTGACCATCCAGTGCTGGGGACCTGCAGAAGCTGGAGCATACAAGATATTTAAAGAGGGAGGACCTGAGCCTAAAGAGGCTAAGACATCCACTTTATATATCCAAATTATCGAACTAGACTGGACAGGACTGTACCACTGTTCCTACAGGAGTAGAGAACTCTGGTCCCCACACAGTGCCCCCCTGCCAGTGGTCTTGACAGGTGAGTGACACACAGGCAGCAGGGCCAGGTGGGACCCTTTGCAGGGGGAGAACTGGGCTCTCAGACAGGAAGACTTGGTCTCTAGGAAGGAACCAGGGTGGTGCAGAGAGGGCTTTCCTCAGAGTGGGGCAGGGAGTGTCCAGAACCCAGAGTCATATCTCTTGTTGGGAAACAGAAAGGACAATGAATGTACATGACTTCCCTTTGTCACTGAACTTTCTTTCTCAGGAGCTTATAAGAAACCCTCACTCAGCAGCATGAGTGGCACTGTGGTGGCTTCAGGAGACAAAGTGACATTGAAGTGTTTCTTGAAATTCAAGTTTGATAGATTTATTCTCGTCAAAGAAGATGAATTTCACACCATCCAGAATCAAAGCGCCACATGCCAGGACAGTCAGTGCCAGGCCATCTTCAACAGGGGCCCTGTCAACTCCACACAGGCAGGGACCTACAGGTGCTATGGTGCCTTCAACGATGACCCCTATGTGTGGTCTCGCCCCAGTGACTCATTAGAACTTGAGGTCAAAGGTGAGCAAGCTTGTTTGTCTTCATGTTCCCATGTGAGGCTGATGATGTCCAGTTAGAGGGGGGTGGGAGGAAAGAGGGCAAATAAGGAGGTGGGGGTGTCAACACCCTGTTCTTGGACAGGAAGCTGTGAGGTCACCCTCACCCCTCACCCACCCTGCAGCCCTCCTACCCTGTGCTCAGGCCTGTGTGGGCATGTGGGTCATTGCAAGTCTGTGCACAGAGACCCTGAGTGGAGATCATGAAACCAGCCCATTTTGTCTCCATTTGCAGAATTACCTGATGGTTCCACCAGACCCACAGACCTGGGACCTACACAGGGTGAGTCACTGGTGTATATAAAGAATTCAAAGTACAAGTTTTCATTCCTCTTCTCTCAGACTTGGAGTAAAAATATTGGGTTAGCCAAAAAGTCCATTTTTTTTTCATGAAACAAAAGCCACATTTTTCATTTTCACCACTGACTTTGTTGACTTAGATATTTTGAGTATATCAGCTCTCTCAGGCTATTAGCTAGTAGTGGATAGAGGCAGGGCTGCTACTCAACATTTTCCAATGCATGAGACAGCCCCACAGCAGAGAATTATTTGGACAAAATTTGAATGGTATGAAGAAACTTCACAAGCCACTTTTGACACATTCAATCAAAGCACCTTCTTCATACACTGCACAAATCTTTTTTTTCTTTGCATTTCAGTTGCATTTTTACCTTTCTTGAAATAATAAAGCATAATATGCTGGAAATCTTCCATCTTCATTATTAAAATGGCTGCACAAATTTTACCAGTTTTGGTAAGTTTGTTTTAAATGCACACTGATACGACAACTGTCACAATACAATCTAACAAAATTGTTTCAAATGAAGTTAAAGACAACTAAACAGTACTAGAGCCATCATAAGGAAACTACTAAAAAACAAAAACACTTTGGCCAGCCCAATATTATTTAACAGAGACAGAGTCAGCTTTTTAAGAGGACTTCTGGCCCTGGCTAGGTTGCTCTGTTGGTGGAAGTGTTGTTTCAGTATACCAAGGTTGCAGGTTCGATCCCTGGTTGGGCACATAAGAATCTACCAATAAATACAAAAATGAATGGAACAACAAACCAATTTCTCTCTCTCTCTCTCTCCTTCTTTCTTCCTCTTCCCTCCCTTTCTCTCTCTCTCTAAAAATTAATAAATACATTTTTATAAACAGAGGTCTTCTGATGGCTGGAGGTAGAGAGCCAATAAAGGAGATGGGGCTCTTTTCCATTGGCCAGAGCAGAAGGGTAAGCAGTGTGTGGATGGCAAATAACATCTGTAGGGTCCATTGATACCATTTGTCAAGGGTCCGTGCCCACTACTCCTGAGAGCATCTAAGATTCAGAGCTCTCCTGATGGAGGTCTCCCGACTCCAACAGGGAGGACACTCATTCAATCTTCTCTAAGTGATTGAGATCATCAGATAACCTCTTCTCTGGAGGCTCATCCCTGTACTTCGCTGAGGACACAAAACTCATGAGAGCTATTTCTGCAACAAATTCACAGTGTCCCCTGCTACTCTTTTCCCTCCTCTGAACCTCAGTTTCTCCACAGACAAGGAAGTAAATTCTGTGTAGAATTAAGAACTGTTGAGCCCTGTGTGATGTGGCTCAGTTGGTTGGAGCATCATCCAATAGACTCAAAGTTTACAGGTAAAATTATTGGTCAGGAAACATGGCTAGGTTACAGGTTGGTCCCCAGTTGGGCCACATAAGAGACAACCAATCAATATTTATCTCTTGCTCTCCCTCCCTTTCCTTCTCTCTTTAAATTAATAAGCATGTCCTTGGGTAAGGATAAAAATATAAAATATAAAGCAGCCTCCCTGTTTTCAAAGAAAGTATACACTGGAAGAAATTAAAAGTAGGTTGGTGATGCAGAAGGTCGAATCAGTAAGTTAGAAGACAAGGTAGAAAAAGAACACCAAATAAAAAAGGTCAGCAAAAATTTTTTAAATAATTAAAAAGAATGAAAATATTTTAAGAAAAAATTGGACAACACGAAACATAAGAATATCTGCATCATAGGGGTACTTGATGGACAATAGAGTGAGCAAGAGATAGAGAACATGTTTGAAGAAATAATGGCAGAAAACTTCCCTAACATGCAGAAAAAAAGTCACATGAGTTCAGGAAGCACACCAATCCCCAATTAATATGAACCAAGAAGCTTACACCAAGACACATCATGATTAAAATGGCAAAAGTTAAAGACTGAGAAAAAATTTTAAAGGCTGCCAGAGAAAGGCAGTCAGTTACCCACCAGGGAGCTCCCATAAGGCTGTCAGCTGATTTTTCACCAGAAATACTTTAGGTCAGAAGGTACTGACATGATGTGCTCAAAGTAATGAAAAGCAAGTATCTGAAACCAAGACTACCGTATACAGCAAGGCTATCATTTAAAACTGAAGGAGAAATACAGAGCTTCCCAGACAAATACATGTGTGTGTGTGTGTGTGTGTGTGTGTATATATATATATATATATATATAAATGTTTATTATCCCAAAACCAGCATTGCCAAAAAAATGATAAATGAACTACTTTAAAAAAGGATAAGGAAGAGAGAAAGTAAAGATATGTTTTAAAAAATGATAATAAATAAGTACATATCAATAATACCCTTAACTGTAAATGGATTAAATGATCCAATCAAAAGACATACAGTAGCTGAATAGATAAGAAAACACGACCCATATATATGCTGTCTACAAGAGACCCACCTCAGAACAAAAGATTCACACAGGCTGAAAGTGAGGAAATCCAAAAATATTCCATGCAAATGAAAACAGAAAACCTGGAATAGCAATGCTTATATCTGACAAAAGGCTTCAAAACAAAATCTGTAACAAGAGACAACGAAGGTCACTACATAATACTACTTAATGACACTCTAGAATGAATGGATTTCATTGATATTTACATAACATTTTATCCTGAAGCAAGACATTAAACATTCTTCTCAAGCGCACATGGAATATTATCAAAGGCAGACCGCATGTCAGGACATGAATAAGTCTGAACAAATCCAAAAAGACTGAAATTATACCAAGCATCTTTTTGGATCCCAAGGGCATGAAACTAGGAATTAACTACAATAACAAACCCCAAAACATTCAAACACAGGGAGGCTAGACAGCATCTTTTTAAACAATGAATAAGTTACCAATGAGTTCAAGGAAGGAATAAAAAAATTACTCAGAAACAAATGAAAATGAACACACAACAAACCAAAATCTGTGGGGCACAGTGACAGCAGTTTTGAGAGGGAAGGTAATAGCCTTACCAGCCTGCCTTGGGAAGCAATGGAAATATGTAATAAACAGTCTCAAACTACACCTAGAATAACTGGAAAAAGAACAACAATAAAAGCCCGGAGTAAGTAGAAGAAAAGAAATAATAATGATCGAAGCAAAAATAAATCACATAGAGACAAAAAAAAATACAAAAGATCAATGGAACTAAGAGATGCTTCTTTGAAAAGGTAAACAAGATTGATGAACTTTTAGCCAGACTTATCAGGGGGAAAAAAAAAACCCAGATAAGTGAAATCAAAAGTAAAAGATGAGAAACACAACCCCTTGTTGATATCAGAAATGCAAGGGATTGTACAAAAATACTGCCAACAAACTGAAAGAGGTGGGCAAAATGGACAAATTCCTAGAAACATACAATCTTCCAAAACTCAACCAGAAAGAATCAGAAACCCTGAACAGACTGATAACAACCAAAGAAATTGAAGCACTAATTAAAATACTCCCAGCAAAGAAAAGTCCTAAATTGGATGGCTTTACAGGTGAATTTTATCATTCATATAAAAAAGAACTAACACCTGCTGTCCTCAGACTACTCTAAAAATTCAAGAGGAGGAAAAACTTCCACGCTCTTTTTACAAAGCCAGAAGCATCTTAATTCTGAAACCAGATAAACACACTTAAGTAAGAAAATTATACACCAATATCCCTGATGAACATAGATGCTAAAACCCTCAATAATATTAGCAAATCAGATCCAACAATGTATTAAAAAGACCACAGCCAAGCAGGATTTCCAGAGATGCAATGTTGGTAAAATATTTTTAAACCAATCAATGTGATACATCACATAAACTATATGAAGAGTAAAATCACATCATTGTATCAATAGATGCAGAAAAAGCATTTGATCAAATCCAGTGCCCATTTATGATTTAAAAAAAAACCAACAAAGTGGGAATAGATCAATCATACCACAATATAATAAAGGCCATGTAAGATAAACCCATAGCCAACATCATACTCAAAAGCCAAACACCAAAAGTATTTCCCTTAAGATCAGAAACAAGACATGGATGTCTGCTTTCACTTTATTTTCAGCATAGTACTGGAAGTCCTAGCTACAGCAATCAGATAATAAAAAGAAATAAAAGACAACCGAATTAGAAAGGAAGAAGGAAATCTGTCATTATTTGCAGATGACATTATATTACACATAGGAAATCTTAAGGACTCCATCAAAAACTACTCGCCTTCGAGTCTCTCCTCTCTTCCTTCCCCTCTCTCTGAAAATAAATAAATAAAATATTTAAAAAAAAAACTACTAGACCTAATCAATAAACTTGGCAAAGTAGCAGGATACAAAATTAATAAATAGGTGGCATGTTTATACACCAATCATGAACTTTCAAAAAGAGAAAGCAAGAAAACAATTCCATCCACTATTGCAAAATATATATATAAGGTACCTAGGAATAAACTTAACCAAAGAAGTAAAACACCTACATTCCAAAAACAATAGAACACCAAAGAAAGAAACTGATGAAGATACAAATAAGTGGAAGCACATACCATGTTCATAGATCATTAAAAAGTTCATACTACCCAAAGCAACTGTAGATAGAGTGTCATTCCTATTAAAATACCAATGGTTTACAGGAACAAGTATAAAGGACACATGACAAAAACTAAAGTGGTGGGGGAAATGGGAGGGAGGTGGGGAGCACTGGGGGGGGTGGGTAGGGTTGGGAGTATAAGACAGAAAACTGTACTTGAACAATAATTAAATAAATCTAAAAAATAAAAAAAAATTAAATACCAATGGTACATTTCACAGATCTAGAACAAATTCCAAAAATTTAGATGGTTCCAAAAAAGATACCTAATCTCTTCATCAATCTTGAGAAAGAAGAAAGAAGTAGGAGGGATAACAATACCTGTTGTCAAACTGTACTACAAAGCTACTACAGTATCAAAACAGCCTGGTACTGTTTGAAGAGTAAGAACAGGCATAAGAACAGGCATGTACATCAGTGAAACATAGCTTGAGAGCCCAGAAATCAGTCTACATCTGTACAGTCTATAAATACTTGAAAAAGGAGGCAAAATCATACAATGGAGGAAAAAATAGTCTCTTCAATAAATGATTTTGGGGAAATTGACAGGTACATGCAAAAACAATAAAAATAGACCACCAACTTACACCATACAGCAGCATAAACTCCAAAGGAATAAGAGACTTAAATGTAAGTTGAAAATTCATAATCCCTGAAGAAAACATAAGCAGTAAAATCTCAGACATTGCTCTTAGCAATATTTTTGCCAATATATCTCCTAGGGTGAGGGAGACAAAGGAAAAAATAAACAAATGGGACTACATCAAGCTAAAAAGCTTCTGCACAGCAAAAGAAACCATCAGCAAAATGAAAAGGAACCCACTGAATGGGAGAACATATTTGCCAATAATACATCTGATACAGGAATAATTTCCAAAATATATGAAGTATGTACTTATACACTTAGCACCAAGAAGACAAACGATCCAATTTAAAAATCAGCTGCCCTGCATAGAAACATGGAACAAGACTGACAACTGTAAGAGAGAGTGGGGAAGGTGAGGATGGGTTGAAAGAAAGGGAAGGAATCAGCCAAAGAACATTCACCCATGACCCATAGTCACAGACAGCAGTGTGGGGAGGGCCAGCAGAGGGGAACACATTTGCCAGGTGAATGGGGGCAAATGGGGGACGTCTGTAATAGCATCAATAATATATACACATATAAATAAGTTAAAAGAAACAGAAAAAAAGATGGGGGTGCTCTGGGTGGACATCCTGGATCCTGGGGTAACTTTGGCCTGCCCTGAACTCTGCCACCTCTTGTCCACATTTCCTAGCCTCCCGCGCCCAAGACTACACAGTGGGGAATCTCATCCGCATGGGCGTGGCTGCGTTGGTCCTGGTGGTCCTCGGGGTGCTGCTGTTTCAGGCTCGAGACAGTGAGAGAAGTGTCTCCAATGCAGCCAGAACGTGCGCACAAAGGGGACAAGGCACCGTTCAGAATGTGGGAGCTGTGGAGCCCATCTGATGACCCAGGGGGAGATGAAGGACAGTCCGACCACAGGTGGGAAAACTACCTGCTGATGTGTCCAGGGCAGTGAACAAGCATTAGGTGCAGAGAGTGTCTGAGTGCTCCCTGTGCAGGTCTCTTCCTCCATTAAATGTCTGTTTTCTCTGCCTTCTTGTTGACTTTCTGTAATGACCCCCCTTCTTCTCTCACCCCTGTGACATGAGGGACCTTCACACATGGCTGTTTCAGTCCACACCTCTAAAACTGTCTTCCACTTTTATGTAATAAAATGTCCTTTATTTCTAATCACTACATGACCAGATGGACATTATTGAGTCATCTCCTCAGTTAACCTGAAATCAGTAATTACATAAATGTGCAAAATTAGATATGACCCTGGAAAGATTAATACAACCTGATTTCTATCAGTCATGCTGGACACCAGCATCCTTCCCGTCTGCATCAGATGCTACATGTACCATTTCCTCAGAACTGTCGTCAGTCACTTGGTACTGGAAGGGACAGCCGAGTGGAGGGCTGCCTCTCAAAATAACCATTGTTCATAATGATACGATTTGTAGAATTGTCCAGACTCTGAATATATGAAATGGAATATAATTCAACCTCGAGAAAGAAGGAATTCCTGTCACTTCAGACAACACACAATGACCTCAGGGGCATTTTGTTTAGTGAGACCACTCACACAGAGAAATACGGAATGATCTCAGGTATATGTTGAATCTATAAAAGCCAAATGTGTAGAAACAGAGAGTGAGATGGTGGGACCACGGGGATTGTGAGAAAAGGAAAGATGTTGGTCAAAAAGCACCAACTTTCAGTGGTACTAGACCTAATATGTATTATGTGGGAGACAGATTTCATATTTCTCCTGAAAACAGATTTATATAATTTACCAGTTTTATATATTAGCTTGACCAAGGAATAGTGAATAATATATACTGAATGAGTATGACTTTCATTCAGTCATATTCCTTCTGTGATTGTAGAACTCAGGAAGACGAAAGGTGACACCTTAGACATGAGGGGTGTTGAGTGATGTGGCTCAGGTAGTCCCACAGCACCTGCTATTTTAGGATAAAAAGAAGCTGGTCCTCTACTTGTGAGAGAGGCCTCTTGTGGACAGTACAAATGTGGTGTGGGCACCCCGCCACAACATCCTGTGAAGTTCTCGGCTTAGCTCAGCCCCTCCTCCTGTTCAATGGAAGAACCATGTTCCCCAAATTCCTCAGCCTCGGAAAGTACAGGTAAAAAGTGACACCTCATTGGAGCTGACTATGGACATAGTGCTTGTGAATTCTTGCTCCTCGCATTCTTCTAAGGTGAGAACAGAAGGGTCACTCACAATCATCAGGGAAGTAGAAATAAAAGCCGCCATGAGACAGCTCACACCTGTTAGAATGGCTGTTTTCAGAGACAAGAAATAGTAAGATTCAAGATTCAAATCAAGACCAGAAGGCAATCAGTGTCTTGAACTACTAGTGAAACTCAAAAACGAACTTGCATCTAACTAAATGAACCAATCACCTAATGCATAAATTCAAATACACAGTTGCTTATTCACATACACATATTTCAGGCTTCACAAAAATCAACTAGAAAGCAAAATAATCACATACACATTGATGGATTCATAGGTACCATGACCCAGTTAGTACATTATTTCACTTAATCATCCTGTAGTCCTATGAAGTATGTGTACAAATGTTTACACTTAACATCCCTATTTGCAACTGAAGGAATTGACTGAATATTGAGTGACTCCTCCCCAAAGTTCACAGAACTCACAGGTGGCAGGGGAGAGAGGTGGATTTAGACAGGCTTCCAATGGAATAAGTGAGTTTGGGTGGGGTAGACAGAGCCTGAAACAGTGGTTAAATATGAAAAAGAGGAACTACCTGGTGAGAACAGAGCACTGGATGAACTGATAAGAAGCCACAATCGAGAATGGCTTAACAGGAATGTCCCGTGTTGTCAGAACAGATCTAAGCCAGGCCAGGGGTCTCTGAAGGGGGCAAGTGAGTAACATGAACAAGACTATCATGTGGAGAGGGAGAAAGAAAAACCACCCTTCAAATCACCTGCTTGGAAATGAGCTGTCTGGCATTGTCTGGTGTGGCTCAGTTGGTTAGAGAGTCATCCTGCAAAGCAAAAAGTCAGTGGTTCAATGCCTGTGTTCAGTCCGTGGTCAGGGTGTTTACAAGAGGCACCCGATGTTTCTCTTCCTCTTTCTCCTTCATTCTCCCCTCTCTAAAAATAAATAAATAAAACATTTTTGAGCAGGGGATTGTCTGGGGCAAGGGAGAGCAAAGGAGGGAAAATTGGTACAACTAACTGTAACTGAACACAGTGTTTTAAGAAAACAAAAGAAAATATCCATTTAAAAAATTTTAAGAAAGAAATAAGCTCTCCAAATCATGCCATGTGGGACAATAGGGATGAACTTGGAGAACATTATGCTAAGTGAACTAAGTTGGAGAAAGTTAAATACAATATGATATCCCTTCCAGGTGGACTCTAAAAACGTTGAACTCACAGAAACAAAGAGTAGAGTGGTGGTTAGGGAGGGGGTCAGGGAAGGGGCCAGGGAGGGGGGAATGGGGAGGTGTAGGTCAAAGGCTACCAAGTCCAGATGTAAGGTGAATGAATAAGTCCTGGGCTCCAATATACAGCATAGTAATTACAGTTAACAATAGGACATTCTGTGCTTAAATGTTGCTGAGAGAGTAGATATGAAACATTCCAACCACCAGAAAAATAATAATTATATAAAGTTCTGGCCATGTTAGCTAATGATACAGTGGTAATCATACTGCAATGTTCAAGGGTATCTGTCAAATCAGTACACTGTACTCGTCAAACTTACTCAATGTCATATGTCAATTATAAGCCAGTTAATAAATACCAAGAAATGAGGTGCTGATGCATGCTACCACATGGAAGAAAATATTATGCCAACATGCAAAAGATCATCTATTGTGAGATTCCACAGCTATGAAACTTCCAAGAAAGTCCAACCTGCAGAGACACAAAGCAGATTGCCTGGAGCTGGATGTAGCAATGGGATAAATGGTAAAGAGCAATTTGAGATCTTCTTGGGGCTCTAGAAGGTTCTAAAGCTGCACTGTCTGCATAAATGGAGAGATTTAGTAGAAGTCATTGAATTGTGGATATGCATTACTCTCTCTGGAAAGTTTTTTCTGAGTGCCTTCCTCAGACTCTGCTAGTTGTCATTGTCTTTCTAAATCGGGAACCAGCGAACTTTCTGTAAAGGTCCAGTATGAAGGTGGAAGACACTTGGTCTCCATTGTGACTAAGCAATTCTGCTGTTTCAACAGAAAACCGTTCTGTCGAGGGCAAACCGCTTCCCCACAGCTACTGTGACTACAAATAACACATCAATGAATAGGTCCAGCTCTGTTCCAGTGCAACCTCAGACATCGACACAAGGTTTTGAATATCAAAACACTTTCATGGGTCACAAAATAGTGATTGGCTTCTGATTTTTTCCCCACCACTTAAAGACACAGAAGTCATTCTTAGTCCTTGGGGCCATACAAAAGCAGACAGTGGGCTCAAGAACTCAGTAATCCAGTCCTATGGCCTGTGCTGCCAAAACCTGAATCCAAAACCAGTTGAGAGCTAAGAAATGCTAAGGAGTGTTGTTCTTAAGGTCTCTCTTAGAGGCTCTGGAAGGTGGAGATAGATTGGATAGATAAGAGATTAGTGGATGGATGGTTGGATCATAGATGGGTCAATGGATAGATGGATAGATGGATGAGCGGAGGATGGATGGCTGGAATATGGGTGAATGATGAATGGATGGGTAGATGGACAGATGAATGATGGATGGATCAACGGGCAATTTGATGAACTGATTGACTGATATGGATATTCTCCCCTACCTCCAGAGAGAGGAAACCCTGTCTAATCCCTAGTTTGACCTCTCTGCCTCTGAGTAGAATGTTCAATTATCTTTCTGTCCTGGGAAAACCCCTTCTTCTCAACCACAGAGAGCTCACACTGCAACCTCTGCACCAGGTTTTTCTATGCCCAGGGCATGACCCAAGGACATAAAAACACAGCGACTGATTCATTCAGACCTAACTGACCAGGCCATGGTGATGTGTCTACCAGAGGCAAACCCTAGAGGAAGTGGAGCAAATTCTCACTTTGAAGATCTGTATATGATCCTACCAAGGTCCACAAAGGCCATGGATGCAAATCGATCAAGAGCTGAGGAATGGGGTGTGTGGATCTGGGCCTGGGAGTTTAGCAAGAGGTGTCCAGTGTCTAAGAGGGCATAAGACTTCACATTACACAGTTAAATAAGCATGGAGGTATTTTAAATAATAGGTAAAGGCCTCCCCTAAATAGACAGTAGCACAGCTTTGGCAGCCCTACTACCAAACAGGCCAGCTCACCTCTGTTCTGATTCTGTGCTGATGGCATAGAGTCTCTGAGGTAACACAGTGAAAGAAAATGCTACGTTGATGGCACCCACATGTATGTGTAACTCACACACAGGCTTGTTCTTTCCTTGATTGTGGTACCAGACTTCTATCACTAACTCACGTAACCATCGCAGTGGGGGAATTCATCTTTACTTCTTCCCTTCCCTATGAGCTCAAAACCACCACTCATTAAATCTCTGCTGTTTTTACATTGATATTACACATCTGACAAAACTTGTTAATGATAGTCCATGTCGCTGAACAATATCTCATTATGAATGTCTTTATATTATTTTGCTTATTTATTTTTTAAATTATTTTATTGTTGTCCAATTATAGTTGTCTGCTTCTTATTTTAAACTACTTCTTTTTGACTCATTACCAAGAGAGTTTCATTTTGATTTTTAAAAACGATTTTAGCCCTGGCTGGTGTAGCTCAGTGGCTTGAGCACAGGCTGTGAACCAAAGGGTTGCAGGTTTGATTCCCAGTCAGAGCACATGCCTGGGTCATGGGCCAGGTCCATGGTAGAGGGTCCAAGAGAGAAAACCACACATTGATGTTTCTCTCCCTCTCTTTCTCCCTCCCTTCCACTCTCTCTAAGCCTGTAGCTAAGCCTGAAATATGTTTTCTAGAATTTTCCTCCTTCTGTGGTCCCAGATGGGGAACGGCCACCACAGGTATTGGAACAAGACCTAGAAAATTGAAGTGAAGCCACAGGTGTGTCTATCCCTAGGCAGCAAGTGTGCACATGCAGGCTCAGTCATGTTGTGCCCCGCACACATGACAGGACCCCCTGTCTCAGCCTTGGTGTAGGCCACAGCCATGTCCATGGTTCTTCTCTCCCCTCAGCTCCTCCTTCCACTGGGCTGTCACCAGCACCAGCACAGGCATTTCTGATGCTCTGTGGTGAAGAGCAACACCACACGTCATTGAGGTTGGAGAGCGTAATAGACAGACTGAACCCAGTGTCTCTGGATTCGGCCATATCTTATCCAGCATCTCCTCTCAACACTCAGTCCAGCATCATGATGACAACCACAAGACACCACATGACCTTGCACAGGGTTCTTCAGCTGCCACCACAGCCTCACAAAGTCTGATGCCCTCTGTCATCCACATCACTCACATGGCCCTGACTTCTGATGGAATCCCATACCAGAAGCTGTCATATCTACAGGAGGATGACCCAGATGACTGTATATCTTGGGACAGTAACCCGAGCTACCACAGTTTTTGTGAAGATTAAGTGCAAACTCCCTCCAAGGACTCTACCTGTCTAGAATAAAATAAAGACTCAGTAACAGCTTAGTTATACATTGTTTTAGATCTGGAGTTAAGATCACCACATGAAGGTGGAATGGGGGAAGATTCTAAATCAAAGCTACATGTTTATCCAGGAAAAGAGTGGCTGTGAGAACGTAGTAAGCTTCAACCGGCATGCCAATTTAAGTACGATGATGAAGAAGGGTGGGAGTAAGGGACGATGAAGAAGGTGAAGGGATTCAAAATCACGGTGACCCAAAGAAGCTACACGTTGGCTGCTCAGCACAAAATGCAATATACAGAGGATGTTATAAAGAATGACACACTTGAAACCTATGTAATGTTATTAACCAACACCACCCCAGCTCATTTAATTTAGGAAAGGACAAAGGTGTGACTTCAGCCAACATGATATCTCCTTTAGGTTCAACATTGATTGATTTCCAGGAGCAGAATTCATGCCAACACGACCTTAGAGAAATACACAGAAAGAGGATGAATGATAGTTCCACAATGGCCCCTCCAGTGAGGTCCATCTGGGACACTTTGCACACTTGGCAGTTAGCACTTTTCAGGAACTCATTGTCATTTCTGCCATTTTGTACATGAAGAATGGAACACAGAATTGACAAAAGAGGACCATGCATTCACATGGTATTTCAGAACAGACCTCAGGTTGGAAATTATTTATTTCCTCTTCTTTACCCTGTGGTTATCTTACCCCATCCACTGCACGAAAAAGATTGAAATGGAGCACAGAAAATACAAAATCAGATTAGACTCTTTTTTTTTTTTTTTGAGCACAGTGGCAAGGCACACCCTGGCATTTAGAATCAAGAGCCATGAGCTCACAGAGTATTTCAGAGCACATCTTGGGAACTACTTCTTTTTTTTTTTAATTTTATTTAGTTATTTTTCAAGTACAGTTTTTTGTCTATTTTTTCCATCCCAGCCTCCCCCACCCCTTGGGAACTACTTCTGATCTGCTTTTTATCTATGCTCCCCACTCACTGTGCACTTTAAACAGAAAGATTAAATGCTCCTGAGGAACTGGGGACAGAAATAGGGACCAAGTTGATAGATAGCATTCTGAAAGTCAGATGACTATCATCTTCATGGCTGAGCTGCGTCTGCAAGACTCACACAGAAGAGGTTGTGAAATGTCTTCTTTCACTCTGGGGTGAGACCCAAGGCCACTGCACCACTTCCTGTTGCCTTGCATTCCTCTTAGAGAAGTCCGTGCCTCATAACGCAGCATAGCTGGGGCAGGCAGCCAGCTAGGACCCTGAATCATGTCCCTGGTCCTTCCCATTCTGCTCTGTCTTGGTGAGTCTGGACAGAAAGGTCAGGGCGCAAACACAAGGCTACAGGGGGCAGGTCAGTGGTTCTATAGGATGGGGCTGTTCTCCAGTAAAAACGAGGAAAACAAAACAGAAAGGAACTCATAAGCACAGAGAGCTGACCGACGGTTACCTGAGGGGAGGGATACTGGAGGGCTGGGTGGAAAAGGTAAAGGGATTGAGAAGTTCAGGTTTGTGGCTGTAAAATACTCACTGGGTGCAAAGTATGGTGTAGAAAATATAGTCAATAATGTAATAACTGTGTGTACGGTACAAGGTTGGTGTTGGAAATATCAAGGAAACCCTTTATAAAGTACATGATGATCTGACCACCATGCTGTACACCTGAAACTGATACAAAATAATATTGAATGTGAACTGTAAATGAAAAAAAATTTTTTAAGTCTCAATTGTTCTCATCTGCTCTTTTCTTCCAGAGCTGATTCTGGGTCAGAGCGCACAGCCTCAGAAAGGTGAGTGTGTTTGTTATATTATTTTTTATTATTATCTTCTTTTCTCATTATGAGGTGAGTAGTTTTTTAATGTTCCAAGGACTGAGTTGGGTTTGGCCAGATATCAGCTTTACTGGTTGCTGGGAGGAAACATCTTTGCCTTAACCTTGTGGCTGTAAGTGTGGAGGCAGTGGGGAGTGGCATGAGAAACAGACACACCTGTACATTTCTCACCTGTTCTTCTAGGAGATTTACCCCAACCTAATATCACAGCTCATCCCAGATCCATAGTTCCTCGTGATAAGCATATGACCATCCAGTGCCAAGAGCCTGCAGAAGCTGAAGCATACAAGATATTTAAAGAGGGAGGACTTGAGCCTCAGGAGGCTAAGACATCCACTTTAGATATCAAAGAGATGAAACCAGACCAAACAGGGTTGTACCACTGTTCCTACAGGAGTGGAGAACTCTGGTCCCCACGCAGTTCCCCCCTGACAGTGGTCTTGACAGGTGAGTGACACACAGGCAGCAGGGCCAAGTGGGACCCTTTGCAGGGGGAGAACTGGGCTCTCAGACAGGAAGACTTGGTCTCTGGGAAGGAACCAGGGTGGTGCAGAGAGGGCTTTCCTCAGGGTGGGACAGGGAGTGGCCAGAACCCAGGGCCATATCTCTTGTTGGGAAACAGAAAGGACAATGAATGTACATGACCTCCCTTTGTCACTGAACTTTCTTTCTCAGGAGCTTATGAGAAACCCTCACTCAGCAGCATGAGTGGCACTGTGGTGGCTTCAGGAGACAAAGTGACATTGAAGTGTTTCTTGAAATTCAAGTTTGATAGATTTATTCTCATCAAAGAAGATGAATTTCACACCATCCAGAATCAAAGCGCCACATGCCAGGACAGTCAGTGCCAGGCCATCTTCAACAGGGGCCCTGTCAACGCCACACAGGCAGGGACCTACAGGTGCTATGGTGCCTTCAACAATGACCCCTATGTGTGGTCTCACCCCAGTGACCCATTAGAACTTGAGGTCAAAGGTGAGCAAGCTTGTTTGTCTTCATGTTCCCATGTGAGGTTGATGATGTCCAGTTAGAGGGGGGTGGGGGGAAAGAGGGCAAATAAGGAGGTGGGGGTGTCAACACCCTGTTCTTGGACAGGAAACTGTGAGGTCACCCTCACCCCTCACCCACCCTGCAGCCCTCCTACCCTGTGCTCAGGCCTGTGTGGGCATGTGGGTCATTGCAAATCTGTGCACAGAGACCCTGAGTGGAGATCATGAAACCAGCCCATTTTGTCTCCATTTGCAGAATTACCTGATGGTTCCACCAGACCCACAGACCTGGGACCTACACAGGGTGAGTCACTGGTGTATATAAAGAATTCAAAGTACAAGTTTTCATTCCTCTTCTCTCAGACTTGGAGTAAAAATAGTATTTATCAGAGACAGAATCAACTTTTCAAGAGGACTTCTGGTCCTGGCTGGGTAGTTCAGTTGGTTAGAGCATTGTCACCATACGCCAAGGTTGCAGATTCAATCCCCAGGCACAGCAAATAATAAGAATCCACCAATGAATGCATCAATAAGTAGAACAAATTGCTGTTTCTCTCACTTCTCTCTCTCTCTCTCTCTCTCTCTCTCTCTCTCTCTCTCTCTCTCTCTCTCTCTCAACATATCCTCTGGTGAGAATTTTTAAAAAGGACACTCAAGCCAAGACCTCTGCAGTTGTGGCTGCCATCTCTGTGTCCCTACATGTTGAGAAGAATTTAGTAAAAACTTGCCTTGCCTGCAGTCCCACAACACTTCTCTATCGGTACCTGTGACATGCATGCATTGCAGGACCATTCACAGAGAAATAGACACATGAGTTTTCAAAGGCGGGTGGGGCAAGGTGAGAAGCTCTGTCCTGGACTTGTGCTTCTGAGAAGGCTGTATTCAAAGTTAGCTTACATGCATTCAAAGTTAGCTTATAAGTGTTAAGCTTACATGCATTTAAAGTTAGCTTATAAATGTTGAGCTACAAGAGTTGACTGCAGATACAGGTATAGAATTGGTGAGCATAAAGACTGCAAAGGACACAGGGGAGAGAAAGAAGAACATCCTAAGGGGAAATATAATGCAAGCAAAAATTACCTATTGAATTAAAAAATACATAAGGGATGGGTAGAACAGGGGCTGGAAGGCTATGGCCAAAGGGCTAAGTCCAGCTCACTGTCCATTTCATTAGAAATCTTTTTACAGAGAGGGAAGGTAGAAGAAGATAAAGGGGGAATAAATGATGATGGAAGGAGACTTGACTTGGGGTGAACACACAGTACTATAGACAGATGATTTATTATAGAATTGTACCCCTGAGCTGTGGCTGGTGTGGCTCAGTGGATTGAGTGCCAACCTAAAAACCAAAGGGTCTCTGGTTCAATTCCCAGTCAGTGCACATGCCTGGGTTGTGGGCCAGGTCCCCAGTTAGGGGTGTGTGAGAAGCAACTACGCGTTGTTGTTTCTCTCACTTTCTCCCTCCCTCCCCCTCTTTAAAAATAAATAACTAGTTTTTTTTAAAAAAGAATTTTATATAGGTGCCCTGAAGCCTATATAGTTTTATTAACCAATGTCACCCCAAGTAGGTCAGGGGAGAGTAATGAGGGGGAGAAATGGAAACAACTAATAATAATCAAAAAATTTAAAGAAATAAAAATAAATAAGAAATCATTTTACTGGGATCTAATATTCATTAACCATATTTTTATTGGAATCTCACCAACATGTAAAGAATTCTTTATGTGTAGTTTTGGCTGCAGCAAATGTATATGTCCCACAAACTTTGATATAGCAGATTAATTCTTAATTCCTGAAGAGCACTCTCCCATTAGCTTCGCTATCTTTACACTCTTTCTTAATTTTTATTCAATTTACTGGAGTGATGTTGATTAATAACATTATATGAGTGTCAAGAATACAGTTCTGTGATATATCACGTGCATATTGCATTGTGTGCCCACCACTCCAAGTCAAATCATCTTCTATCACCATGAATTTGACCCCCTCACTCTTTTCCACCTCCTCCCCATGCCCCTTCCCTCTGATAACCACCATGCTGTTGTCTGTGTCTATGAGTTTTTGTTCATTTTTCTTGTTTGTGTGTTGCTTTCAGTTTTACATTCCCACATAGGAGAGAAATCTTATGGTTCTTGGCATTTTCTGATTGATGTCTCTTGCTTAGCATGATATTCACCTACCATGCAGCCCTCCTACCTTGTGCCCGAGCCTGTGAGGGCATGTGGGTCATTGCAAGTCTGTGCACAAAAACCCTGAGTGGAGATAATGAAACCAGCCCATTCTGTTCCCATTTGCAGAATTTCCTGATGTTTCCACCAGACCCAAAGACCTCAGACCTACACAGGGTGAGTCACTGGTGTGTGTAAAGAATTCAAAGTACAAGTTTTCATACCTCTTCTCACAGACTTGGAGTAAAAACAGTATTTATGAGAGGTTTATCTCATCTGGCTCTTCCCTAAGCTGTTCTTTTCTCTACCCCAGTGGTTGGCAAACAATGCCTGTCAGGCTCCAGATTGTAAATGCTTTAGGCTTTGTGAACTGTGGTCATCATTGCGACTACTCACCTCACAACCTCAGAAGAGAGCACAGTCATGTTCCCACGAAGCGTCGTGTACAAGCACTGAAATTTGTTTTCAAATGTTTGTACATGTCATGAAATATTCTTCTTCTCTTCTTTTTTCCTTTATTTTTATTGTTGGCACTATTACAGATGTCCCTATTTTGTCCCCATCCTCCAGCCCTCCCCCACTTCCCTGGGCTTCACCACCCTGTTGTCTGTGTCTATGGGTCATGCATGTATATTCTTTAGCTAATGTCTTCACCTTCTTTCATCCCTTCCCCTCACTCCCCTCTGACAGCTGTGAGTCTGCTCCATGTGTCCATGCCTCTATTTCTATTTTGTTTGTTTACTTTGTTCATTTAATTCCACATATGAGTGAGATCATATGTATTTGTCCTTCTCTGGGTGGCTTATTTCACTTAGCATAATAATCTCAATTTGTGTCAACAGTTTAAAAATGTGAAAATCCATTCTAAAGGCCATGTCCACACACACAAAAAAAAACCAGCTGATCTCTATATTGATACAAACTTCCATATACAAGCTCTTTTTTTTAATGCAAGAACTTTATTGAAGTCAATGCAATTAAATGTGTTGAAAGCTTAAAAGGGGGGGAAATTTGAACACCTCTTTAAGTGCAGGACTAAAAGCAAAGTGGACTCTTCCTGGATGTGGTAGTCAGACAGGCGTGTGTCCATCTTCCGGATGTTTCTCTAGAAAGTTCATCCTCTTCTGGTCAGTAGGGATGTTCTCTTTGTCCTGGACGTTGGCCTTGACATTCTCAGTCATGTCACTGGGCTCCACCTCCAGGGTGATGGTCTTCCTGTTAAGGTCCTAGTGAAGATCTGCATCCCACCACTGAGGTGGATATCCAAAACAAAGAGAACATGCCCGCTGACCAGCAGAGGTTGATCTTTACTGGGACACAGCTGAAAGATGGCACACCCTGCCTTACTACAATATCCAAGTTCTTCCTTCTCTTCTTTTTTAAATCCTCACTTGAGGATATATTCCTTGAGTTTAGAAAGAGAGGAAGGAGCCCTGGATGGTGTAGCTCAGTGGATTGAGCGCCAGCCTGCAAACCACATGATTGCGGTTCGATTCCCAGTCAGGGCACATGCCTAGGTTGCAGGCCAGTTCCCAGCAGGGGACACACGAGAGGCAACCATACATTGATATTTCTCTCCTTCTCTCCTTCCCTTCATATCTAAAGATAAATAAACAAAATCTTTTAAAAAAAGAAAATTTTCAAAAAAAAAAGAAAGAGAGGAAGGGAGGGAGAGAGAAAAAAAGGAGCAATGTGAGAGAGAAAGACATATTTGCCCTGACTGGGAATTGAACCCACAACCTAGGTGTGTGCCTTGACCAGGCGCCTAACCTGCAACCTTTTGGTGTATGGGACAGTGCTCCAACCAACTGAGCCACCTGGCCAGGGCCAAGTTCGTTCTCAACTATGATTTCATGAATGAAGTAAATGAGGTGATCAAAGCCATTCCCTTTTTCTAAGAAATGGGGTATTAACCTAAAAATTAAAGGCTTTTCCCGATGAGAGGCAACTAGCATTTATTGACATTAATAAGAACAGCTGTCTGGGAGTCTTCTATTCAATCAGAAGGCCTAACAGTTTTCCAGTGAGGAGACAAAGCCAATGGGCATTTATGAGAAAGGGAAGGAGAACAATTCATGAGAGGAAGACATTGCTATTGGTGCAGATAATATATTTAGTGATGTTGTCATCATACTAAAGGGTGCCATTCACCTGCATGCATCAAAGTCCAATCAAACGTGAACAGGAATTTTCAGCCAAGAAAGTAAAGGTTTACTTTATGGAAATGGCACCAAACATGGAGCCACAGGTGAGCTAATGCTCCAAGACCTGGCTCAGATGGCTTCTAGGGTTATACTGAAGAAAATCATTAATCATGGTGACTAAGGGTTCTGGTTAGGGTCATGGTCTCCCCTGATTGGTCAGCACAGGGCAGGAAGGAGGTGGTCATTGCCTCAGGCCCTGACATTGGCCAGGGCATCGCTCCATCTGATTGGTGGGTCTGGAGCTGAAACACGACTGAGGCCTAGATGTTATCTCTAGTTCAACTGAAACTCTGTCTCTGTGGTTAACAGACCCAAGGCTTTGTCCCCAGGAGTATTTAATGCTGACCAGAACTTCATGGCCTTGAGGGCTTAATGATTAAGATAGTGGATTTTTCAAGGGAGAAGGAGGGGGGAATGAGTCAGGGTGCCAGAGGAGGCCAGTCTTGAAGCAATAGGACAAGAAAAGAGAAAAGGTCCCATTAAAGAAATGAAGTTTTTGTATGGCTATAATGTTAAAGCTGAACAATATTTGATGTATTGTTTGGGGGGGTTAGAGTTTATTTATTTGTTTTTAGAAAGAGAAGAAGGGAGGGAGAGAGGGAGAGAAACATCAATATGTGGTTGCCTCCAGAGCGCCCCCTACTGGGGACCTGGCCCACAACCTAGGCATGTGCCCTGACTGGGACTCAAACCAGCCACCCTCTGGTTCACAGGCTGATGCTCAATCCACTGAGCCACACCAGCCAGGGCAACAATATGTTGTTGTCATTTTTTAATTTTAAGCCCAGGAGCCATCAGCCCAGTAGTCATAATACTGCCTTTCTTCTTGTCTTGCAAACAGTTCTTTGGGATACAAGGTTGCTAAGGCCCAATCCAAGGGTTCCTTTGCCCTGTTTTTCACATTCCAGGGTTTGAGTTGTAGGACATGCAAGGCAGCTGCTCTGACCTGGCAGCTCTGGTCCCACTTTAAAGTGGCCCCGCTCATACTAGGGTTTACATGGGGTCAACCCTCGGCAGTCGGGATGGGGTCTGCGAGAGCACACAGCCACTGCGCCTTCTGCAAATGTCCTTCAGGCAGGGCAGCTGCTCCAACACACTCTTCTCCTTTGCAGGCCCGTCCCAAAACCTGCCTCTTGTGATTGGCTTGCCAGTGGCCCTCCTGCTGTTCCTCCTCCTCCTCCTCCTCCTTTTCTTATTCTTCCACCATCGCAAAGCCAAAAACAGTAGGTCCTAAAGGGAGGGTGGGAGGGAGACAGGGTAGAGTCCCCTGTGCTGCAAATCCTACAGGGGAAAGGGGCAGGGGCATTTGCTGGGGGAAGGGTGGTTTGCTGGCTCCAGCTGTGCGTGCAAGTACCTTCTGAACACTCCCACGTGTGAAATCAGAGGACGGGGCCGGGACACCCACAGCTGAGAACATGACCACCTGGTTTCTCAGTCCGTCTGGCTGCGCTAATGGAAATAGACTGGGAGGCTGAGGCAGCGTTCTGTTCTCACAGTTTTGAGGGCTGGGAGGTCTGCGGTTGAAGGTGCTGGTGGTTTGGGTCCTGGGGGAAGGGAGGGCATTCTCTTGCAGGTACCCACCTTCCTGCTGCCCAGGTGGCAGGAGAAAGCGGGAGTTCTGGCCTGCTGCTGAACTAGAGGAGAATTCCACCTCTAAGACCTCATCTAAACTCAGTCATCTCTCAGCGGGAGCCACCACTTCCCAATCCCGTCTAGGATGTCAGCATATCTACTGGGGGGGGGGGGGTAGTGGTATCCAATTTGCAGCCCCTAACAACTTCCTCTTCCCTCCAGAAGCCGCCAAGGCAGCGAGACAGCCAGTGGAATCAAGGAATAGACAGGTAAGAGTTTCCTCCCCGGCTCCACCCTCCAACAATTCCTGGGTCCCCAACATCACACCACTATATCAGAGTCTCCCTTCCTTCCTCAGGCCCCTGAAGCTAGAGACCCACAGGACGTCACCTATTTGCAAGTGGTCTTCAATGGCCCCAACCAGGGGACCTTTTCAACACCCAGACAGACCCACACCAGCGAATATGCAACTGTTGTCCCACGATGAGCTCTGCTCTGGGCAGGAAAACTTACAGCTGCCTGTCGGAAGGTTCCCTTCTCTGGAGTCACGGTTTCTACATCTGAGGCCGCCCACCCGGCGGGGGGGGACCCACGGGACCCCCTGAATCTGGAGACCTGAACACTTATCAACCAGCCATTTCCAGAATCTCTACAATTGCCCGGCAATTCCCAGGATCCCACAAAGTTACTGGAACAATGATAGAGTGATTTTTGTATGTTTTCATTGATTAAAAAATATATATATATATATATATATATATACTTCAATCCTCTCAGGTGACAGCCTAAAAGCACAGAAAAGATTCTAAAGTCATTCCTCTCATCAAAAATGTGAGGTCTACTGATCACCCAGAGGCCAGATCTGGCAAGCTACGTGATTTTGTACAGCACCTACATTTTACTTTTTTTTTGTATTTTTAGTGTTAAAATATATACAATGTCAATGTAAGAAATATCCATTTTTCTTGTGCGGGGGGAGCGTGGTGGTGGAGTGAAAATGGAGAGAACTGGACTTGAACAACAATTTTAAAAAATGTAAAACAAAAAAAAATCCATATTTGTAGGGAATTTTTGTAAGAGTTTAGTTGAGCCAAATTGATGGCATATGCCAGAGGGCTAGATCTGAAATGCTCTGAAAATAATAATAGTTTTGCAGGGTTCTTTTATGCGTTTGAAATTAAGAAGGCAATGGAAGGAAGATTACACTAAAGTTGGAGAAAGCAAGGCAGGGGTCAGATGACAGGATCGTAAATAAGAGTATGTGCTCTCTCGTCTGAACTAACAAGCAAAACAAAGACAGACTCATGGAGAGCAGACCACAGCTAGTCGGGGGATGGGGCAAGGGGACGGAGGGATTGAGCAAAAATGGAAAAAAGGACTCAAGGACAAGAACGATCATGTGGTGATTGCTGGGGGATGGGGGTTATAAGGGGATTACATGGTCATGGAAAAATATAATAAAGATTAAATTTTTTATATCTACAAGGTAAAAAATGAAAAAAGATTCTGTGCTCTCTCGGGGGTTGTCACAGCTTATTTCAAAGGTGTGTTAACCTCTGTGCACAGAGACTGCACACAGAGCTTGCTTGAGGCAAAAATAAACCTTTGACTAAAGAACTCATAGGCCTGGGGGGTCAGGTGACTTCCCAGTTAGGAATTTATGATCAGATCACCCTGTGAGGTCATGTTCCCTAAAACCCCTTTTTCATTTGCAATAACATAAAATGTTGAACCATTTTTAAGTACAGGCTTCACCAACATTGCAACTTATAGGGCTGAAAAAAATCAAAAGAAGAATATTCTTTTTTTTAAAGACTATTTATTTTTAGAGAGGGGAAAGGAGGAAGGAAGAGAGGGAGAGAAATATCAATGTGTGGTTGCCTCTCATGCATCCCCCACCAGGAAGCTGGCCGGCAACCCAGACACATTCCCTGACTGGGAATCAAACTGGCAACCCTTTGGTGTGCAGGCCTGGCTGATGTGGCTCAATTCACTGAGCCACATCAGCCAGGACAGAAGAAGTATATTCTTAACAGTTTTATTGAGGTATCATTGGTATACAAAGACCTGAATATAATTAATATGTACAGCATATTAGTAGAATTAATATGCAAGCAACTATGAAACCCTCATCACAATCAAGATAATAAACATACCCACATTCACAAAGCCCAAAGGACCCCAAATAGGATGAAAGCACGTGAAAAAATATAACATCTATAATAAAAGAGAGTTTTAAAAAAAGTTTTGTTGGAACACAACTGCTCATGTTCATTTACGCATTGTTTATAATATCAGAGTTTAAGGGGCAAAACAGTGGGGAGCTGAAGGCGGATGATCAGCAATTGACCCTGTGGCTTCTTCATCCAGCTGAGGGTAGTACTCAGGAAACAGTATCATTTATAAAATCCTTAGTTTGTTCTAATACAATCAAGACACAACTTCAGAGGTGTGGCTGTACTACACAATTTTCAAGCTTGGTTATATACTCAAGTCAACAAAAGAATTGTTTTTAATCAACCAGCATATGAAAGGAACCCAATTGCCCAACAATAGACAACTGGACAAAGAAGTTCAGCTACAGGTATACACTGGAATGTTACTTGGTCATAAAAAAGAATGACATCTCCTGGCTGGTGTAGCTCATTGGATTGAGCACAGGCCTGCAAACCAGAGGACTAAGGTTCGATTCCCAGTCAGGGCATATTCCTGGGTTGCAAACCGGTTCCCTGCAGGCCAGTTCCCAGCGGGGGGTGCACGAAAGGCAACCATGCATTGATGTTTCTCTCCCTCTCTTCTTCCCTTCCCCTCTAAAGATAAATAAATAAATAAATAAAAACTGTTTAAAAAAAAAAAAAGAATGACATCTTACCATTGTGACAGTCTAGATGGACCTAGAGGGTATTGTGTTCAATGAAATAAGTATGGCAGAGAAAGAAAAATACCCTACGGTTTCACTTCTATGTGGAATCTAAAAAACAAAATAAAATAAATGAACAAATAAAACAAACAAACTTGTAGATACAAAGAACAAACTAATGGTCACCAGAGGGGAGAGGGGTTGAGGATGGGTAAATAAGGTGAAGGGATTAAGTATACATTGGCAGTTATAAAAATAGTCACAGGGATGTAAAGTACACCACAGAAAAAAGAGCAGTCAATAATATTGTAATAACTGCCCTGGCTGGTGTGGCTCAGTGATTTGAGTGCCAGCCTGTGAATCAAAGGGTCAGCTGTTCAATTCCCAGTCAGGGCACATGCCTGGGTTGTGGGGCCAGGTTCCTTAGTAAGGGATGTACCAGAGGCAACCACATATTGATGTTTCTCTCCTTTCTCTTTCTCCCTCCCTTCCCCCTCTCTGAAAATAAATAAATAATACTTAAAAATAATATTGTAATAACTATATATGAGGCCAGGTGGGTACTGAAACAATTATGGGGAACACTTTGAAAGTAGATGATTATCCAACCACTAAGCTGTACACCTGAAACTAATACAAAATAATATTGAATGTCAACTGTCCTTGAAAAAATTAGAAATACAATAAAATGGAAAAAGAAGAAAAGGGGTTTGGGGATCAAGGAGGAGTGTCGAATGGGGCAGTGAGGCTTCAGGATGGGGTCTGAGACAGGCTTCCCTGGAGACCACAGAGACCATGAGACTAAAAGGCAGGCTAACAGAAGAAGTCGTATCAGAGAAGGTTGAGTCTGAGCTTGAACTAGGTCATGGACATGGAGGGAAAGGGCAGATTTTAGGACTGCGCCGGAAGCTGCATCAGCCAGCCGGCCTCTGCGGTTGAGTGAGAGGAATAAGTTGTCAGAAGCATCTGCTGTGCAGGATTTCTGGGAAATGGTTTGCAACATGTCTCCAAATAGAAGCTGTGGGTCATATTCAAGTGAACAAACCCATTTTTGGAACTTGTCCTGGTGGGGAGAAGTTACACAATGTGAAATTCTCACAAGTCTCAGTTCAGTATTCTTAAAATAGCCACAGAAAGGCCCACATGCACCCCCACCCACATATGAAAAAATATGACCTGTATTTTTCCATGTATAGTAGATGATATTTTTTGCCCCAAATTTTTCAGGGAAAAATAAGGATGTGCATTATACATGGGTACAATGACCACATGCCATGCATATAATGATCCTGTGTATAATGCACACAGCACAGAAATGTCAGCGTGTGTTAAACATGGCAAAACACAGACTGTAAAAGTAGACCATCAAACGATAAAAACAATGGATGGATAGATAGATCAATGGGTAAAGTAGATGTGGCATATATACAACAGAATATTATTCTGCAATTAAATTTTTTAAATTAATGTTTTAATTTAAATGTGAAATGTTATCATTTGCAACATGTCTGTCTGTGCCTCTTACCATTTTAGGGTACTTGCTCTCCCTAGGACATACCTTGGTCTCTCTATCAGTTATACGTTCTGGCATAGCAAACTGCCCCCAAAATTCAGTAGTTTAAAAAAATAAATAAATTAGCCCTGACTGCTGTGCCTCAGTAAATTGAGTGCCAGCCTGCAAACCAAAGGGTTACTTGTTCGATTCCCAGTCAGGGCACATGCCTGGGTTACAGGCCCAGTCCCCAGTAGGGGGCACATGAGAGGCAACCACACATTGATGTTTCTCTCCCTCACTTCTCCCTCCCTTCCCCTCTCTAAAAATAAATAAAAACTTTTTCAAAAAATAAACAGAAAGGTACTTTAAAAAATAAAAAATTAACTATTGGTAATGAGAAAGAGAACATTTAAAATGACAGAGGTGTCTTTTATATATTTATATTATATTATAATACATGTTATTATTATAATATTATTATATTATATTTATAATACATGCTTCTTAAATTACTTCGTTGTACTAAATTATTTTACTATATTCACTTTTTTGTGTAGGATACTGTGTTGGTCTAGAGACCTTTCAACTTTGAGCAGATAGATGACAGATGTTTAGATATATTCACTCTAAATCATAAACAGAACTTCAAAATGCAAAACATTGAAGTCTTACTTACATACCTACAAAATTAATGTTGTCAGTATAAAACTGATAAACTTAGCCCTGGTCTGGTAGCTCAGCTGGTTGGAGTATGGTCCCATACACCAAGGTTGTGGGTTCAATCCCTGGTCAGGGACCATGTAAGAATCAAGCAATGAATGCTTGTATACTTGGAACAACAAACTGCTCTCTTGCTCTCTCTCCTTCAATCTCAAATCAATAAATAATTTTTTTAATTTTACAAACTGACGAATGTGGCTCTCGATGGACTCCTTGTAGTTAATGTGTCACTTACATTTACCATGAAATATAGATGGGTTTTTAAATACCTGCCTGACAGCAGGAGGCTGCCGATCACAGCTGAAGGTTCTGAGACCTGGTTCTCAAGTTTGGCGGCAATTACAATCACCTGGAAATCTTTAACGACCTCCCCCCTCCATGCCCAGTGTCTAGGCAGCCCCCATGGACCTATATGTCATAATCTCAGAGCACCAGTACTTTGAAAAGATGCTCCGGACCAATGAGTTTAACATGCAGCCTAGGTTGAGAATGCTGAGAATATGATGCTCCCATTCAAGAAATGGTCTCTACCTATCAGTAATTGCACTAGGATATGGGAAGTTCTCGGCAACGGGATTGGGTCCCAAGGACCAATCACAGAGCTTGGGCAGCAACAAAAACTCTTTTATAGGAGCTTTTTCCAAACCAGCAGCACTCGGCCGGAGTAGGTGTAGGTATTAAACAGGTAAGTAGCATCCCTGCTTCATCCTTTTTTTTTTGCTTTTAATTTTTTTCTTTTTTTATTGTTGCTCAAGTACAATTATCTCCATTTTCCCGCCACCACTTTCCCCACCCCACCCACCCCCACCTCCCACCCTCAATCCTACCACTCTTGGCTTTGTCCATGGGTCCTTTATATGTATTTCTTAACAACCCTCCCCCCTTTTCTCCCCCTGTTATCCCCTCCCCCTCCTCTCTGCTTACACAGCTTCTTCTTTACTCCATTTGTCTATTTCTTCATTCAACTGTTAAGTCTCTACAATAAAAATTCCTTCTCCATTTTTCTGAGTGTTTGCATGTTAAACCTTGGAAGAATTACTGAGGTTTCAAGTCAGCTGCTTGCTCATTTGTTTTGTTGATTAGGTTCCACTTATAGGGGAGATCATATGGTATTTGTCTTTTACCACGTGGCTTATTTCACTCAGCATCATGCTCTCCAGTTCCATCTATGCTGTCGAAAAGAGAAGGAACCTTTCTTTTCGCAGCTGATGCCTGTGGACAATAAGGTGGTGTCTACCTAAATCAATTAGCAGAGGACTTGAGATCACAGGTTCTGGAATAAGATTGCTTTGCTTAGACTTGTTGGCTTCCACATCACTAAGCTGTCTAAATGTCCTTTCTCTGTGTTTTAAAGGATCACCTTACAAATGACCTCATTCAACTCCCTCAACAAAGGCTAAATGATATGCTTCACACCTGTTCAGCATATGAAAGGCACTAGAAATGGGGTACTTGCCATGGTATTTTAAAGAGAGAATAAAGTAGAAATTTGCTAGTAAATGTGACCTGAAGTCAAATTTGAGGAGATCACCAGGCCCAGGGGGGACTGTGCAAATCAGGGGAAAGAGGGTAATCAAGGCATTGAGGATGTTAAGGAGTGGCTCTTCACCATTTTTTTAAACTTCATTTGCATTATTGACACTATTACAGTTGTCCCCATTCCTACCCCCCATTGCCCACCTCCACCCAGCCTGCCCCCAATTCCCCCGGGCCATCACCACACTGTTGTCTGTGTCTATGTGTCATGCATGTAAATTCTTTGGCCAATCCCTTCACCTTCTCTCATCCAATCCCCTACTCCCCATCCCCTCTGACAGCTGTTAGTCTGTTCCATGTACCCCTGCCTCTGGTTCTATTTTGTTCTTTAGTTTACTTTGTTGATTAGATTCCACATATAAGTGAGATCATGTGGTATTTGTCTTTCTCTGACTGGCTTATTTCACTGAGCATAATACTCACCAGTTCCATCCATGCCACTGCATAGGGTAAAAGTTCCTTCTTTTTTACTTCCATGTAGTATTCCACTGTATAAACGTACCACATCTTTTTTATCCACTCACCTACTGATGGGCACCTGGGCTGTTTCCAGATCTTGGCTATTGTAAATAATGCTGCTATAAACATAGGGGTGCATATAGTCTCTTGAATTGGTATTTCAAGTTTCTTCAGATATATTCCCAGACGTGGGATCACTGGGTCATAAGGCAGTTCCATTTCTAATTTTTTAAAGAAAACTCCACACTGTTTTCCACAGTGGCTACACCAGTCTTTATTCCCACCCACAGTGCACTAGGGTCCCCTTTTCTCCACATCCTCGCCAGGTGTTTGTTGACTTATTGATGAGCACCTTTCTGGAAGGGGGGAGGGGAGATCACAGTTGCCTGTTAATATGAGAAGAAATACCTGTTAGAAAAATGTTCTTTCTCATAAGCCTGTATAAAACTGTAGACTGCTATGGAACAAAATAGTAACAGAGGGATGAACACGTGGACCAGACTGACAACTGTCAGAAGGGAAGGGGATTGAATGAAAGAAGATGAAGGGATTAAGAAAAAAAACATACACATATAACACAGAATAGACAACAGTGTGGTGATGGCCAGAGGGAAAGGGGGTGGGAGTAGGTGGAGGGGACAAAGGGGAGAAATATGGGAACAGAAAGACTTTACTGGGGCAATGGGCACACCATGCAGTGTGCAGATGACATTTTGTTGAGTTATACACTTGAACCCTGAATGGTTTTGTAAACCAGTGTTACCCCAATAAACTCAATAATAAATCAATAAGTAAATAAACTTGAGGTTGCTCGTGAATACCTCAGAATGTTAGGTCATTGTACTTAGGTGTTTGGCCCATGTTGAGTTAGTTTTTGTGTAAAATGTGAGTCATTTATGTGATGCTTCCAGGATAGGGTAATTCACAGAGGCAGGTGGTTCCCCAGGGCTGGGAAAGGGGAGAATGGGGGGCAGCTGCTTAGTGGGTATGGGGTTTCCTTTTGGGGGGAGGTGAAAATATCTGGAACAGCACTGGGAATGTCACTAAAGTGCCAGGCAGCGAAAGACAAACGCCATATGATCTCACCTATATCAGGAACCTAATGAACAAAACGAACAAACAAGCAAAATAGAACCAGAGGCATGGGAATAAGGGACATGCTGACAAGGAACAGAGGGGGGTGGGGAAGGGGATAAGGAAGGACAGAAGGGGAAGGAAATACTCAAAGAACATGTATGAGTGACCCATGGACAGCAGCGTGGGATTGACTACGGGCCCTAGTGGGTAGGGGGTGAGCAGGGCAGAGCAACAGGGGGAAATTGGGACAACTGTGATAGAACAATGATTTTTTAAAATGATTAATGGTTAATCTTATATTATGTGAATGGGTTTTTTTTCCCAGTTTCACCCTCTGGGTTGTTATTTTTTATTACACTTATTGGAGTGACATTGTTGAATAAGATTATATAGGTTTTGACATGCATTTCTATAATTCATGATCAGCTGTGTGAATTTTAAGAAAAAAAAATATATATATATCCTTTCCTGTGAACAAAAAACTTGAGTGATCAATAGGATTTGTTCCAAACCCCAATACAAATAGAACTGTTTCCAGCACTGGGATTCTTGGGTTCCCAAGATGGAAACTGAGAGGGAAAAACAGAGATACTTCCAGGCAGACTTTACAAAGCTTGTGCTCAAGCCCAGGGAGAGGCAGCACTGATGACAGAAATGTCCTCTGACCTCCTCTGGGGCTGGCTCTGCTCAGTCAGAGATCAGGGTCAGGGAGCTTCTTCTTCAAGTAGCAGGTTAGGCAGTGATACAAGGCCAGTTCCTGGCACAGAGGCAATCAGTGTTGGAGATGAGAGAGCTCATCTGCTGTCTCTTCCATGTCTTCCCTTGATTCTTCTTTTGTGTCAAAGGCTTGGGCATCACGCTTCAGACGAGATGATAGCTTCTGCACAGCTGGGTTTCAACCTGCAGCCTCTTCTGGAACAACTCAACCAGGATGAGTTGAGCAAATTCAAGTCTCTGCTAAGGACCCTTTCCCCGCAAGATGAGTTACAGCACATCCCCCAGACAGAGGTAGAAGAGGCCAATGGGAAACAACTGGCAGAGATTCTCACCAGCCAAGGCCCCCACAGCTGGGTAGAGACGGTAACTATCCAGGTCTTGGACAAGATGAATCGGACAGATCTGTCTAAAAGAGCAAAGGATGAACTCCAAGGTGAGCAGACTGTGTCTCAGGAGGAAGGGGTAATAGCGTCAAGGGATGAGAAACACAGAAATGACGTTGAGTCTTGAAGAAGCTGCCTGTCCTGAACACGAAATTTTATTTCTTTTCAGAGAGAGGGGAAGGGAGGGAGAAAGAGAGGTAGAGAAACAACAATGTAGGGTTGCCTCCCAAGTGCCCCCTACTGGGGACCTGGCCTGCAACCCGGGCATGTGCCTGGACTAGGGATTGAACACGCCACTCTTTGATTCACAGGCTAGCACTCCATCCACTGAGCCACACCAGCCCGGGCTTCCCTGGTTCTCATATTCTAGCTATTTCCACTCTTTCCAGGTACTGGATACCTATCCTGGGACTCCTCACTGTACATCCCTTCTCCCATTCCAGAGAATTTCTGAAATGTATTCATGGTATTCTCTCATACGTCCTCCAAGACGCTGAATTACTACCTACCCTCTGTTTCGTTTGCAGTTCCTACCTCTCATGTTTCCTTCCAACATCGCACGTCCATAAACACCCACACACTCACAGTCAAAGCCTCACCTCCCTTCAGCTCGGCAGCATTTGGAGCTGGGTGATTCCCTTCTGTGGGTAAGGAAGGAACATTTTGTGCATTGTAAGACATTTAGCAGCATCCCTGGTACCCCATCCCAGTGTCCCAGCACCCCTACACTTTACATTTGTAGCCCACTCTCCCCACTGGTGACACCCGAAACTGTGTCTCCACATGGCCAAATGCCCCCCTTGGGAGCCAAATGGCCCTGAGTGGAGAACCACATCTTATGTCAAGGGTCACTAACTGCCACTGTCCTTGGCAACATCCTAGGGAACTTTAAATATACTGATACCGAGAAACTATTGCTGGAGATACTGACTCAACTCACTGATCTATGTCTCCCCCTAGCCATGGAATTCTTTTTTCAATTTTATTTTTTAATGACAGTTTACATTTGATGCCACTTGGTATGAGTTTCAGGTGTTCAGCAGTATGGAAAATATTTGTACACCTTGCCCTAGCTGGTATAGCTCAGTGGATTGAGCATGGGCCTGTGAAACAAAGGGTCACTGGTTCGATTCCCAGTCAGGGCACATGCCTGGGTTGCAGGCCAGGTCCCCAGTAGGAGACACATGAGAGGCAACCATACATTGATGTTTCTCTCCCACTCTTTTTCCTTCCCTTCCTCTCTCTCTAAAAAATAAATAAATGCTTTTTAAGAAAGATATTTGTATACCTTATGAAGTGATCCCCCTAATAATCCGAGTACCCATCTGACACCATCACTAGTTATTACACTGTTTTGACTACATTCCAAGTGCTGTGTTTTATATCCCTGTGACTATTTTGCAACTGCCAGTATGTACCTCTCAATCTCTTCACCTTTTTCACTCAATCCCCCAACTTTCCTTGCCTTCGATGACCATCAGCCCATTCTCTGTATCTGTGAGTCTGTTACTGTTTTATTTGTCTGTTTATTTTGTTCATCAGCTCCTCCATATAAGTGAAACCCTATGATAGTTCTCTGAATTATTTCACTTAGGACAATCCCCTCTAGGTCCATGCATGTAGTCAAAAATGGCAAGATTTCATTCTTTCTCATGGCTGAGTAATACTCTATTATATCTATAGTACACCTATTTTGTGTTGAGTTCACTTTATCTTTCTATTTTCCAGGGCTCACACAAGTGCAGGCTGAAGGTATCACACGCCCAGAAGATATAAAACAAAGTCTGGAAGGAGAAAAACGAGGTCTGTGTGATATTTTCCTGATTGAGCTGGTGTGGGGGCGACTTTGCCCTCAAGTCCCCCTGCCCACCATGGATGAAAGTAAACACTATCAAGACATGACCTGCTTGGGGAAGAGAGGTGGCCAGTTTCTCAGAGGAAAAAGGCCTGGATCCCCCTCCTCCAGAGGCTTTTATTGGGTTGTAATACTCAGGAATATAGGATGGCAAGGATCAAACAGTAAATAACATTTCAAAGAAATCTGAGGGCTTAGCCTGAGTCAGAGTCTGTCAGGAAGAGTTTTAGGGTTTCTTGCTTGAACCCTTAACATATGAGGGAAAGCACTCTTAGCAGAGCAGATTTCACAAGTTTATCAGGAAGTCTTTGTGATGCCAGATTTTCCCCCAGGACATGCTCTAGCAAGATGAGGAGCTGCACCTCTCCCCACAGGTATTCAGGCTTAAGGGGATTAGAGCCAGGAAGCACTTCTCCCAGAGGACAGGGGACTCTGGCTATGTTACATAACCAGGGGGCCAAGGGTCTATTGCTTGCTCTTTGTTGCAGTCCCCCCAAGTCCTTCCATTATGGCCTCCCAAGTGATTGAGTCTGGCTTAGATTGCCCCCCACTGTGAAGAGTTTTACTGGTCTTTGACCTTCAACCATGCTCTGGGGGCAGGGAGAGGAAACTGAGGCATTGTTCACTACCAGAGACAAGCTTTTGTCTCCTGTGGCTCATATTCCAGAGGTCACTCGCTCATCCTTAGCCATGGGGGGTAGTTACAATTCCTGAAACCAGGTAGAACGGTCCCCAACAAGCTGAGTGTCAGATGGCTCTTTATAAACCTCTCCATTTTATTTTCCTTTCCTACTTAACACAAAGCACTTTCCTGCTGATGATTAACCAGCCCCATCTGTCTACCTTCTGTCTCATGTTACTGAAGGTGAACGGGATGAACACAGAAGGGTAGTGAGGACAGTCTGGCAAATGTGGAAGAAAAACTATTGGCCGAAAGTCAGATCCCATGAATTCACCCAGAGATATGAGAGGCTGAAAACTTTCTATAACCCGGAGATGCTCCCAGGGCCATTTCCGCACACAGTGGTGCTGCATGGCCCTGCGGGCTTTGGGAAGACCACACTAGCCAAGAAATGGATGCTCGAGTGGAGACAGGACAACCACCCTGAGACACTCAAGTTTGCCTTTTATCTCAGCTGTAAGGAGATGAACCGCCAGGGCACCTGCACTTTTGCAGAGCTGGTATCTAAGACCAGGGTAGACGTGCAGGAAGCCGAGATCCCAGACCAAGCCCAGAATATCCTGTTTGTCGTCGATGGCTTTGATGAGCTCAGGGTCCCCTCAGAGTCACTCATCCATGACATTTGTTGTGACTGGAAGAAGCAGAAGCCAGTGCCCATCCTGCTGGCCAGTTTGCTGAAGAGGAAACTGCTCCCCAAGGCCACGTTGCTGGTCACCACACGCCCAGGGGCCCTGAGGGAGCTCGGGCTCCTGACTGAGCAACCTGTCTTCATAGAGGTGGAGGGGCTCTCAGAGCAGGGCAGGAGGGACTACTTCCTGAAGCACTTTGGGCAGGAGGACCAAGCCCTGCAAGCTTTCAAGGCCATGAAGAGCAACCCGGCTTTGTTCCACATGGGCTGCATGCCTGCTGTGTGCTGGGTCACCTGCGCCTGCCTGAGCCAGCAGATGAAGCAGGAACAAGACCTGGCCCTGACCTGCCAAACCACCACCTCGCTCTTCCTGCGTTTCCTGTGTGGCCAGTTCACACCCACCTCTGCCAGCTGCCCCCAAGGGCCCCTGCAAGCTGCACTGAGGTCAGTGTGTCTCCTGGCTGCTGAGGGCCTCTGGGAGCAGACGTCCATGCTGGATAGAGAAGATCTCAGGAGTCTGGGGCTCAAGGAGTCTGACCTCCAGACTTTCCTAGACAAGAAAATTGTCCAGGAGGACATAGACTGTGAAGACTGCTACACCTTCATCCACCTCAGTGTCCAGCAGCTTCTGGCTGCTGTGTTCTACATTCTGGACAGTGAGAAGCAGAAAGATGGGGGCAGCCGCAGGCCAAACATAGGGAATCTGCAGATGCTGCTCTCCAAGGAAGAAAGACTGAAGAACCCCAACCTGACTCATGTGGGCTACTTCTTATTTGGCCTCTCCAATGAGCAGAGAGCCAGGGAGCTGGAGATGACCTTTGGCTGCCCAGTGTCCTCGGGGGTCAAGCAGGAGTTACTGAGGTCATTGTCTGGTGAGAGTGAACCCTTCTCCTCGACCACGGATGTGAAGGAGGTACTCTACTGTCTTTATGAATCTCAGGATGAGCTGCTCGTGAAGGAGGCCACGGCTCATGTCAGGGAAATGTCCCTGCATTTGCAAAGCAAAGTGGACCTTGTGCACTCAGCATTCTGTCTCCAGCATTGTCAGAACTTGCAGAAGGTTTCACTGCAGGTGGAGGAGGGGCTATTCCTGGAGGATGAGGGAACCTTGGAATCACACGCCTGGGTGGAGAGGTAAGAACTGCCCCCTCTCACTCCCCTTTTTTTCACCTTTTGCTTCCTCCATGATCCATTGAAGAAGACAGTAGCCTGCTCCGTGGGGTTTAAGGTCAGTCTTTTCTTGCTGGGATTTCTTCCCACCAGCTCCCCATTCAAGTTAGATACCACAAAGTTCAGATTAGGAATGGGGGCTTTGGAACCAGAGTTTGTTTGGCCACCTTTCTTTGAGCAATTTTTGCAAGCGGGTCAACCTGTTTTAGCCTGCCTGTTGGTATGTAGATTTCAGGAGATGTCTGAAATGACTGTCCCATTTTTGGAATGACTGCCTGAGGGATAAACAAAGACTTGTCCCTCAGGGGTTGAATCCAGGGCTCTGAACGTTACACCTCATCCATGATCAAGAAAGATCTCTTCCCAGGCACCTCGCCAGACAGACTTAGAATGTGAGATAAACAGACAGTTCTGAGCCTGGTGTGTTTTTTTTTTTTATTTTTTAATTGTCATTCAATTACAGTTGTCTCCATTTCCCCCCCCCATTACTCTCCAATGCCCTACCCACCCCCAACCTTCCATTTTCAATCCTCTCCTCGACCCCATTGTCTTTGCCCATAGGTCCTTAATGCCTGTTCCCTTTTTTCTATTTTTTAATTTATTTATTTTAATATATTTTATTGATTATGTCATTACAGTTCTATTTCCCCCTTCATTCCCCTCCACCCTACCCACCCCTCCCCCACCATTCCCCCTTTAGTTAATGACCATGTGTCTCAAGTTCTTTAGATTCTATATTTCCCATACTATTCTTGCCCCCCCCATCTATTTTCTATCTACTGTCTATGCTACTTATTTTCTGTACCTTCTCCCCCTTCTCCTTCTCCCACTCCCCTGTTGCTAGCCCTCCATGTGATCTCCATTTCTATGGTTCTGCTCCTGATCTAGCTGTCCTCTTAGTTTGTTTTTGTTTTAGGTGTGGTTCTTAGTAACTGTGAGTCTGCTGTCCTTTCACTGTTCATCTTTTTTATCTTCTTTTTCTTAGGTAAGTCCCTTTAACATTTCATATAATAAGGGCTTGGTGATGATGAACTCCTTGAGCTTGACCTTATCTGAGAAGCACTTTATCTGCCCTTCCATTCTAAATGAAAGCTTTGCTGGATAGATCAATCTTGGATGTAGGTCTTTGGATTTCATGACTTGGAATACCTCTTTCCAGCCCCTTCTTGCCTGTAAGGTCTCTTGTGAGAAATCAGCTGACAGTCTGATAGGAACTCCTTTGTAGGTGATTGTCCCCTTATCTCTTGCTGCTTCTGGAATTCTCTCTTTCATTTTAATCTTGGCTAATGTAATGATGATGAGTTCCTTCTTGGGTCCAACTTCTTTGGGACTCTCTGAGCTTCCAGGATTTCCTGGAAGTCTATTTCCTTTGCCAGATTAGGGAAATTCTCTTTCATTATTTGTTCAAATAAGCTTTCCACTCATGGGTGTTCCTCTTCCCCTTCTGGTACCTCTATAATTCAGATGTTGGAATGTTTAAAGATGTCCTGGAGGTTCCTAAGCCTCTCCTCATTTTTTTTTGAATTCTTGTTTCTTCATCCTTTTCTGTTTGGTCATTTTTTTCCTCTTTCTGGTCCACTCCTTTGATTTGAGTCCCAGTTTACTTTCCATTACAGTTGGTTTCCTGTGCATTTCTATTCATTTCAATTAGTTTAGCCTTCATGCTAAACTATAGTTTAGCATATAGTCAATTTGTGACTATAATCAACCAGTTCTGTGAGCATCCTGATCACCAGTGTTTTGAACTGTGCATCTGAAAGTTTGACTATTTCTTCATCGCTTATATTTATCATCTCTGGGGCTCTGAGTTGTTCTTGAGCCATGTTTTGATCTGTTTGCGCCTGTTACAAAGAGGAGGTGTTCACCAGGGCGGGGCCACCCAGGTTGCTGGTTTGTGACGCTGTATGTGGGGGTGGGTCAGAGAGAGGCCACCCAGGTCACTGGTTTGTGACGCTGTATGTGGGGACGGGGTCAGAGAGGGACAATAGCAGTTCCCTCTGCCACTTTCCGCCACTGGGGCCTGCATGGTCTGTCTCACTGCTTCGCTCCTTCACCAGTTTATCTGCGCTCGACTGTGTGACTTTGGTCAGCCCTCAGTGAGTCCACCGCCTTAAGCCCTCAGTGGGTCCGCCCACTACTCCACACCTGGGATCCGCCTACAGCTGCTGGCGTGCCTGGGTTGCGCACCCCAGTCAGTCCGGTGTATCTTTCCTGCCCTACCCCGCTCTGCTGCTGGCTCTACCCCTCTTACTGGTTTGGCTGAAGGGTTCATTGTTGTCAGACTTCCGTGTAGTTCAATTTTCTGTGGTTTGGCTGAGTTTTTGTTGCTAAAACTTTGTTGTTTTTAAACTTGGTTGTGTGAGAAGGTGCAGTGCTTCCACCTACACCTCCATCATGGCGGAAGTCCTCCCCTTTTTTCTATTTTTTTAAAGGTTTTATTTATTTATCTTTAGAGAAAAGGGAAGTAGGAAGAGGGACAGAAACATCCATGTCTGGTTGCCTCTCGAACGCCCCCTACTGGGGACCTGGCCTGCAACCCAGGCATGTGCCCCGACTGGGAATCAAACCAGAGATCCTTTGGTTCCCAGGCCCACTCTCAAGTCACTGAGCCACATCAGCCAGAGCCCTTTATACATGCTCCTTGTCCCTTCCCCTTCTCTCCCTCATGATCTCCCTCCCCCGACCTCCACCATCACTGTCAGTTTGTCCTTCACTTCCATGTCTCTGGTTCTATTTTGCTCACTTCTTTGTTTTGTTGACTAGGCTCTGCTAACAGGTGAGAGCATATGGTATTTGTCTAATACCACCACCTGGATTATTTCTTGACCTAGACTCAAGTAACAGCCTCAGAGCTCCGATGGAATTTCCAAACATTGCTTCTAACCTGGTGGCTACTCAAAACGTGTAATCTTCCATGTTGAGATGAAGACACTGTCCTCAGAAAAGAGTGTTTGACTGGGACCAAAACTCAAGTCTATTTACCATCCTGTGACCACAATTCAAAATCGGTAGCTAGTGGTGATGGGTAGAGTCCCCCCGCATGCTAACATCTTATTGACATCTTATCAGCTCACCTCTTCCATCCAAAATCCTTATGCATAGTTACTGGGCCAGAACAAAATGCCCTCATTTCTTTCCTGGTGGAGGTACCCTTTTTACATATTTCCTGAACATTCTCTCACATTTCTTCATCACTTAGTAGAGAGTCATAAACTTGAAGTACCACCCAGGAGCATTAAAACCACCATAGCTTGCGCTGGCTGGGTGGCTCAATTGGTTAGAGCATCGTCTTGTATACCAAAAGGTTGCAGGTTCAATCCCTGGTCAGGGCACATATGAAAGACAACTGATCAATGTTTCTTTCTCACATTGATGTTACTCTCTCCCTTCCTCTCTCTCTAAAATCAATAAACATATCCTCAGGTAAGGATTTTGTTTAAAAGACAATGATAGCTTGGCACAAATATTTCTCTACTTTATGAATAACCAACCAGCAGTCCACAGACTTTATTTACCACTTCATCCTGACCCTGTTGGTTTTTTTTTTCTTCTCTCATCCAAATGCAGGAGGCTTTGAATGAAAAAAAAAATATTGTACCTATAACCTTCTCTTTGTCTTCCATCCAAGATCCCAAGTCAAAATAGTCTCTATTTTTCTTTTTTTATTTAGTATTGGTGTGGTTAAAATCTATGAAGGAGGGCAGTATTGAAAAGCAGTAATTAAGCTAAGTTTGGGTTGCCTGGTTCTTACAGCGCTTGTCTGAGAAGAAAAAGATTTCATTGTGATAATTGTGGTCTGTAAGGCAAATTTATCCTTTTTATGAATCTCTTTTTCATATGGTCTAGCCACTTCCTCTTCTGTTCTACACATCACAGCTGGCTCAGAGTGTTGCTGGTCTACAGCCCTCACAATAGTGGTTAAATCATTTCCCTCAGGGGCAGGGTGACCAGGGAGATGCTCCACTTAGTGGCTAGATTGTCTTATCTTAATATAACAATCCCTAACACTAAACCCTACACTGTCTTTTAATTTTTTCCCCAGTGCATATTAACCATGCTCTTTGAAAAGTTGCAGATTCTGCCCTGGCTGGTGTGGTTCAGTGGATTGAGTGCCAGCCTGGAAACCAAAGGGTCACCAGTTCAATTCCCAGTCAGGGCACATGCCTGGGTTGTGGGCCAGGTCCCCTGTAGGGGACCCAGAAAAGGCAAGCACACACTGATGTCACTCTCCCTCTCTTTCTCTCTTCCTCTTCTTCTCTCTAAAAATAAATAAATAAAATATTTTTTAAAAAAGAAAAGTTGCAGATTCTAAGTGTGTAACAACTTTTCTTCCTCGTGTGACCGCCAGATTTATAATAAAGTCATTGATGTTAATCATGTCTTTGGTCAAGGCAGATACCACTAGTAAAACTAAAGCTATAACCTAGTCTTTTTAATATTATTTTTTATCAATCACAGCTGATGTACAATATTATATTAGTTTCAGGTGTACAGCATAGTGGTTGGACATTTATGTAATGTATGAAGTGATCCCCACCATAAGGCTAGTGCCCACCTGGTACCATTTATTACAGTATTATTGACTCTATTCCCCATGACTATTCTGTAACTACCCATTTGCACTTCCTTTTCTTTAAGGTAAAAAATACAAAGACCCAACTTATTGACTTATAGTTCATTTATTTTATTTAATTTTTTCCCATCGCCATGTGCATGTCTTAACCCTTCATCCTTCCCACCCAGCCCCCAATGCCCTCCCCTCTGACAGCTGTCAGTCTTGGCTGTACATCCACTTAGTACCTTCACAATGACATACAAATGTGAGTTTTCTCTCCAGCACTATTTGGTAAATTCACTTCCTTCTTGCTTCCCCATAGGTCCCAGAATGATCCACAGGTACTGTCTTCGTGGAAGGACCTTTGTTCCATGTTTGACTCAAACAAGGATCTGAACTATCTGGATATCAGTGAGAGTTTCCTCAGTGCCTCATCAGTTAGGATTCTTTGTGAAAAAATTGTCTCTGCTGCCTGTAATCTCCAGAAAGTGGTGTAAGTAGAAGTGAATCCCAGGACTAAAAGCCCTAGGGCTTGACCAAGCCTTTTGGAGCTGTACTGGAATTGTCCCAGACTCCACCCAAGTACTCAAGATGCAAGACATTGAGGTGGTCCAGTGTTTAAATTTGTCTGCTGAATCATATAATTTTTTTTCAGGTTTTGTTGTGGCAAAATGTGCCTAACATAAAACAAACCATCTTAACTATTGTTAAGACTACAGTTCAGCCCTGGCCCAGTGACTCGGTTGGCTGGAGCATTGTCTCATACACCAAAGTGTTGTGGGTTCAATCCCTGGTCGGGGTGTATATGGGAGGCAACCAATCAATGTTTCTCTCTCACATCAATGTTTGTCTCTCTGTGCCTTCCTCTCTCTCTAAAATCAATAAACATATCCTCAAGAGGGGATTTTTTTAAAGATTTTATTTGTTTATTTATTTATTTTTAGAGAGACGGGAAGGGAAGGAGAAAGATAGGAAAAGAAACATCAATGTGTGGTTGCCTCTCTCACACCCCCTACTGGGGACCTGGCCGAAAACCCAGGCATGTGCCCTGAGTAGGAATTGAACCAGCAACCCTTTGTTTCGCAGGCCCATGCTCAAGCCACTCAGCTACACGAGCCAGGGCAGAGGGGGGCGGATTTTTCTTAAAAGAGTGCAGTTCAGTGGCATTAAATACATTCTTATTATGCAGTCGCCACCACCATTTATCCCCAGAACTCTCTTCATCTTAACAAAACTCAAAATCTATACTCATTAAACCATAACTCGCCATGACCCCTGCTCCCCAGCCCCTGGCAACCACCATCTCACTTGTTTAAAAAAGTAACTTGAACACAATGTGAAATGTAGCTGGATGTTCCACCAAACACCCTGAGGACATCATCAAGATTATGAGAGCAATTTCAATCCTTTTAAAACAACCCCAGGGCTTCACACAAAGCACAGTTTCTCAACTTCTACTGACATTTTGGGGTGGACATTTCTTTGTTGTGAGGCCTGTCCTGTGCATGGTAGAATGTTTAGCAGCATCCTTGGTCTCCACCTTCCGATGCCTGCAGTACCCACACATGCCCAATTGTGACAACCAAAAATACCTGCAGATAATGGCCAAGTGTCCCCAGTGGGTACAAAAATCACCCCTGACTGGGAACTTCATGTAGTGGAGACAGTCTCAAAATGCTGAAACAGGTCTGAATGTTAAAATTCACTTGGGCTGGATATTTCTGTTTGAAAATGATCAATAGATATAGGTAGTTGCCCTGGCTGGGTGGTTCAGTTGGTTGGAGATCATCAACCTTTTTTATTACTATTTTGTTGATGATTTTTTGCATGTATTCATGAGATATTTTAGTTTATAGTTTCTTTTTTCTTGTAATAAGGGCTTCATTTTTATGAATAAATAATATGGAAGTTAACTGGGCCTATGGGCGAGTATATTGAGGTTGGTTAGTCACTCTAAAATTATATCAGTATACTTGGAATTGGCTGAGAGATTTTATCTTAAGTGTTCTCACCACAAAATTTTAAAAAGGCAATGGTAACTGGGAGGTGATGATATGCTGACCAGCTTAATTATGGTCATGATTTCACCAAGTACACCTATATATCAAAACATTAAATCCTATACCCTAAATATGCATTATTTTTATTTGTCTATAATCCCTTAATAAAGGTGAAAGTGTGAAAAATAGTTTCTGATGTTTAAATATACTGCAGCCATTTGTTTGCACATATATGCAGTAAAGGTACAAAAACTCACCTTTGTTTTCTTTGCTCTAGCCTCAGAAATATTTTCCCAGCAGATGTTTATCGGACTATCTGCACCTGTTTTGGTGGTTACGAGACGCTAACACATCTAACCCTCGAAGGAAATGACCATGATGATATGCTTCCCACCCTGTGTGAGATCTTGAGACACCCAAAATGTAATCTGCAATATCTCAGGTATAGCTCACCATCACTGAGAACCCTCAGCATGCAGAAGTAGCTGTCACCTGCCTCTGCAGAGATTGTGCATCAATTAGAAAACATCTCTTATTCTGATTGGAAACAGTACCACTGAGGGTACATGTTCCAGAGTAGAAAATGGGATGGACCCTGGGCCAGTGGTTCAGTTGGTTGGAGCATCATCCCACACAACGAAATGTTGCAGGTTTGATCCCTGGTAAGAGCACATACCTAAGTAGCAGGTTCAATTGTCAGTCAGGGCGCATGTGGGAGGCAACTGATCAATCTCTCTCTCTCTCTCTCTCTCATCTCATTGGGTTCCACCGATCCTCACATGACCACATTTGAGTACGAACAAAAACACATTTTAATGTGCTGTGTTGGTCTTGAACGACGATTCTTCCTGTACTTGTAGACTTGTGGGCTGTTTAACTAGGTCTTCTCCCCATGAATAGAATGGAATAAATACACATCTCACAAGGATCGAATGAATAGAATGGAATAAATACACGATCTCACTTGAGGATCGAATAAAACCAAGTACGGGCATGTGTAGGGAGCATCATTACTCCTGACCTTCCTTTCTCTCTCCTGTGAGGATTCACCAGGAAAATGCATTGGGTCATTAATTTGTTTCTTAATGAATAAATGGATACCCAAGATAGAAGGTAACATAACCGAGTGCAGTGAGAGATGAAACTGGAAACAATGATCCAGTGTTTGGTTCTCAAGAATGATTTCAGCCCCGACCAGGTGACTCAGTTGGCTGGAGCCTCAACCCATACACCAGAAAGGTTGCCAGTTTGATTCCCAGTCAGGGCACATACCTAGGTTGCAGGTTCAATCTCCAGTTGGGGCTTGTACAGGAGGCAACTGATCAGTGCTTCTTGTCCCATTTCTCTTGCAGGTTGGTATCTTGTTCTGCCACCTCTCAGCAATGGGCTGATCTCTCTTCCTCCCTGGAAACCAACCAGTCCCTCACATGTTTGAACCTCACAGCAAGTGAGCTCCTGGATGAGGGTGCCAAGTTGCTGTACTTGACTTTGAGAAACCCAAAGTGCTTTCTGCGGAGGTTGTCGTAAGTCTATCCTCTTTTCCCATTGAGCCCCTTCATGTTTACACCTGGGACTACATAAGGAAGAGCTATGGTAACAGCCCTAATTGCTGGACAACCTACAATGGGAACACCTGTGAAAATGGGCACACCTGGTTCCCATGTGTCTCATTCTTCTCTCGCTCCTGTTCCTTTGTGACTGATCATTAGCACATAATAATTGAGAGTGGGTGGGGAATTAACAAGAAAAGTTATCAGCTGAGAAAGTTGGCCTACAGAAATCTTCTCGCCATCTTACCATGGGTGTGGTGCTTTTGTAGGTTGGAAAACAATCACCTGACAGGAGCCTATTTCAAGGATCTCTCTTCTGCTTTGATTGTCAACCTGAGGCTGACACACCTGTGCTTGGCCAAGAACGACCTTGGGGATAGCGGGGTAAAACTTCTGTGTGAGGGCTTAAGTTACCTTGACTGTCAACTACGGACCTTGGTGTAAGTCCCCATGGGCTGTGTGTGGGTATGTGTGTGCTGGATTCTAGTGACGCAGTACTGCGAGCACTTCATAATTTCTTTTGGGTATTTTATACCCAGGTATTATGCTGATGGTCAGATCTGATGAGACCTGGGGAGAGGGTGATAGGAAAAAAAAGTTCAAGGAGTGCCCTGACAGGTGTATTTCAGTGGATTGGGCATCATCCCACAAAGCAAAAAGGTCACTGATTCAATTCCCAGTCAGGGCACATGCCCAGGTTGTGAGCTAATCCTGGACGTGGTCTGTGTGAGAGACAACCAATCAATGGTTTTCTCTCACATCAATGTTTCTCTTCCTTTCTTTCTCCTTTCCTCCTTCTCTAAAAATAAGTAAAATCATTTTTTAAAGCAGTATTAATATTATCTAGGAATTTGAAGGATGTAGTGGACTTCTAGGTTCGATTTTTTAATGTGTGTTCTTAGAACTATGTAGCATAAATTATAAGTGAAGTTGGGGATAGATGGTGTTATTTACCAAGAAACTCAATAGAATCCTCCTAAAAATCCTAAAATCATAGAACAAATCTTCAGAAAAAAATGGGGCTGCATTGTTTCTCTTCAAAGATTCAGTTTTTTAAAGATTTTATTTATTTATTCTTAGACAGAAGGGAAAGGAAGGAGAAAGAGAGGGAGAGAAACATCAGTGTGTGGTTGCCTCTCATGCGCCCTGCTACTGGGGACCCAGCCCTCAACCCAGGCATATGCCCTGACTGGGAGTCGAACCAGTGACTCTTTGGTTCACAGGCTGGTGCTCAGTCCACTGAGCTATAGAAGCCAGGGCCAGAGATTCCGTTTTAATATCTCTTTTATTCTTGCTATTTGAGAGCTCACCTCATATTCTAAAGAGCCCTGAATTCCTTGGTTCACAGCTCTCTTCCTCCTTCAGAGCCAACAAGGATGGGTCAAGTCCTAACATCACCCCTCTATTCACTTCAGAAAAAAAGGACTCGTGTGATTAGATTCTGCCCCACTGTATAATCCAGGGTAATCTCCCCATGTCGAGGGCCTTAGTCTTAATCTCATCTGCAAAGTCCCCTTGTGTAAGGTCACATAGTCACAGTTCTGGGGGTTAGGGTATGGATCCCTATATGGGTCATTGCTCTGCCTGTGGCAGCAGCCCATGGTAACGTCAGCCATTCCAGTTTTCTGCTAATATAACCAAGTTTAGAACTCTGTAATAGTAAGGCAGGAAGGAGAAGGCAAAAAAAAAAGTTAAGATGAAATGCCACTGATATGCCATGTAGTTGGATAATTGATACCTAAGATCTAGCACCAGACTTGTTCAGAGCAGAGTGGGCACCCTCCTCATCTAAGATATTACTTTTCTGGTAACTGCATTTAGGAAATATAATTGGCCACTTCCCCTAATAGAAGGTGGCAGACCAAGGTATGATTGAAATTCTCTGCCCCATGGTTAGAGTAGAAATAATAGACAACAGTTGGTTTCTACTTGCTTCTATAACAAACTGTCACAAACTAAGAAGCTGCAAATTTGTGATCTTAAAGTCATGGAGGACAGAAGCCTAAAATGGGTCTCCCCGAACTAAAATCAAGGTGTCGGCAAGGATATATTCCTTCTGGAGGCTTAAGTGGGGAGTCTGTGTCCCCACCTTTTTCAGCTTCTACAAGCCCTCTATTCCTTAGCTCACGACTTCTCCTTCCATCTTCAAAGCCAGTAGGGAGTGTCCTCAAATGTCCTCTGTCTCCCTCATTGCATCTCTCCCTCTGGTTTGCACCCCATTCCCTCCTTCTTCTAAGGATTCTGTGATTACATTGAGTGCACCTGGTTAACCTCCGCATCTCAAGATCTTTAACTCAACCCTATCTGCAGAGTCCCCTTGCGTGGAACGTAGTATGTACTTACAGACACTAGAGATCAGGATGTAGATGTCTTTGATAGGGAGAAGTGAGCATTATCCTGTCTGCCACCCTGTCCCATGATTTCATTGCCATGTGTCCCTGCTCTAAAACCCGTGGCTTAAAATTGTCAATCATGAAAAATGCACTGGGTGCGTCACTAAGAGTTTTTTTTTCTTCTTCCTGTGGTTGGTTTTTAGGCTTTACTACTGCAATATAACCTGTGATGGCTGCATTAATCTCTCCATGATTCTGCAACAAAATTCAAGCCTCACACACTTGGACTTGGGACTGAATCACATTGGATTTATCGGAATGAAGTTTCTGTGTGAGGCTTTGAAGAAACCACTGTGTAACCTAAAATGTCTTTGGTAAATTATGGGGTTTTTTTTTAACTTTATTCTGTATCTGTAATATCAGTATAGTGGTGTTTCCAGCTCTAACACAAAGGGTTGGAATAAATTCAATTCGGGGTTTGTTTTTTTTTTGCATTTTTTTTAATTTAGTTATTTTTCAAGTACAGTTTTTTTGTCTATTTCTCCCATCCCAGCCTCCCCCACCCCTTGCTCCCCACCTCCCTCCCAATTCCACCCCTCTTAGTTCTCATCCCTGTGTCCTTCCTATTTGTTCCTCCAAATCCCTCCCCCTTTTTCCCCTTAACTTCCCTTCCCTCTGCTCTCTGGTTGCTGTCCCCTTGTTCTCTATTTCAGTATCTTTGTTTTTGGGGTTTTTTTTTCCTCTGCTTGCTTGTTTGTTTTGTTGTTCAGCTTTCTGTTAAAGGTGAGATCATATGGTATTTGTCTTTCAACACCTGGCCTATTTCACTCAGCATACTGCTTTCCAGTTCCATCCATGTTGTTGCAAAGGGTAATAGCTCCTTCTTTCTCTCTGCTGCATAGAATTCCATTGTGTATATGTACCACAATTTTTTGATCCATTCATTTACTGATGGGCACCTAGGTTGCTTCCAACTCTTGGCTATTGTAAATTGCGCTGCTATGTCAGTTCAGTATTTTTTTAAATCCTCCAGAATATCCCTGGCTATGTAGCTCAGTTACTTTGAGCATTGTCCCCATATGCCAAGGTTGTGGTTCGATCCCTGGTCAGGGCACATACAAGAATCAACCAGTGAATGCATTAATAAGTGGAACAACAAATCAATGTTTCTCTATCTAACTATCTATCTCGATCTCTTGATCTCTCCCTTCCTCTCTAAATTAAAAAAAAATCAACAAATAAAAAAATCTATTAAATTCTCTAGAGTAGCATTTTTCACCCACACACACACACAAAAAAACTCTAAAGCCCAAAATTCATAGGAAATCACAGAAGACCCCATATAGCTAAAATAACACTGACAGAGAACAACAAAGCTGAAGGCATCATACTTTCTCATTTCAAACTCTAATGGCCAAAACAGTATGGTCCTGGCATAAAACCAAATAACATAGATCCAAGGCAGAGTAGAGAACCCGTAAATCCCTTCCATGTATATGGTCTTCTAAACTTTGACAAAGGCACTAGGGATACCCAATGGGGCAAGCACAGTCCCTTTAATAAACAATGTGGGAAAACTGGATAGCTACATGCAGAAGATGAAATTGGACCCTCACGCTATACACAAGCATGAATTCAAAGTAGATTAAAGACTTAAACTGTAAGATCTGAAACCACAAAACTCCTAGGAGAAAAGGTAGGGCAAAAGGTCCTTTACGCTGGTCTCAATGACATTTCTGGAAGAGGGATGATGTACATGGTGATGGAAGTCTCTCCTAATCACATATACTACTGAGGCAGGAAGGATGGCTGCCCTTTATCTGGTCAGCAGCCACTTTCTGGTATTGTAATCTCAGTTAGACACTCTAGAAAATAAGAGTTAGTTGCATCTACCAGAAAAGATGATTATAATAATTACGATTTTGCATGCATGTTATTTTACCATGTGCCAAGAAGTACACTGAATGTTTGCTATTATATTTAGCCTCTTCTAAGTCCTAGGGTAAACTTAATACATGATCTAGTCCTTGATCTCAAAAAATTGTTTTATTTACTCAAAATCCTTCATGTGTTATCTATGGTTCCTTTTTCCTTTTAAATATCAAATCTAGCCCTGGCTGGTGTGGCTCAGTGGTTGAGCACCAGCCTGCAAATCAAAGGGTCGCTGGTTGAATTCCCAGTCTAGGGCACATGCCTGGGTTGCAGGCCAGGTCCTGAGTAGAGGGGGCATGAGAAGCAACCACACATTGATGTTTCTCTCCCTTCCTTCCCCTCTCTAAAAAATAAATAAATAAAATCTTTACAAACATATATCAAGTCTAATCCTTGTTGAAATCATGCTACCCCCTTCCAGATATCTAGAACCTGTTCTCTACTCCCACACACATGCCAGTAACATGTGGGCTGTTGCAGAGCCTTCCAAATTCATCGGTATTCTGCCTTCTTTGTTCCCCTACAGTTTTCAGCCAAGCACAAGACTAACTTCCAAGGAGCAACTCTTCACCCTTCTGATCAACACCCTCAGTGGTTCCTCATCTCCTCTCAAGTAAAATCCTATGTTTACAATGACCTAAGGGCTTTATTCCAGCTGGGCCCCTCTTCTTGATGACCTCACACTCCAGCTGGCTGCCTTGATGTTGGTTTACATGCTACTCACAAGCAACCTCATGGCCTTTGCACCAGTTATGACCCTGCCTAGAAGGCTCCTACTCCAGCTCTCTCAGGGCTCATTCCCTTCACCCCTCATGTCCTCTTCAGCCAGCTTCTCCCTGTACCCCTTACCCTTCATAACCCTCCTTTGCACTGGACTTGTACCTAGCACACTAGATGTGACTCTCTGTTTCCTATTACGCATCTCTTCCTCAGATGTGTCTGAGACACATGTTGCTCATTGTTGGGTGCCCAACACCCAAGGCTGTGCCTGGAATAAAGGATGCACCAATAAGCACTGGTCAAATTAATGAATCAATGAATTTTTGTGTTTCACCTATAGGTTACGGGGATGTGCGATCACCCCTTTTAGTTGTGTTGACCTCTCATCTGCCCTTAGAAGCAACCAGAACCTTGTCACTCTGGACCTGAGCCAGAACTTTCTGGGGCACAGTGGAGTAAAGATGCTGTATGATGTCCTGAAACTTCAGAGTTGCCCTCTCCAGAAGCTCAGGTATGATCCTCCTATGCCCTGCAGAGTTTGCTCCATGATGGTAGGTTTTGGGGGGAGCACCAACAGCAGGATCCCTGGTAGGCATGTCTATCACTAACATTCAGGGGTTTTTTTTAAGATTTTATTTTTTAGAGCCCTGGCTGGTGTAGCTCAGTGGATTGAGCGCGGGCCTGCGAACCAAACAATCGCGGTTCGATTCCCAGTCAGGGCATATTCTTGGGTTGCAGGCTGGTTCCCTGCAGGCCAGTTCCCAGCAGGGGACGCACAAAAAGGCAACCATACATTGATGTTTCTCTCCCTCTCTCCTTCCCTTCCCCTCTAAAAGATAAATAAATAAAATCTTTTAAAAAAAGATTTTATTTTTTATACTTATTTTTAGAAAGAAGGGAAGGAAGGGAGAAAGAGAGGAAGAGAAACATCAATGTGTGGTTGCTTCTCATGTGGCCACCACTGGGGACCTGGATTGCAACCCAGGTGTGTGCCCTGACTGGGAATTGAACCAGCGACCCTTTGGTTCACAGCCCGTGCTCAATCCACTGAGCTGGCCAGGGGCTAACATTCAGTTTTTATCCATTGATGTTTGGTCACCAGATAACTCCTCTGTTGCTTTCCTGCTGTTGCTTTGGTGGTAAGATGAGTCCAAAGATAAGACCAAAACTCAACCTGAAACCAAGAAGCTAGATTCAGGGCTTCTCTAAGTGAGAGACAGGTACGGTGGCCAGCTATTGTCTTCTCACAAGGTGCTTTTAGAAAGGGTTCATTTGAGGCTTTATCAGTTATGGAAGTCTAGAAGGTCAGTGTCAGCCCTAGAGGAGTGGTCTCTGGAGTAAGTCTGCAGTCTGATGAGAATGGCCTGGGATAGCAGAAGCGATCACCAACTGCTGCCCTCCACTTGCTCTTCAAAGCAAGTTGTCATTGGGTTCTATTGTGTGCTTGCTACCATGGCAACAAAGAACCATAAAACTCAGGAAGAGTGTGGGAAGTCCCTGTAATTCTCAGATGGAACCTAGGTCCTGAATGTCTTGAAATGATCAGAATTCTGTAGAAGAAATATTGTATACTGACTTAACACGAATCTCAGTTCCCAAAGCACATTGCTAGTCAAAAGTTGAGATGTGTGGAAAACACTCAATCTTTTTATTTCTTTTTCTAGCCCCCTTTCTCAAGGGTTAGTACTCTCACTTTAGATAGTATTGGTCATCTCAGTGAAGAACGTAAAGCCCCAGAAAGACAACATTGAATCTGTTTCCTTATACCAGTCAGACATTCTTTCCTGGGTCTTCGAATCTCAAGCTGATGATTCATGGTGGGGCCTTCTTCACGAACCATAGATCCTGGAAAGGTATAGATGCCCTGCCTTTTCAGAGTTTGGCGTTTAGGTCTTCAATTCTCTCATCTACCTCATATCCTTCTGGTAAGCCCTTTTTCATTAAGTATCATCACTTTCTCTTGCTCCCAGACAAAAGAAAAAATACACCTCATTCTCAGAGCAATAGTTCTTCACACTCACTTCTGACTTCTTCAACACCTCTGACCACACACGTCTACTGTGGAAACTATTTTTGTTCTTCTGCCCAAGACCAACCTCTGACAATCATGAATAAACACAATTACATTTGACCTCAGAAGGTCATGTTTAAAAAACTTTGAAGCTGGTGGGCCTTTGTTTTAGCCAAAGTTATCTTGATGTGGAACAAGATATCTACTCAAGCTAGCTTAAGACTGCATGGGTGTATTAGACTTTTTTGTTGTTGTTGTTATTTTCCTTCTTTATTGAGCTAGAATTGACAAATAGAAATTGTGTATATTTCAGGTGCACAGTGTGATATTTTGCTGTATGTGTAAATTTTGAAATGATTGTGAAAACCAAGCTAATTAACACATTCATCACATCACATGGTTACCTTTTAGTGTGTGTGGTAAGACACATAAGACCTACTCTCTTGCCCATTTTTAAGCAGATGACACAGTATTATTAACTGTAGTCACCATGCTGTGAATAGGTTCACCTCAGAACCTATTCATCTTATAACTGAAAGTTTGTTGCATGGATGTACTGGAAATATCAAATAACAAAGCAAAAATTGATTCATGTGCTAGCAAAGCCAGGATTACAATGCTAACAAGAAACAATGCAACTAATGTCCTTGGTGTCTTATTTTTATACATATTTTCATTTAATTATTCCCTGTCCCTGGCCACTTCACATTTCCACATACACATGGCTGAATATAGTTACCAACAGATGACTCTGGCATCAGAAGTTAAATAAAGTGTGGTCATTAAGTAATATCACATAGCCAAACTGAGACACAAAGTTGGTCTGGCTGACTTGGGTCAAGTTTGTATGTCTCATCCTGGGTCCACCTAGTAGGAGAAGCTGACAAAGTTATGAAGTAGGTAGATATGAGAGCTTGTTATAGGTATGTCCACCAGTTCCATCCCTCACACCAAGTATGATAGGGTAATTATCCAAGACCACCTGAGCATCCAAAGCTATGCGGTGGCTTTATGCCTGATATTATACTTTATCCCTGTCAAATTGATATGGAACACTCCTTGGCAGCATAGAATAATACATAAAGGTGATCCCTGCTCTGAAAATCCCTAAAGCATGAGACTTAACGGTGCTTGGGGATCTGGAACAAATCTCCTTGAGGCAACAAGAAACAATTTTGTTCTCCCATTGTACCACCAGGTTGAAGGTAGATAAATCTGATGATCGAACTCAGAAGCTGCTGAATGAAATCAAAGAGAGCAACCCAAAACTGACTATTGAAAGAGACGATCAAGAGCCCAGAAATAGCAGGCCTTCTTCTCATGACTTTATCTTCTGAATCCCCCTGGAGTTATTTGTTCTCCAGTCAAGTCATAGATCTTCAAGGTGATGGTGAACTTTCTGTGAGTCCTCCCAGTGATGTTTGTTGCTGGACCAGATGTAACGTTGGCCTTGGTTGTGTCTCCAACTTATAGGAGACGTGCACAAGTCACTTAATCCTGTTAGAATAAGATGTCTATATCACAAGTATATCAAGAGAAATAAAGGTGAAAGCATTCATGAAGAAGGTTGTATTTATTTATTTTATTGATTTGAGAGAGAAAGAGGAAGGGAGAGAGAAAAAAATTGACTTGTTCCACTTATTGATGCCTTCATTGGTTGATTCTTGAATGTGCCCTGACTGGAGATTGAACCCCCAACCTTGGTGTATGAGAATAATGCTCTAGCCACTGAACTATCCAGCTGGGGCCAAGAGGGTTGTTATTCAAGGATTCTAACCAAATACAGAGGTCAATCCTGAACCCGTCTGAGGGAAGATTGAAGAAATAGGTAAGTATGATGTCCAGTGAAGGAGCCATAAGATCTGCACTGTGCAAGACAGCAGTGAGGAGACTTCGGCATCCACTAGGCCCCTCTCATCTCAGAGGGAGTCCTCAAACAGAAAGCCAAATAAATAGACACTGACTCAATAGCTTCTTGATGGATCACCATCAAGAAGCACTCCCCACCTTCCTGTTCCACAGCAGTAGCTTCTATCATCTTCCTCTCACACCCTACACACTCCACATGCACTCGAGGGCCCCTCCCAGCTCTCATGACCTATCTCTTAGATACAACAAAGTCTTGGGATTCTAATGGTGGCAACCATCATTACAGCCATCTGGTAGACCCCCATGCTGATGACTGTGTCATTTCTGAGTCTGCGGGAGGGGTGGCAGTGGCCTGTGGGTAGCTCGGACCTGGTGCTTCAGGGATTTCTTTTGGCTGTACCAGTCTTCTGCCAGGATCCCTGCCAGGATAATGAGAATCACAGCCCCAAGGCATATCCGGACCAGGTTACCCTTTGTGTAGTACTGGTAGGAAATACCTGAGGAATGAAAAGACAGGAGCAGGTGATAAGAACCCACCTCCAGGATCTGCTCCAAGCCACGTCTCATGTTTCTCATAGCTGAATCCCTCATCTGAGATCCTGTTACTCTCTGCTAGCTTGGATACCAACCCAAGATGCCAGTCTTCTTCCTGAAGAGTTCCTCCCCTCTTCACCAGGATCAGGGCTACATAAGTCCAGCTCCCTAGATATAGCCTCTTCCATACACCCCACCACAGCCCTCTGATACAACCTGTCTCATGCACAGACACTACCTGGTTATTCATCTAATTGTGGAAGACTATTATCAGGGGTATGGAGAGAGATGGAATTAATCTTTCTATAGAAGATTGCAACCTTCCCACCTGATCTTATTGCCCAGTCCTGGGCTCTGCGTATTATTATTTTCCCTCCGCTTAATACTTGATACACCAGTACCCAAAATCACAGAGCTATAGCCCTGCATAAGGAAAGCAAGTCAGCTTTAGATAAAGACACAGGAATGGGGAGAAGGAAGGTCCAGAGAGGACCACTTACTCACCAGTTGGAGAGCTTGGCCCCTGTGTAGAGATGATGATATTATTCCTAGAAGGCTCTGGGATCAAAAAGAGTAAGTGTGAAGGGATGGAACCATCTCCTCTACCCCTGTCACTGTGAAAATTAAACTAGTAATGGCCCTGGCTAAGTAGCTAGTAGTAGTTGGTTAGAGCATCATCCCAATACACCAAGATTGTGAGTTCAATCCCCAGTCAGGGCATATACCAGAATCAACCAGTGGTCCTGGCTAGTGTGTCTCAGTAGATTGAGTGCTGGCCTGTGACCCAAAGGGTTGCTGGTTTGATTACCAGTCAGAGCACATGTCTGGGTTGTGGGCCAGGTCCCCAATGGGGGGCATGCAAGAGGCAACCACACACTGATATTTCTCTTCCTCTCTTTCTCTCTCTCTTTCCCTCTCTCTAAAAACAAAATCTTTTTTAAAAAGAAGGAAGAACATAAAAAAAGCTCAAGTCAGGTGGACTAGAGAGACATCTGACCTATCCTCAAGGTTTGCTGTTTTGGGGAAAACAAAGACTTTTTAATTGATTTTTAGAGACAGAAAGGGGAGGTGGGGAGAGAGAGAGAGAGAGAGATTAATCTGTTGTTCCTCGTATAGATGCACTCATTGGCTGATTCTTGTACGTGCCCTGACTGGGAATTGAGCCCACGACCTTGGTGTATCGAGATGGGATGATGTTCTAACCAACTGAGTCACCCAGCCAAGGAGAAATGGAGACATCTTCCCAGGGAAAGCAAAGGGGAAAAATAAGCATGGCATGAGGGAAGCGTGTATGCATTGAACTGCGGTGGTAACAGGGTACACGGTATCCAGGCTGCCATTACCCAAGTGGGGCTGAATACATGGGTCAGAACCAAGTCAGAAGATCAGTGTGTACGGATGAGTCGTGATCTTCCCATCATAGGCTTGACTGCGCCCTCTTTGAAATGGCCACGTGGCCCAGAATGTTCCTGTGTCCCCAGGCTCAGAGCCTACCTCCACCCCACCCCCTACCCTCAAACCAAGGACTTTCCTGGGAAGAGCCCAATGATTTCATGACACAGATCAAACACCTGCAACAGCCTTAGATGATAGAAGAGAGAGCCCAATCCTCATCTTCCTTTCTGCTGAGCTCTGTCCTGGTTATGGGTTGTTTTTGTTTTGTTTTGTTCTTTTTTAATTTTCTGGGGCACATACCTAGGAGCAGAATTGCTGGATCATATTAATTCTATGATATGACCATATGGCAATTCTTTTTTTTTTTAATCTTCACCCAAAGACATTTTTTCATTGCCTTTAGAGAGAGAGAAAGAAGGTGAGAAACATTGATGTGAGAAACATCGATTAGTTGCCTCTTGTAGGCTCCCTGACTGGGAATCCAACCCACAACCCAGGTGTGTGCCCTGACCAGGAATCAAACCTGCAAACTTTGTGTGCGTGGGACAATGCTCCAACCAACTGAGCCATGCAGGCCACAGCTGGCAATTTCTTCTGAGGAACCACCAAACTGTTTTGCACAGCAGCTACACAGTTTTTATTCCCACCAGCAATATTCCAGTTTCCTGGAATATTGTGGAGAAGATTCCAGTTTCTCCACATCCTCACCAGCACTTGCTGTTGTGCTGATGTTGTTACCATTATTGCCATTCCAGTGGGTATGATGAAGTTCATGACATGAGACTTTATATCTCAATTTTAAAAAATAGGAAGTGCCCTGGCCAGTGTAGCTCAGTGGATTGGGCGTGGGTTGTGAACCAAGGGGTCACTAGTTCAATTCCCAGACAGGGCACCTACCTGGGTTGCAGGCAAAGTCCCCAGTGGGAGCCACATAAGAGGTGACCACACATTGATGTTTTTCTCCCTCCCTTTCTTTCTCCCTCCCTTCCCCTGTCTCTAAGATAAATAAATGAAACCTTTAAAAAATAAAATAGCCCTGGCTGGTGTAGCTCAGTGGATTGAGCGCTGGCCTGCGAACCAGGTGATCACGGTTTGATTCCCAGTCAGGGCACATGCCTGGGTTGCAGGCCAGTTCCCAGCAGGGGACGCATGAGAAGCAACCATACATTGATATTTCTCTCCCTCTCTCCTTCCCCTCCCCTCTGAAGATAAATAAATAAAAATCTTTTAAAAGATAAAATAAAAACAGGAAGTGTAGCCCTGGCTGGGTGGCTCAGTTAATTAGAGCATTGTTCCGGACACCAAAAGGTTGCCGGTTCGATCCCTAGTCAGGGCACATACAGGAGGCAACCAATAGATGTTTCCCTCTCACAACAGTGTTTCTGCCTCTCTTTCTCCCTTTCTTTCTCTCTCTAAAACCATGAAATGGAGGATCTCTGTGGTCCCACAGAATCTCATGCAGTGGCTCTCCCAGTGACATCACAGACCAGCAACATCAGCCTCACCTGGGAACGTGTTAGAAATGAAACTTACTAGACCTCACCCCAGACCTTCAAAATCAGAAACCCCACGGGACCAGAAATCCATACTTTATAAACCCCCCAGGGAATTATCAGGGCCATAAATGTCTGGGAACCACTAACCAAAGAAGTCAGAGACTCAGGTATGGGGCCCAGGAACCTACAATTCTTTTTTTTTTTATTGTTGTTTAAGTACAGTCGCCCGCCTTTCCCTTCCCCCACCACCTCCCACCCCCCCCCGCCCCACCCCTAGGAACCTGCAATTCTATAAACCACTTAGATATTCCTGTATGCCTTAGACATAAACCAACACCCTGAGGCTTGATAGAAGAGGGGACCTGGGCAGCATAATAATATCTATCTACTGTAACACTCATCTTTTCTATGGGCATATATAAAGGATTTTTATAATAAAGCAAGTGTGTGAAAGAGTCAAATTAAGAAATCTGGATGAAGAGGAAAAAGAGAAGAGACCCAGGCACCAGGGTGTACCCTTCAGGACTTACCTGTTACAGCAGAAGGTGCTGCTGTAGGTACCTGGTGGGTTGTCACAGTGGTCCCTGAAAAATCAGAAAAAGAGGGAATTCTGTACGCTGTTAGTTGTGGGTCCCGAGCAAACAGATAAAACCTTTCTGCCACCCGGATCCCTCACCTGGAAAAGTCAACATTAAGCTTACATCACAGGACCATCGTGAGAGCTAAGTAGCATTTTTAAAGGCAGCCCTAAACCATTCTGGGGCTAATCTGTAGTGACAGCCCCTGTCCCCAAGTGGGGAACCTCAGTTCTGCCCACTCTCTGCATCTCTGTGACCTACACCCTTAGCTTGTTCCTGGGAGCCAAACCTGCTCTCGTAGGTGGAGGAGATAACTAGAATGTGTATGTATCTGCTTATGATACGCACCTCTTTTAGAGACAGAAATAAAGGATTTTTATATTAAAGCCAATGTGTGAAAGTCAAGTGTAGACATCTGGACAAGGAGGAGAAAGAAAAGAAGTCTGGGGACCCAGATACCAGGGTAAACCCTTCGGGACTTACCCGTTACAGACAGAAGGATGAGCATGGGCAGAGAGGCAGGTACCCGTGTGGGAGGAACAAAATTCTGCCCTTCCTTGTCTCACACCACGCTCCGACCACACTGGCCGGCCAACCTCCCCCCTGCTGCAATTCCACCACCCTGCAGCCCACCCCACCCCACCACACCCCACCCCCTGTCCACTCTGCCCAAAGGCCCACAGCCAACACCAATGACTCAGAGAAGCCTCCTTTTCTAGGTGCTAACAGAACTATGTACTTCTTTTTGATAGATTTTTAAAATTTTTTCAGTTACCATTGGCATTCGATACTAATACTCATTTCAGGTGTACAGCATCGCGGTTAGCTTACGTACTTCTCCAACATGACGGTTGTTTTCACGGTCATTATACGCGTGTTGGGTGTGTCTTTGAACACAGTTCTATTAACTACTGTACGTATACACAGCGTGTGTGTGCGTGTGTTTGTGTGTGTGTAAGGGAAGATATACTGGACACAGTGGAATCATGTAGCCCAGGCTGAGGTTAGAGATGAGGCTTGGCAAAGGCCCCTGGGGCAGAAGGGGCTCCAGTGTTGATGTAAAGTATGTCCTTTGCACCTATGGTTCTCCCCACCCTACCCCACCCTCCGCCTTGGAACCTGCTCTAGGGCCTGCAAGGGCAGAAGCAGAAAGGTCAGGTGTGCACCCCCTCACCTCTGACCACGAGCTCCAGCGGGTCACTGGGGGCCGACCACAGGTAGGGGGCACTACTGGCAAAGCTGTAGCACTGGTAGGTCCCGCTGTGAGCCGCTGTCACGGTGATGATGGGGAAATCGGCCTGGTACCACATCTCCGTTTCCTTGTTCTGTCCCTCGTCCCCCTTCTTGTACAGAGCATATTGGTCGAAACCATATTTGCTCTTGCACTGCAGAGTCACATCACCTCCCGAGGATACGGCCGGGCTGGGCTGGGCTGAGAGCGTGGGCTTCTCATAGACTCCTGGGAGCGGAGAGAACTCGGGCGTTAAAGGCAGGGGCTGGTGTCTCAGCCCAGCGGGTGGGAAGGTGCCCCAGCTCCCTAAGCGGTTGAGAACTTCTCAGGTGTATCCATTCTGGAGAGAGACAGCTTCCCCCCAGCTCACAAAGAGGCTAAGGGAACAAGGCTGAAGTTACATCACGGTGCCCGGGGCTGAGCTCCTGTTTCTGCCACTTAGGGATTGTGTGAGACGACATAAATTTCCCCTGTGTGTGTACCTCAGCGTTCTGTGCTGTAAAATGGGGCTGGCTGAGTGAAGCGATTAGATGTTAAGCATTGAGCTGAGGACCTAACGCCTTGCCAGCACTCAGACCGTGGTGGTAGTGATAACATAGCTTGGGCTGATGTTGTATTATAAGCTTGGGTTACAGTATACAAGTTATACTGTTATTATGTGTTAACATACCAGCTTCCAGCCCTGGTGGGTGTGGCTCAACGGCTTGAGCACCAGCCTAAGAACCAAAAGGTCACTGGTTCGATTCCCAGTCAGGGCACATGCCTGGGTTGTGGGCCAGGTGCCTGGGCTTAGGGGAGCACGAGAGGCAACCGATCAATGTCTCTCTCACACATAAATATTTCTCTCCTCTTTCTCTCTCCCTTCCCCCCTCTCTAAAATTAATAAATAAAGTCTTCCAGGATGCAAAAAATTTTTTCAAACAAAAAATAAAGTACCAGCTTCCAGGTGGTATTCCAAGTCCATGACTCACAAAGACCTATGAATTCTTCACCCCTTTCTCATCAACAGAACTAAGAGGCCCAATGCTAAATAAATCATCCAAGTTCGTAAGATAGGAAGAGGCAGAACTGAAACTGGCTATCACAAGCACAGGCTCTGGGCTCTCGGCTCCAATGAGCTCACACTAAATATAATGTGATTTAATTATCACCACGGAGCCTGACAAGCCACACCTGGTACACAGTGGTCCCCACAGAAGCCACAGCAGAATTATGGCTTGTTCATTTATGCAACATTTTTTCCCCCTTAGCAAGCCTCACATGTCCATCTCTGAACTCAGGAAAAAAAAATCCCATCAGGAGGGAAGAGGCAATAACTAAGCTAAGTAAGTCAACATGTGTGGCCCGTCAAAGAGTGATCAGTGCCATTTCAACCAGGCGCGATTTTCAATAAGGTGGTGAGGGAAATACTTAATGAAAACATAGGACTGGGGTTGGTCCCCAAGGCGCACACAACACCTGATAGGTCACTGACCGCAGATCGTGAATTAAGGCGAGACCCTAGTCTGTGGGTGCAAACTTAAAGGGGTGGGGAAAAAACTCAGTAATCAAGGTAAATTTTACAATCAACATTAATGCAAGCACATTTTTAAATCAATTTTCAAAGTCAAAATTAATGCAAGCACATCCACCGTGGGGAAAAAAAACACACGTCAATATTGGGGTCCCGTTGAAGCTGAGGCAAGGACTCCAAACATTTTTACATAGGTTTCCTGGTTAGTAGAATGTGGGAAAAAAAATGCAGAACTAGTTTTAAAGTAAGTTATTGAAATTCACCACATTAGTTCCAGTTTAAACATTTTATGTAGACCAAAAAAAAATGAACAGGGTTTATTATCATTTGAGTCTCTGGCTTTCGTGGAAGCAAAGTCATCAATGATATTTTTGACATTTTCTTTGGGAAAAAAAATTTTAAAAAAACATTTCAAATGCATTAGAAAGAGCCTGGGCCAGGTGTCTCGGATGGAGCATTATCCCATGCACCAAAAGTCTGCAGGTTCAATGCCTAGTCAGGCCACATGCAGGAGACAACCAATCAATGTTTGTCTCTGTCTTCCTCCCTCCCTCTCTCTAAAATCAATGAACATATCCTCGGGTGACAATTTCTTTTAACTGTGTTTTTTATCCATAGTGGAAGTGGCCACATCGATTTGGATTTTTATAAACAGAAATTGCATTAACATACTGATCTTGATAGCTGAGTTTGCAGGGGAGTTACCGCCCCTGAATTTGGCTCACAAGGCCAGTGTCTCACTTGCCCCCACCCTAATCCCAGCCACCAGGGGACACTGACATCACTGTCACCCTCATCTCCATTGTCACCCTCTTGGAGCCCAGGACTGAGCACCGCGAAGCCCTGAGGAGACACACCCAGCCCCGCCCAACCCCACCCCCCTACACCTGACCAGTTAGTTACCCGTAATAACCAGCTGCAGCAGCTCGCTGGCGGGAGACCAGCGGCTCCTGTTCTGGTAGGAGCATCGGTAGGATCCCGCATGATCCGGCGTCATGGCTTTGATGACAAGGACCGCCCCCTTCTCGTAATACTTCCCGGATTTCAGATTCTCCAGGCGGTACAGGTCCACCCCTGGGGGCCCCTGGCAACGCAGGGTCACCATGGTGTTCTGGGGCACGAGAGGGCTGGGCTCCGCCTGGAGGGTGGGCTTGGGGAGCGGGCCTGGGAGGGAAGCAGAGCGCGGTGGGCGTCAGCGGGGCCCTCGTGCCTCCCGCCCTCTCGCCGGCTGACCCCAGAGGAGGGACCCAGACTCACCCAGCTGAGCTCGTATCACTTGCCCCAGACACAGCCCTGAGGACAGAAAGAAAGGACACATGGGGGGAAATGGGACAACTGTAATAGCATAATCAATAAAATATATTTTTAAGAAATAAAAAAAAGAGCCCTGGCTGGTGTAGCTCAGTGGATTGACCGCGGGCCTGCGAACCAGACAATCGAGGTTCGATTCCCAGTCAGGGCACATGCCTGGGTTGCAGACCAGTTCCCTGCAGGCCAGTTCCCAGCAGGGGATGCACGAAAGGCAACCATACATTGATGTTTCTCTCCCTCTCTCCTTCCCTTCCCCTCTAAATATAAATAAATAAAATATTTTTTAAAAAAAGAAATAAAAAAAAGAAAAGGACAACCATTAGGGCCTCGGGCGATCCCACACTTCCTGTGTGCTGGACGGGATGATGAGACATTTGCATACATTATACATCTTTGGTCATAATTGTTTTGAAAGATACACACGCACAAAGCTGCAGTGAAAGAAACTAACCACAATACGCTGCTATTATAGCCCTCCCGGGGTGGCTCAGTGGGTTGGAGCATTGTCCCGTGCACCACAATGTCGCGGGTTCAATTCCTGGTCAGGGCGCGCACCTAGGTTGCAGGTTGGATGGCCGGTCAGGGTCCCTACAGGAGGCAACAGGTCAATCAATGTCTGTCTGTCTCTCTCTCTCTCTCTCTCTCTCTCTCTCTCCCCCGGGCCCCTTCCTCTGTCTCTCAAAAAAAATCAGTACGCCCTGGCTGGCGTAGCTCAATGGATTGAACGCGGGCCTGTGAACCAGAGGATCAAGGTTCAATTCCCAGTCAGGGCACATGCCTGGGTTGCAGGCCAGTTCCCAGCAGGGGGGTGCACAAGAGGCAACCACATATTGATGTTTCTCTCCCTCTCTCCCTCCCTTCCCCTCTAAAGATAAATAAAATCTTTTTTTAAAAATCACTAAAAAAACATAGCCTCGGGTGAGGATTTAAAATAATTATAATAATAACAAAGGCCACAATTGTATAATTCCATGTATATGCAACATCTGGAATAGGTAAATCTGTCTGGAGGCAGAGAGTAGATTTTAGTGGTTGGCAGGGGTGGGGGGAGGAAGGCTGAGGCCTGAGTGTGGTGGGTACCAAAAGGCAAAAGTGTGTCAGAACTAGACAGCGGCAATGATTGCAAGACGCTGTCAATGTCGTGAATGCCAAACTTTACGTTAAGTAGATTATTTTACCACGCCTTTTTTTTTTTTGAAGTGCCAACAAGGATTTCTTACTCGCCCAGCTCCCTCCAGAAACCCTGCCCCATGCACCCACTTTTGACAGCTACATAATCTCCTCTTGTTTGAGAAGGGGACTGTGAGCTGGGTAAGGTCTCATTGTTCTCCCAGCTTCACTGAGATAGGACTGGCACATAACGTGGTGTAAGTTTAAGGTGCACAGTGTGTTGATTTGAGACACACACCTGCCGCAAAATGATTTTTACGGTAGCTTTAGCCAACGCCTCCATCACGTCATAATTCCCATTTTCTGTGGTGAGAGCATTTAAGATCTACTCTCTTAGCAATTGTGAGTAGCTAATACAGTATATTGTTAACTATAGTCACCATGTTGTATATTAGCCCTCAGAACGTATTCATCTCTTAACTGGAAGTTTCTATACTTCCCTCCCCCTGCCCCCAGCCCCTGGTAACTGCCCTTCAACGTTCTGCTTTTGTGTCATTTTTATTTTTTAAAGATTTTATTTATTTTAGAGAAAGAGAGGAAGAGAAACATCCACGTGTGGTTGCCTCTTGCACACCACCCCCCCACCACTGGGGACCTGGCCCACAACCCAGGCATGTACCCTGACTGGGAATTGAACCGGCGACCTTTTGCTCTGTAGGCCGGCACTCAATCCACTGAGCCACACCAGCCAGGGCTGGGTTTGTTTTTTTTAGAGTCCACATATAAATGAGATCATGCAGTACTTTCTTCCTCTGTCTGGCTTATCTCACTCAGCATAATGCCCTCCAGGTTCATCCATGGGGTTTTTTTCCATAAGGGAAATAGACAAATTGAATCTACAACTAGTCCTGATATCCTCAAATCCACATTTTTTTAAATATTTTTAAAGGTGTTATTTATTTATCTTTAGAGGGGAAAGGAAGGAGAGAGTGAGAGAAACATCAATGTGTGGTTGCCTCTCGTGTGTCCCCGCTGGGAACTGGCCTGCAATCCAGGCCTGTGCCCTGACTGGGAATTAAACCGTGAACGTCTGGTTCCCAGGCCCACGCTCAATCCACTGAACTACACCAGCCAGGGCCACTTTTTTTTTTTTTAAGTGGTGCAGTGGGAGAAAGTTCCAGCCAGTGCTAGGACACCTGTATTCATTTGCTGAACAGACTAGAATAACTCAGACCAACACTCCACCTCCCTGGGTCCCACCCAACGAAGAGGGACCCTCGGAAGTCACCTCTTGCTCCAAAATTCATGGCTCATGCTATTTTTATAAAAATTACTTGTCTCATAGCCTATCACCTGCCCCTCAGCATTTATTTCCCAGATCGACCCTCAGGACTCACCAAGACAGAAGCAGGCAGACAGAGAAGGGGACATGATTCTGCAGCCCGTCCTTAATTCTGGGGCCCCAGAAGGAAGCTGTGAGGGGTTGGAGCAGAGACACAGGATGTGATGAGGGTGAAGAATGGTGTTCTCCCTTCCCCCCAGCCAGCCTGGCTTTTCCTAACTGGGCCTTATCAAGCTGGAACGGTCCCCTCAGCAGGGTGACTTGCACACAGTCTTCAAGGATCCTCAATTATCTCCGGTCACCAGCCTACTGAGGGACTGTCCACCCCCCAGGGCTCCCCTGAACTTTCTGACATTCACCAGGGACGTGCAAATCAAAACCCCAGTGAGATAGCCCTATCGCACCTAGGAGGAGGACAGCCTAGGAGGCTGTCCTCAACAAGACAGATAAGTACAAGTGTCGGCGAGGATGTGGAGAAGTGGGAACATTCGTGCACTGCTGGGGGCCACCTTGAAAAACAGTTTGGCGATTGCTCAAAATGTTCAATGCTGAAGCAGTGTATGATCCCACAACGCCACTTCTCTTTTGTTTGTTTTTAATTGTTGTTCTAGTACAGTTGTCTTCATTTTCCCCCCACCCTAGCCATCCCCACTTCCCACACTTGATCCTACTCGCCTTTGGTTTTGTCCATGTGTCCTTTATACCTGTTCCTGAAAACCCTTCCCCCTTTTTCCCCCCACTATCCCTTCCCACCTCCCCTCTGATTACTGTTTGTTTGTGGATTGAGTGCTGGCATGGGAACCAAGAGGTCACTGGTCTGATTCCCAGTCAGGGCACATGCCTGGGTTGTGTGGGCCGGGTCCCCAGTAGGGGGTACATGAGAGGCAACCACACACTGATGTTTCTCTCCCTCTCTTTCTCCTTCCCTTCCCCTCTCTCTAAAAATAAATAAAATCTTTTTAAAAAAAATAAGGTTGCAGGCTCAGCCCCGATATGGGGTGTGTGTGCAGGAGGCAACCAATCAATGCTTCTTGCAAGTCAATAAACATAACCCCCGGTGAAGATTTTTTAAACGAAATAAAAAATAAATACTTAAAAATATATTTGAGTGGAAAGAAGAAGAGGCAAATCTCAGTATTAGGCTGGGGACACGGCTTGACGGAATCACTGAAAAAAAAACAGGAGGGGTGGCTTCCTCTCCCTTATTTTCAATGGGGAGAATTCAGCCTCTTTTTTGTTAGTTTGCCACTGCCTTCATGGTCTCAGGTCCCGGGTCACGGTGCCAATTCTGTGGCCAGACCAGTAGCTTCCTCGGCTCTGCCACAAATCCCCCACCAGCGACCCCCAAATTCAGGCTGGAGATACTGACGACTATTTTCCCAATCAGAGCGCTAGTCTCCCCAAATTCAGCCCTCCACCCACCTCTCACTCTGGCCCACTCATGCGCCTCATTCTGTCTGTCTCGATGAATTTGACTTCTCTGGACGCCTAAGTGGAATTGGACAGTATTTGCCTTTTTTGTGTCTGGCCTATTACTCCCCATGATGTTCTCAAGCTTCATCCAGGTAGTGGCAGGTGTCAGAATTTCCTTCCCATTATTTTATTTTATTTTATTTTTTTAGATTTTATTTATTTTTAGAGAGGGGAAGGGAGGAAGAAAGAGAGAAACAAACACACCAACATGTGGTTGCCTCTCACGCCCCGGCCCTCCACTGGGGACCTGGCCCACAACCCAGGCATATGCCCTGACTGGGAATCGGACCAGTGACCCTTTTGGTTAGCAGGCCGGCGCTCAATCCACTGAGCCACACCAGCCAGGGCTCCCCACCGGGTGGATGGACCACGTTTTATTATCCATCAACCTGATGATGGGCACCTGGGTCGGTCCGCCTCTTGGTTGTTGTGAATAGCGAGGCTCTGAGCCCGGTGGGGGAGGGGTTGGCAAGTCAGCAAACTCTTACTGTGTGACCTGCCAATTCTACTCTTAGGCATCTATCAAGTGACTTTTTAGATTCTCATTTTTTTCCTGGTTTATTTTGGTGTCAGTGTTTGATAACTACTGTTTAGCCACGTGTATTTCTGTAGTTTGGAGTGAGTCCTACATTTTCCTTAACCGAGTTCCTATTTAACGCTCCTGGTTGCTAATGTGAAGATTTGGGGGGCAACAGCGCCATCTACTGGCAGTATAGTGAAGTACCGTGTTTTATTAGGGGAGAAGTTTCCTTCCCTTTTTTTTTTTTTTCCCTTCCTCAAAATCCTAATTTCCCCCTCTTTCTCCTCTTTCCCTTGACCATGCAAAGTCCAAAAGAAGTCCATCCTCTATGTTCTTGTGGCTGGAGAGTCACCTTTCTGAGGCCACAGTTGGTGCTTGATCTGCCTGCATGCTTTTCATTATTTTCACACTTTCTGATGCTGGTTTTCGCACATTTGCAGACTTGCCAATAGCACCGTTTTTCACACACTTTTTCTCAGGCTGGTGTGGGGGTATCCGTATGATACGTCCGTGTAATGAAATCATGTACAGGTTTTGTTTTTGTTTGTTTGTTTTTTTTGTTTGTTTTTAAGAATGTGGTATCCTTCACCAAGTAACTGGTGAGAGTATCCTTCTGATACTTCAAGGTTGTGGCTCTGATCCCCAATCAGGGCACATGCAAGAATCAACCAACGAATTCATAAATAAATGTAACAACAGATCAATGTTCCTCTTTCTCTTTCTCTCCCCTTCCCCCTCTCTCTCTCTCTCAAAAATCAATAAACATATCTTTGGGTGAGAAGGAAGGAGCTTTTTTTGTCCATGGATTCTCCCCAGCTGGTCTCATCTTCCACCCCGAGCTTCACGCCCTGGAGTGAGCCCCAACCTGTGCCCCAGGTTCGACCAGTGATGCAATTATCCAGGCAGGTCTTAATGGGAATAAACATCACCTCCGGAGGCACGTGGTTGAGGAGGGCCCGTGCAGTCACGGAGAGCGGGGTGGGTGCAGGGCGGTCCCAGGTTTTCAGGTGCATCCACACAAAGGCCCCAGTCCCAGATCTCAGACGGCCCCAGAGTTTCCGCAGCTCTGCCACTGTTGTGAGCCCTCAGGTGTGGCTTCCAGCCAAGCCCACCTGGGAGAGAAGACCCCTGATTTCGTGCCCGGTCTCCCCCAGGAATTACAGTCACTCTTTCTCGCCTCAGCCTCTCCCGTCACTCACTCTCACTGTTTCCATAACAACACCCACTCCAGGGCACGCAGTCTCAGCCCCTGCCTCCCCTCCACCTGAGCATCACCGCAATTCACCACAAGTGGAAACCCATGCTTGTGGTCCCACTGCGTGCCGCTGAGTAGGTCCAGCTGACCTGCTATCCATTTGCAGCTCCTAAAGCTCACAGCACGGGAAGGTGGGGCCCGTTCTGCCTGCCTGGGGTTCTCCACTGAAGGAGACCTTCCCCTCCCAGGACACACCTGGCAGTGTCTGGAGATGATTTGGGGGTCACACCTGCGGGGCAGGGGAGAGGTGCTACTGGCATCTAGCATAGAGGCCAGGGACGCTGTTCACACCCCACAATGCACAGGATGCCCCATCCCATGGCAGAGATGTGTCCCCAAATGTTAACAGCACTGGGGTTGGGAAGCCCTGCTTGAGGTCCATGAGGTCTCAGCATGTGTGTGGGACCTGTATGGGGTTTTTTTTTTTAAGATTTTATTTATTTTTTTTTAGAGGGGAAGGGAGGAAGAAAGAGGGAGAGAAACATCAATGTGTGGTTGCCTCTCATGTGTCCCCTACTGGGGACCTGGCCCGCAACCCAGGCATGTGCTCTGACTGGGAATCGAACTGGCGACCCTTTGGTTCGAGGGCTGGTGTTCAATCCACTGAGCCACACCAGCCAGGGCATGCATAGGTTTTAAGACGAGCACATAATGCTATCACATGGATGAAATAGAAGTGCTTCTCTCTCCCACATCACAGAAGCAAGAAAGAGAGTGGCCCCCAGGGGCTCTGGTGGCCTCCTCGTGACCCCAAAGAGACTGTATGTGTCCCCTTGGTGGCTTAAAGCAACACATTTATCCTCTTGAAGTTCCAGAGGCCAGAAGCCCAAGGTCAAGGCGTCAGGAGGCCCAGCAGCCTCAGAGGCTCCAGGGGAGGGTCTGTTTTTTGCCTTTTGTAACTTGGAAGAGTCAGTCCCCGGTTTGGGGGTCCACCATGCCCATCTCTGTCCCCTGTGCCCAAGTGTCTCCTATCTGTAAGGACATTTGTGGTTGAATTCAGGGCCCACCCAGCTCATGTAGGATGAACTCATCTCGAGATCCTTAACTTTGTTACAAAGAACCTTTTTTCCAAACGAGGTCCCATACACTGATGTCAGGACATGGACCTAACTTTGGGGGGTCCACCATCGAGCCCCTACAGATGCTTCAGCCTTGAGGTGAAGTTGGACCTAGTGATGGGTCAACAGGCAGGTGGAATCATGACAAAGTCACTGAACCCAAAGCGTGTCTGTCCTAGAACCCCCAGATCTCCTCTAAGAAAAATGTCCCTTCTCCCTCTTGGGGGGGCGGGGGGTGAACAGAAGCCCAGCTGATACCCATCAAGTACAGCCCGTCACCAGCAGCCCACGGCATCGGGCACAATTCTCAGACCCCAAAAGCCCATGAAGGCTGCACCTTGGGTTCCTTTCGGTGAAGTGTCTGCCATCCCCCACTCCAAGCATCTCCTGACCTCGTTCACCTTTTGGTTTGCTCGTAACTTCACCACAGTCTCTTGTCTGGGCGTCTGTGGCTTTGGAGGGTGTTCTGGGTGGGTTTTTATCACCCTTTATCGGTGAAGGTGATAGCTGGGCTCATGAGCCACCTCAAAGTCTTGGAGGATATAGAGGGTGACATCACCCACTATTTGTGGGAGTCCACATCTGTGGTTTCTCAGTTTGGAAAGGAAGTGGATGTTGGCTCGAGGGTTTGTGGTTAGAATCAGCCCCAAACCAAACCACAGGGTTCGTGGTTATGTAACAGGAAGGCCTTTCCCTTTCATGTAAACCCATAACCACCACCTCCCCCCAGGAAAAAAAAAAAAAAGAAAGAAAGAAAGTAGGCTCCAGAATCAGATGTTGAATTCGTTGAATTCAAGTCCTCTTCTTGCTAGGACACCCCTTGATGTTTCTAAAAGCAGGTAGCAGGCAGTTCGTGGTCACATCTCGTTTCAGCGGATTTGCTCGCAGCACCGGTGATGCTGGTTCTGCTTCGCTGAAGCAGAAAGGAATTGGTGGCGACTATGAAAGTGAGATTTTCAGCTATGAGAAAAGCTAAGAAAGCAGGTTTTGAAAGGGACAGTGGCAGGCGGAACAGTGCCCCCCCCCACCCAGAGACATCCACATCCTAATCCCTGGAACCTGTCACTTCCCATGGCAAAGGAGGGTGAAGGTGACCCATAGAATTCATGAAATTCACATTGCTGATCAATTATTTACAACAGCCAAGCTCTGGAAGCAGCCACGTGCCCATCAGTAGATGAGTGAATAAAAAGCTGTGGTGCATTCACATGATGGAATACTACTCATCCATAAAAAAAAAAAAAAGAAGGAACTCTTACTTTTTGCAACAGTACAGATGGACCTGGAGAGTATTATACTAAGTGAAATGAGCCAGTCAGAGAAAGACAAACACCATATAATCTTACTTATATGTGGAATCTAATCAACAAAATAGAAATAGACTCACAGGAACAGAGAACAGACTGACAGCTGTCAGAGGGGAGTAAGATGGGGGCTGGGTGAAAAGGGGAAAGGGATTAAGAAGAAAACTCATAGACACAGACAACGGTACGGTTATTACCCAAGAGAAGGGGGTGGGGGAGATAGAAGAGGGTAAAGGGGGGAATAAATGTTGATGGAAGACTTGGTGGTAAACACACAATACAATATATGGATGGTGTATTATAGAATTGTAAACCTGAAACCTATATAATTTTATTAACCAATATCACCCCAACAAATTCAGTCTTTAAAAAAGAGAAAATATGCCCTGGCTGGTGTGGTTCAGTGGATTGAGTGTAGGTCTGCGAACCAGAGGATCTCGGTTCGGTTCCTGGTCAGGGCACATGCCTGGGTTGCAGGCCAGTTCCCAGCACGGGACGCACTAGAGGCAACCATACATTGATGTTTCTCTCCCTCTCTCCTTCCCTGCTAAAGACAAATAAAATCTTTAAAAAAAAAAAAAAGAGAGAGAGAAAATAGCCCTGGCTGGTGTAGCTCAGTGGACTGAGTGCAGGCCTGTGAACCAAAGAATCGTGGTTCGATTCCCAGTCAGAGCACATGCCTGGGTTGCAGGCCAGTCCCAGTGGGGGACCCACGAGAGGCAACTATACATTGATATTTCTCTCCTTCTCTCCTTCCCTTTCCCTCTAAAGATAAATAAATAAAATATTTAAAAAGAAAATATATAAAGTTGCTGATCAGCCGACGCTAAAGGAGGGAGGTGATGGTGGATTTTCCAGAACACGGTGGTGTCGGGCACTGCCTGCCAGAGTCACCTCATCCCACATATATCCTTCAGCTACTTTGATCTGATGTGGTAAAAATAAGAAAACTGACTGCATTTATCAAGCGTTGGATTATCTCGGATTCTGCCCTCACCGCTCCCCTCCCCCACACTGCCAGCACCAGGTGCGGGTCGTTCTTGCTGTTCAGTGTACTGCAGGATGCAAAGCGGCTCCCCTGGCCTCCAGGGGTCCCTCAAAATTTGTTTTTTAATGTCCAAACATTTATCTTGATTACTGAGCTTTGGGTGCTGCTGCCCCTTTATTCTGAGCCGGAGCAGAGTGGCAGCCCCATTTCTAATAGAGAAGACACCCACAAATTTTAACTGTCCCCAGGTGGGAGGGGACCCTTATTTTGAGAGAGAGAAAGGGAAAGAGTGAAACATTGATTTGTTGTTCCACTTGTTGATGCATTCATTGATTAATTCTTATATGTGCCCTGACCGGGAATGGAACCAGCAACCTTGGCATATGGGGCCAATGCTCTAATCAGCTGAGCTACCGGGCCAGGCCAGAATTTCTAAACGTGTAAACATCTGATGAGTTCACTGGCTTGGTATTATTTAAACTGTTGTCTCTGCTTCACAAAGGGAAGAAATACATGACTTGTTTTTGTTCAGCTTATTGGCACTTCCCCACATGCATAAAGAAAAAAAAAATAAAACCTATGACTCGGCTAGATGTTTTATTATTCTTAAAGAGCAAGTTTGAGAGTTCACAGGGCTAGAGAAGGTCATGACCCCAGGTATCTTGGGTACTCAGCAGCATCAGCTGGTGCGTTGTTCACTTGTCCGAGGCGTGGCTCCAGGATACAGAATCAGGTGTGTATCGGCCTGTTCTCTGAAGAAGTATCCCTCCACCCCTGCACCTGGCCAGAGTCAGGAACCCTAAGATCCTCAGTAAACTTTCCCCAGCAAGACATGCTCAGCACACCACCCTATGAGGTAGTCAAGAGATTCTGTACACTTTACAGTTGGAGAAACAGAGGCTCAGAAAGGGGTCTGAAGGTGTACAAGGTCACACAGGGGACCACAAACTTGACCATGTCTGTCCAACCACTTATCCTGAACTGTGGCTCACATCAGAGGGAGCTGGCTCCTCCCTCAGTAGTTCCCAGTTTAAATTACCAAAACCAGCATCTAATAATGGGGCTCACCTGTGACAGCCAGCTACCTTGCCCCAGCCAGCCCCTGGGTCAAGTACCCCCACCTGTAGGTCAAGCCGCTGTGGCCAGAAAAGAAGGGCAAGGCTGCCACCTAGAGGGTGATGTGAACATGATAGCCAGCATTTCGCGGTCAATGCTGCCATCTAGTGGCGGTTGCTGGAATGGCAGTCAAGTTCCTTAATCGTTGGGCTTGGCCAATGCTGTCACCTTGAGGGTGCTAAGGACATAGCAGCCACGTTTCTCAACTTTGCATTTAGGTGTCGATACCGCCACCTAGAGGGTGTTGTGGGCATGGCAGTCAGCCTTGGTCTTGCAACTCCATCCTGAGCCCACCACACCTGCTCTCAGGTGATATGAGTTGTCCCCACACAGAGAACTCCTAGGACATCTCCAAGCCCACCAGGCGGGCACTTTCAGCCCAAAGCCTCTGGGCTACCTCCTCATCCTCAGCCTCGGGGGCCGGAGCCTTCTCTTTGAGTCCATCGAAGTACTTTCCAGAAACACCCTCAAGTTCCTCCGCCACAGCCAGGTAGGTGCTGGGCTGGGCCGCCAGCTCTGGGCTCTTGACCAGCAGCCAGAAGATAGGCCCTGCAATCAGCCCACAGAGCGTTCAGACCACATTCAGGGAGGATGATACAAAAAGCCCCCCTCCACCCCAGCACACAGAGCCCACGGAGGCTAGAGGTTGGCCTGGGACCCCAAAGAGCCCACCTCCAGACTTTTGCTATGGTGGTTCCCCCCACCAGAAAGTCCCTTCCCCAGCCCATCTCTCCAGAAACAGGAACCAGTCACAAAGCCACCTCCCTCAGGGAGCCTCCCTGGCTTTTTTTTTTCCTGGGAAAATGGAACCTCTCCTTCCTTTCCATCAGCCCCCCATACCCATCATACCTCATCTTACTTTACAATAACTTTTATTTATTAAATGCCTCAGCTCAAGATCCTTGAACACCTAGCACCCACTCAGTGAATGTTTTCCAAGATTACAAATGCTGGTTATAAAGTTCTAAGTGCCCTCGCCAGGTGGCTCAGTTGGTTAGAGCATCGTCCAGATACAACACAGTTGTGGGTTTGATCCCTGGTCAGGGCACATACAAGAAGCAACCAGTGAATGCATAAGTAAGCAGAACAACAAATCATCGATTGTTTCTCTCTCTCTTGCCCCTCCCTACTCCCCCTCCCCATCTCTCTCTCTCTCTCTCTCTCAAAAAAAAAAATCTGAGCTAGACATTGTGCTGGACCTCTTACAGGAGGTCTCATCTAATGCTCCCAGTGACACATGTATTTTTCTGGTTCTCCCTTTGCATGAGGACACTGAGGCTCAGAGAGGTGAAGTTGCTCTCCCAGGGTGGCCCAGCTAGTTCTGGGAGAAGCCGAAGTGACCCTGAACACAGACGACTCCAGGAATTGGCTCCATGCCCCGCGCCAAGAGACATGGGTTACACTGAGGCCAGCAGGAATAGACATAGAAAAGTGACCTGTCTTGGTAGCATACATGAGACAGAGGAGGGAGCAGTCTCTGAGAGTGATGTTAAGTTTATGTCAACTGGACTGGGCTAACGGACCACCAGAGACCTGGCAAAGCCTTATTTCTGGGTGTGTCTGAGAGGTGAGCATTTGAATCGATAGACTGAGTCAAGGAAACCCAGGTAGGCAGCATGCAGTCAGCTGAGGGCCAGACTAGAACAAAAAAGGTGAGAAAGGGTGAATTTGCTCTTTGCTTGAGCTGTGACATCTATCTCCTCCTGAGGTCAGACATGGGCACTTCCGGCTGGCAGACTCAGAGTGTGACTACACCACCCACCAGCTGTCCTGGGCCTCCAACATGCTGAGAGCAGATTGTAGGAATTCTCCATAAATTGTGAGCCAATCTCCCCTAACACATCTTTCTAAATACCTATATGTATATCCCACTGGTCCTAACTAATACCCCAAAGGACGTTCCCGGGCCTCAAGCAGGGAGGGCAGGGGTTCAGCAAGGGGCCCCAGGCCGGGAAGACACTTACCAAGTGTGAAGCTGGAGAAGGCAGATTTATGCATACCCGTGTGTCTGCCCAGCTCTGTCCTGGCCACACCAGGGTGCAAAGCATTAACGGTCACACCCGTACCTGGGGAGAGAAAGGAAGGATGGAGCAAGGGGGCTGGCGAGACAGACACCAGATTTACTCTTTACCAGGAAGCCTGACACTGTCCACTCTGAACTGGGGCTCCTCCATTTCCTGCTTTTGAACCCACACCAACCTCTTGCTCTGAAACCTCCACACCAGACGGTTTGATCTTGCAAGGAAGTTCTGTCACATGGCTACCCTGAGCAGGGCCTCGGAACCCGAGTGTGTGTCGAAATCACATGGAGTGCTTGGGAAACCCAGACCACTGGGCCCCACCCCCAGAGGGTCTGAAGCAGTGGGTCAGGGTGGGTCTGACAAGCTCCCAGGTGAGCTAACACCCCCTCCATGAGAAACAAGAGCAAAAGGGCAGACTTTTCAACATCACCATATGGATACTGAGGCCTGATCATTCTTTAACCCATTCACTGGAGATGCCAAGCTGTATCCCCAGCGTCTGTCCACTAGCTACAAGCAGCAACACCCACCCCCAAAGTGAGAGCCAAAAGTATCTCCAGATATTGCCCAATTTCCACTGGCCTGGAGCATCAGAGGCTTACATGCCAGTCCTGGGTGGGCAGAGAAAATGTGATTGATTAGTAATGTCTGCTTCAGGCACCAGTGGAGCCTGGTTGTGTGTGATTGATTAGTGATGCCTGCCTCAGGCACCAGAAAAGCTTAGTTATGTGTGTGTTGATTAGTGATGTCTGCTTCAGGCACCAGAGGGGAACCTGGTGGTGTGTCGTGCATTTGCTACTCTATCCTAGAGCCCATGCTTGACCTCCCATCAGCCCAGGGTACCAGCAGGACCGTTCCAGTCTCAGAGCCAAAGGAAAAACACAGCACACATGCACCTTGCAGCCGCCGGCTCAGCTCCTTGGTGAAGAGGATGAGGGCCAGCTTGCTCTGGCAGTAGGCTGCTTTGGTGTTATACTTCCTCTTCTCCCAGTTCAGGTCATCAAAGTCTATGTGCCCAGCGATGTGGGCCAAGGATGAGAGGTTGATGACCCGCGAAGGAGCTGAGGCCTTCAGCTTGTCCAGCAGTAAGTTTGTCAGAAGAAAGTGACCTGGACGAACAATGACAAGAAGATAACTGTCAAACTATGTGCTGAGAACATTACCGTATCTCACCCTCCCCATAACTCATGGTTCTCAACCATAAGCAATATGCTTCCCCCCTCCACTGCCCCCAGGGAACATCTGGCAATATCTGGAGACAATTTTGGTCATCACCACTGCAGAAAGTAAGGACACTACTGCCATCTAGTGAGTGGAGGCCAAAGATGCTGCTCAACATCCTACGACACACAGGACAGTCCCTACAACAAGGAATTAATTATCCAGCCCCAAATGTCAAGCCTTATGAGGTCAGCTAGAGAAGAGATTGCCTTCTCTACCTCCCAAAATCCTTTTCCCACTTCCTATACAGTAAGAGAATTCTTGCCTATGCCCAAGAAGTCCCAGTAAAAGACTACTTTTCCCAGACTCCTTTGCAACCAGCTTGGTCATGTGGCTGAGTCCCAGACAATAGATTGTGAATGATAGTAATGTGTGTTAAGGGTTGAGTTGTGTCTCCCCACTCCTCCCCCCCAAAAAATATGTTGAAGTCCAACCCTCCGTAACCTCAGAATGTGACCTTATTTACGGAGGGTCTTACGGAGAGAGGTAAGTTAAAGTAAGGTCATTAGGGTGGGCCCTGATTCAATATGTCCCATTGTCCCCTGGCCCTTAGTAAGAGAACTCCAGGCACATTCAGGGTAACAACAGATAGACTAACAGAGTGACTGAAGGACAGATAGACTGAAAGATGAACAAAGGGATATAAGGTCAAGAGACCGGTAGAGGATCCCAAAGACTTTCCAAGTGTCCACAAGGAAGAGGCACCTCCCTGAGCTGCTAGGTGACCCAACCAGTGGCCACACGGCCAACCTGGAGCGTGGAAAAGGACGCCCCCTCCCAGAGCCTGTGTCTGACCCACTAGGGACCCCGCTGATGCCCCAGGTGGGTGCCAACAACACACAGCCCACGGCCTCACCCAGGTAGTTCACTCCAAGCTGCATCTCGAAGCCATCCTCAGTGGTCCAGTGTGGGCACCGCATCACGGCTGCATTGTTGACCAGCACATGCACTTTCTCCTCCTCTGGAAGACAAGGGTCAGGGCAAGCATGTCAACCCCAGGCCTGTGCTGGGCTGAACAATGTCCCCAAATGTTCGTGTCTACCCAAAGCCTGTGCATGTGACCTTTCTTTGGAAACCAAGTCTTTACAGAAGTAATCAAGTACAGGTGAGGCCGCAGGGTGGGCCCTCATCCAACGTGACTGGTGTCTTCATAAGAAAGGGAAGTGTGGTCCCTGGCTGGCGTGGCTCAGTGGATTGAGCACCGACCTGCAAAAAGAATGGTCACCAGTTCGATACCCAGGCAGGGCACATGCCTGGGTTGCAGGCCAGTTCCCCAGTAGGGGGCGCACAAGAGGCAACCGACTGAACACACATCAGTGTTTCTCCCTTTCTCCCTCCCTTCTCCTCTCTCTAAAAAATAAATAAATAAAATCTTTTAGTATATGTGCTGCCGAAGTGAGCATTAAAACCTTTTTTTTAAGGGAAGTTTGGACACACACACACACAAGGAGACCCTGGTGTGATGATGGAAGGACCGTGGAGACGCAGCTACAAGCTGAGAGATGTCAGGATGGATGGTCACCACCAGAAGCTGGGGGGACCAGGGAGGATTCAACTCACACAGCCTTGCTGACCCCTGGTCTCAGACCTCTGGTCACCTGCTGGGCAGCTTGAACAACAGAAATCTACCATCCCCCAGTTCCGGAGGCTGGACGTCCAAGATCAAGGCATCTGGGGGCTGGTGTGCTCTGAGACCATGAGGCAGAATCTGTTCCCTGCCTCTACGCTTGGCGGGTAGACAGCGGTCTCGTTCCTGCGTCCTCACAGGGTCGTCCCTCTGTGAGTCTGTGTCCTGATCTCTGAAAGACACCAGTCAGACTGGGTCAGGGCCCACCCTAACGGCCTCATTTTCACTTGATGACCTCTGTAAAGACCTCATCTCTTAAGGTCACATCTGACCCATCTTTTTGGGGACGAGACATGAGCGAATCCATAACACTCCCAAAGCAGTTTTTAGGATCCCCAGAAATAACCAACTGGTCCCCTAGCACCTAATAAAGTCTCCATTTTGTTCCCTATTTGGGGGAATAGGGGTACAGTACAGCCATCAGGAACACAAGCTGGGGAGCCCATCAGCTCCTGGGTCTCCCAGCCTGCTTTCCTGATTTTATTTAACTCGGAGCCGGGTAAAGAGGAAAGGGCTTTCTCCAAGATCTGCAGACACCGTCACATGGGACAAAAATCAGGAGAACAGACATTCACGGCAGCCCCAGAAAGGCTGGAAGACAAACAGCCAACCTGTCAGAACCACGCAATGAAACAAAATGTTGCCACGAGCAAAGAAATACAATGTAGCCACAAGAACAAGGAAGTTCTACCTGCAAGCCTGAAAGAAAGAACCAGGGGGAAAGAGCTGGGGCAGCACCAGGTGTGCAACAGGCTCAGTCTGCCCCCAAAGACCAAGGGGCGGCCATACTCCTACCTGTGTAATAAAGGCATAAAATGTGGGACACGCAGGCATTGCGCACATGAGGAAGGTGGCCAGGAGCCGGGGTCAGGCACGGCAGGGAGACACTCAGCTGCCTCCCCTTTTGTACTTTCTGAACAATTAATACAGTCGACGTTATTCCTACTCAAAAAAATTAATATGTGAACAGTTCTCAGGATGCCGAGCGTGAAGTGAAATGAATGAGTCACCAATCAAGGTGACAAGTGCAGAAAAACTCAAGCCTGATCCTTGGATTTGCAAAAAGAAACACCCAGCAAACTTGGCACTGTGCCCGTGGGTCCCCCGATGGTGGAGGGATGGTCGCAGCCATGCCCGGGTGACCCTTGGAGGTGCAGCCTGAATCTGACTCATCTGGGTGCCCCTGGCATCACCCGTGACAGAAAGCCTCGGGAACAATGGACGATGAATCAGTGTCTCTGGCCTGTTTGCCTCTTTTGCCTGAAGGTTTTTTTTTTTGGGGGGGGGAGAGGAACATCAATGTGTGGTTGCCTCTTACACGCCCCCTACTGGGGCCTGGCCAGCAACCCAGGCATGTGCCCTGACTGGGAATCAAACCAGTGACCCTTTGGTTGGTAGTCCAGTGCTCAATCCACTGAGCCACACCAGTCAGAGGTGAACCAAGCCTGGTTTAATTCCAGGCTCCTCAGAGCCTGGCCACCTGAGACCTCACCCCACACAGCCAGCACCCTCCCTCCTACCTTCAATGATTTTCGCAGCGAACTCTCGGATGGACTTCAGAGAGGCCAGGTCCAGGTGGCGTGCGTTGACCCGGTGATTCAGGGTCTCCCCTCGAATGTCCTTTGCCGCCGCCTCACACTTCTCCATGTCTCGACAGGCCAGGATGATGTTGCCTCCTGGAAGCCCAGGATAGGAAAAAAAAATTTTTTTTTTTAAAGATCCACTCCTAAGTATGTATATACCCAATACAAATGAAAACATTAGCCCTCACAAAAATGCGGACACACATGTTCACAGAAGCACTATTCGCAACAGCCCAGAGGTGGAAACAACCCAAGTGTCCATCAATGGACGAACGGATAAACAACATACGCTGTGTCCATACAGTGGAATATTACATGGCCATGAAAAAGGAAGGAACAGATAAACAACACAATGTGTCCCTACAGTGGAATATTACGCAGCCATGAAAAAGGAAGGAAGCCCTGACACCTGCTGCAACACAGAACATGATGCTGAAGGAAAGAAGCCACACAGCAAGGGACACATTCCATATGATTCCATTTCTATGAAATGTCCAGAACAGGCAAATCTACGGAAGGAAGATTCGTGGTTTTCTACAGAAGGGTGGGGAATAGGGGGGAGAATAAGGGAAGCGAGGTTCCACTTTGGGGTGATAAACATGTTCCAATTGAAAGTGGCAACAGTTACACGACTGTGAACATGCTAAAAATCCTTGAAGTGTATACTTTGAACAGATGAAATGAAATCTCAATACATCTGTAAAAATAGGTGGTTGTGGGTTTCTTTATTTTTATTTTTTTAGAGTTAATTTATTTGTTTTTAGAGAAAGGGGAAGGGAGGCAGACAGGGAGGGAGAAAAACTTCAATGTGTGGTTGCCTCTCATGCGCCCCCTACTGGGGACCTGGCCCGCAACCCAGGCATGTGCCTTGACTGGGAATCAAACCAGCAACTCTTTGGTTCGAAGGCTAGCGCTCAATCCGCTGAGCCACACCAGTCAAGGCAGGGGGGGTTTTGTTTTTGTTTTTTTTAATTAGACAAGCAAGAACAGAAAACAGGGACTGAGGACCATGCGGATCTGTGTGGCTTATCCCGCCTGCAGGGGACCCAGCTGTGTTCTACGCATCTCCCTGCCCCCTCACATGACTCAGAACAGACTCACTGGCCCCCACAATCTGTATATCCTCCTAGTGACAGGAGGGTCCCCAGGACGGCAATGGGTGTATCTGCCAATTTCTCTTCTCACCTTCCCCAGGGAGAAGCACGTGTGAGAACCTCACGTGGCTGGGGGCTGTCCATCACTGTCCCCCACCACGCTGACCGCAGGGGTGGACGCACAGCTCAGGCCTGGGTCCCCATCGGGGACCCGTTCCCCTAGCCACCACCACTCAGCAAGCCCAGAGAAAGCTCCTGCTGTCCTCTGGGCCTCTCACCAGCCCAGGCCTTCCAGCCACTGAGGCCAAAATCCCTCGCTCTGCCCTTTCTCACACCTGACCCCCCCAGAACACCCTGTTCATCCGAACTTCAAAAGTGACCCTCAAGCAATGAGGAGAGCCCATGGAATTCCTCCAAAATTCCATTTGGACCTTGAGAAAAACACTGAAACATCCCAAATCCAAGGGCACCTGGAAGAGCCTGAAGCCAGGCCTTGACCTTGACCCTGACCTCCGACCCAGGCCCCAAGCCAACCGCTAGGACTGAGTCCACCCACAGCAGGAGAGACTGAGGCCAGCACAGAGAAGAAAACAAAACCTGGCCCCCACTGAGACTCTGAACACCCCCACCCTCTCCCAGGGCTTAGGGCTTACCTGAGACTGATGTAATATTGAGTATCTGCTGTCTTTGGGGGGAAAAAAGGGGGGGTGAAGCCCCATGTTTTCTGCTTGAGGCTCAGGGTGTGAGTTGGGTTCCTGCCGCTGGGAATGAAGAGAATCAAACAGCCTGACATCCCTGGAAAAGAACCTTCCAGCCTCACACCCTGAGCCTCAAACAGAGAACACAGGGCTTCCCCTCTTTTATTTTTCCCCAAAGACAGCAGACATTCAATATTACATTAGTCTCAGGTGTTCAGCATAGTGGTTAGACGTGTGTATACCTTACGAAGTGATCCCTCCCAGAAAGCCTAGTGCCCACCTGACACCACACCTGGTTATCACACTATTATTGACTATATTCCTTCTGCTGGACTTTACATCCCTGTGACTGTTCTGTAACTGCCCAATTGTGCTGCTCAGTCCCTTCCCCTCTCCCCCCGCAGCCCCCCACACTCCTGCCACTGAGACCCTCACCCCTCCGGGCCAGCTCCAAGGCGGTCTGCTTCCCAATACCAGTGTTGGCCCCCGTCACGATGACCGTCTTCCCCTGAATGGTGGCCTTGCTTGGACAGATCCCGCCGCCGACATAGTCCCTGAAGGTGAGAAACAGCGCGGTCAGTTCCGTCTGTCTGTCCCCTCACCACGGGTGGCCCCCTCAGCTTCGATCCTGGGCAAATGACCCCTCCGAGCTCGTGTTCCCCCAGCTGAAAGAAGGAAATAACATTGCGTGAACTCCATAAAGCCGTTGTCACCTTGCAGGTGGAGGGTGGAGCGCAGCCTGGTGTGCAGAAGCCTCCAGGCTGTGACAAGAGTCATTTTATGAAGACACACTGTATTCGCTTCCTGTGGCTGCTGTAACAGATGGTTAAAACCAGCCAAGTGTGGTCTCCTCCAGTTCTGCCAGCCAGGCTCCCCAAATGGGTCTCACGGGGCTAAAATCCAGGCACCAGGCTGTATTCTTTCTCAGGGGTCTTGGGCAGTGTCCAGTCCTCTTCCCCCTTCCTCCTCTTCAAGATTCTGACCCTGACTCTCCTGCCTCCCTTCTCTCACAAGGACCCCTGTGATGTAAGTCACAAGGATCACCCAAGGTCATCTCCCATCTCGAGGTCCCTAACTCAGTGTCATCTGGTTCTGAGTGTTAGGATGTACACGACCTTGGGGGCCGTGAATATGCTATTAGATCCATAATACTCAGAGGCCAAAAACTGGACATGACCCCGTGTCACCCAGAGGGGACTGGCCAAATAGACAATGCCACCTCTACACACGAGGAGAGCACTGTCCGATATCACAGCCACCGGCCACCTGAGGCTGTTTAATTTAAGTGAATTACAAATAAAGCGCAAGGCCCTTGGCCAGGTAGCTCAGTTGGTTGGAGCATCATCCCAAAAAGCCAAGGTTTCAGGTCCACTCCCCAGTTAGGGCACAAACAAGAATCGATCAATGATGCCCTGGCTGGTGTAGCTCAGTGGATTGAGTGCGGGCCTGCAAACCAGAGGATTGCGGTTCGATTCCCAGTCAGGGCACATGCCTGGGTTGCAGGCCAGGTCCCAGCAAGGGATGCATAAGAGGCAACCACACATTGATATTTGTCCCTCTCTCCTACCCTTCCCCTCTAAAGATAAATAAACAAAATCTTAAAAGAAAAAAGAATCAATCGATGAACACATCAATAAGTGGAACAATAAATCAATTTCTCTCTCTCTCTCTTTCTCCCTCCCTCCCCTTTATCTCTCTCTCTTAAAAAAATAAATTAAAAAATTTTAATACATAAATAAATAAATAGCCATACTCCCCACCCACCAGGCACTTGGTTTTTGTTTTTGTTTTTCATTTTTATTACATTGTCTAGCTTTTTCAGAATTGAAAGTCAACAGTATGAATAAAAACAAAAACAGTGGCCAGTGAATGTTATTATAGTCATTTTATATTATTTATTCCATTTTCTAGAGCTTTCCATTAAAAAAGCTAGTTCATATTTCAGAGCAGTAGTTTAATAAATTAATACATATAAAGAACAAGGTACCGGCCAAGTAGGTGAAAAAGACGGTATCAGATCAGAAGGAACGAGTTCAACATGAAGTCTCATCATAGAGCAGATAAATAAACCCAAAGGTAATTATTCAAACAGACTGACAGTCTATCCTCCATGCTCTTTGAAAAAATAACAATAATTCAACTCCAATTACTTTCTGGTTGAACTCCCAGTCAGTCTCTTTTCTTGTATAACGAATAAAATTACATGTGGCTAATCCTTTTTTTTTAATCGTTGTGACAACACTTTGCATATTGTTAACTATAAGCATAATGTAAGCACACCCTTGGTGCTCAGTAGCCACATGTGACCCTATGCAAAGCACGAACAAAAGCACTTCCATCAACACAGAAAGTTCTACCGAACAGCGCTACTGTAGATTATTTGCTAGCTGGGTTTTTTTTTTTTTTTTTTTTTAAGTGAACTCACCTAGGAAAGACAAAAACTTTGTCTACATCCCGTGCATTACGAGCTTTTCATTTGCCGAGCTGGACAATTCTATTTGTTTCTGTAATTTCTGATAAGAAATTAGGGCATATATTTCCTTGCTCCCGGGCCAGCTGGGGACACAGGGGAACTGCTCATTAAATATTTGCTGAATGAATTAATTCATCACTTAAAAGGCCGAAAGCAACTAGATCAAAATGTTTACAAGGGCCCGGAACCGCCCCTTCCTCGGGGTGACCTTGGAGGTGACCTGCCATCGCGGGGCTCAGGTTCGTCCTCACGTTCTCTGGGGTGAGCTGGTGGGCGAAGGGTTGGTGGTCTCCACCCGGCCTTCCCTCCCTTGGCTGCCGATGGAGGCCATCACATACTCACCGGAGCAGCACAGCGCCACCCACCGCCGTGCCCAGCAGCGACGCCGGCAAGAGATAGCGGTTCATGACGGGCCGGAGCTGGAACCAGCGCGAGCTCGCCCGCAGATCAGCCGCCCCAGTAGCTCCAAGGAGCCGGGGGCCTGAGATCCACGTGGGGAAGGGCAATAGCGGCTAAAACTGGCGGCTTCCTGAAAGGGGCGGGGCGGGACACGGACGAGGGCGGGGCTTTCAGGATGGGACCTATGGGGATGGGCCGTGAGCGTTACTACTTCTGGGAATGGTAGTTTACGGGGCTGGGGGCGTGGCCAAGGCTGTGGATAGTGATTTGGGCGGGGCCGACGCGCTGTTGGAATTACGTCACACTCGTTCTCCTTCGAGTTCTGGGCAACCAAGTCCTGGCCTGTGTGGTTTAGTTGGTTGGGGCGAGCTCTGGTAAATTGAAAGGTGGTGGGTTTGATTCCCGGTCTGGCCACCAGCCTGGATTGCCTTGTTCGCCCCGGTAGAGGCGTGTGAGAGGCAACAGAGGGATGTTTCTCTCTCACATCAATGTTTTTCTCCCTCTCCCTCTCCCTTCCCTGCTCTCTAAAAACAAATAATAATTATTTAATTAAATACTACCTTCCTCGTAGACTCTATGGCTGAAGTTTAGAATTCCTACCAGCCTAGGGTTCGCACATTCCAAGGTCTGGGGGAGGAGGGGCTGGGGCCTGGACTCCTGAGTCTCAGAGAGGAGGGCTGGGCGTTTTGACTCAGAGATTAGGGACCATGTAGCCAAACACTAAGGACTGGTGCTGTATGATTCCAATTATATGACACTGCATAAAAGACAATACTATATGAAAGAATATACATTAGTGGTTGGGGCAGAAGAAATGGGGGAAGTAATTCTTGGAAAGGGAACTTTTGGGGGGGTTGAAAATAGTCTCTGTCTTCATCCTGCTGGTGGTGATATACCTGACTGCATACATTTGTCAAATCTCATCAGAGCATTCACTTAAAAACAGTGAATGTTACTCTCACTGGTGTGGCTCAGTGGATTGAGCACTGGCCTGCAAACCAAAGGGTCACCGGTTCCATTCCCAGTCAGGGCACATGCCTGGGTTGCAGGCCAGGATTCCGGCAGGTGGCATGCAAGAGGCAACCACACATTGATGTTTCTCTCCCTCTCTTTCTCCCTCCCTTCCCCCTCTCTAAACATAAATAAAATCTTTTTTTAAAATAGTGAATAAAATCTTTTTTAAAATAAAATGTAAAATAGTGGATGTTACTACATGTAAATTATACTGTGATAAAGCTGACCAAAAAGAAAAACGATACTCTAGAGATTTTTATAATTTTGTTTTGGAAATTATTTGGCCACAATACTTTGTTTAATTTATGACTGGATCAGCAATCAACAGGCATACTTGAGAATTCTTTGAAATGAGAAATATCTAAGTGGCAAATTGTTTTTTAACGATCCCAAGAGGTTTTTGAATATTGGCTTGGACAATAAAGTCGATGCAGTGTTCTGTTTCCCAGCTATGGAATGAAATGTGTTCACTTTGGTTCTAGAGCTTTTATAGCTTCGAACTACTGATATTTTTTTCTTGGAGAAGTTTGTCTTATTTCTGAGTGCCCTAGAAAGCCCAACAGGAACACTACAGCCCTGGATCTAGGATCTATAATCAGAAACTCAGCCTAGGAATAAGGGAAGACTCCCCAGAGTCTGAATAGGGGAAACCTGAATAGGGTTTTGACGTATGAGTAGGAGTTCTTCAAATGGACCAAGCAGAAAGGTGGAATAGCATATGCAAAATCTAGGAGGCATGAGGAATCTGCTTTGGGAGTGACTGATGTTTGAGACAGTAGAAGGATGGCTCAAAGGGGTGGGGCAGCTGGCAAGACATGTGGCTGAAGAGAAAAAAATTTTTTAAATAGCAAGAATACCAGATCCTATGTATTGACTGCCTAGTATGTGCCAAGTATTTAATGTACATAACAAACAAAAGAATAGATTTGCTGCTGCAGATGTAGGAAGGGCAGCTGGGTCTGGTGAGAGGCCTCTCCCCTTTCTGAGACTGTGAAAAGCCAGGGCTCTTGGGCCATGGAGGGGCAAAGCCAGAAAGGACAAGGTTACATGGAGGCTGTGGTAGGGAACTCCAGACATGGGCCCTGACTGGGTAGTTCAGTTGGTTAGAGTGTCATCCCCATACACCAAGGTCGTGGGTTCAATCCCTAGTCAAGGCACATAAGAGAATCAACCAATGAAAGCATAAATGGGTGGGAAAACAAACTGATGTTTCTCTCTCTCCTTTCCTCTCTCTCTAAAATCAATAAATTTCAAAAATAAAATATAAAAACCCCTAAACAGATCTTGTTTCACATTTCTGATCCACCTCTTCTCAGATGTGTATGTTGATGAGTGACTTCCCCTCTCTCAACTTCTGGCTCTTCTTGCCCACCAAAATGACAAAGAGTTGGTCCCTTTAACATGCAAAGAGTTTTCATGAATCAATAAGAAAAAAAAAAGCTCACCCCCAACAGGGAAAGGGGAACACAGGCAAAGGGTATGATGGGCAATTTGCAAAGAAAATTAGCAAGCATAATGAAACTTCTTAAAATTACTGGGAATCAAAGAAATGTTGGTTAAGATAATAACAACATATTTTTCACCTACCAGATTGGCAGATCAAAACAACAATAAGACTGAGTGTTAGCAAGGATGTGGAAAAACAGGTACTCGTGCCTGTCAAGGGGAGTGTCAAACTAGTACAGCCTTCCTGAAAGGCCATTCCAACACAGGGCGACACTATCTGTCTATATCTTTGACCCAGCCTTCCCCTTGGAAGAACTTACACAACTAATCAGTCATTGAGAAAGAAATGGAGGTAGAAAAATGCTCCTCACAGCCCTGTCTCTCTGCCATAGCAACACACTAGACGCAAATGCAATCAACTTCATTGTCTGTCAGTAGGAGAGGGGTCCCACTCTCTCCCATGCCCACCCCTATGCTCCTTCTACAATAAATACTTAATGAGCACCTGCTGTGTCCCAGGCATTGAACTAGACACTGGGAATTTGGCCTTGAGACACACAGGGTCCTTGTTCTCTCACAGATCCCCTGATGCACACGGTAAAAGTTAATGTGTCTGTACGTGTTTCGGGAAGGACTCTGTCCACAACTTCATGGGCTCAAACGTTTAAGAACACCCGTGAGTTCCTTAAGCGCCAATATAGGTGGGGGCAGGAGAAGCAGACTGACTCTGTTTTTAAGTTTATGTAGTAATGTGCATATTTTTATTTTTTCTTATAATTTTTTAATGATTGACTTTAGGGGAAGAGAGAGAGATCAAGTTGTTGCTCGCTTCTTATTATTGATGCATTCATTGGTTGATTCTTGGATGTGCCCTGACTGAGGGTAGAACTGGCAACCTTGGTGCATCGGGACGAGGCTCTAACCGACTGAGCTACCCAGCTGGGGGAATGTGCATATTTTTAGAGTAAAATAAAGGACAATTTTAAAAGATAAAAACGCCTGCCCTGCCTGGTGTGGCTCAGTGGATTGAGCACCAGACTGCAAACCAAAGGGCCACTGGTTCAATTCCTGGTCAGGGCACATGCCTGGGCTGTGGGCTGGGTCCCCAGTGGGGGGTGCACGAGAGCCAGCCACACATTGATGTTTTTCTCCCTCTCTTTCTCTCTCCCTTCCCCACTCTAAAAATAAATAAATAAAATCTTTTTCAAAAAGAAAGAAAAGTTTAAACCCCACATGATGGGTTCAAATGCTGACTCTGTTGATCCTGAATACAGCATTTTCTCTCTGAGTATTTTTCTCCTAATATCATCTCCCTTTTGGGCAGGGTTCAGCAAAGGTTTTGTGCAAAGGGCCAGAAAGCAGAAGAGCATCTTCAGACGATACGCAAACAATGAGCATGGCTGTGTTCCAATAAAACTTTACTCCCAAAAGCAAGGAGAGGGCCGTGGTTTGCTGGCCCCTATCACCGAGTCTGGAAGGTTGACATGCAACAAGGGCCTAACCTACAGTGAGGGCCAGAGCGTCGCTGGCTGTTCCTGTTATTTTAAAGAGAACAATGCACACTAAGGAACTCCCACCTGATTCCCAGGCACGCCCGAGATGTTTAGAATCTCTCCTTGGACTCCAGGTAGGCTATGCATGTTTATCACTGCGGATGTTCTTAATACATTCTTGCCCTGGCTGGTGTGGCTCAGTGGATTGAGTGCTGGCCTGCAAACCCAGAGGTCACCGGTTTAATTCCTGGTCAGGGCATGTGCCTGGGTTGCCCCATCTGGGCTGCGGCTGGAGTTCTGTGAGAGGCAACGGATTTGGTCGGTGTATCTCTCACACATGGATGTGTCTCTCCTTCTCTCCTTCCCTTCCCCCCCTCTCTAGAATAAATAAATAAAATATTTTTCAAAATAAATTCCTAAGTGTTGGGTGCTGTCCAGGGTGCTGAGAGGATTCTCCCACAATGCCCTCTGTTTTCCCCATCAGGAGACTGACAGTACCCAATTCTCTCTCTCTCCCCCTCTCTCTGCCTCTCTCTCTCTCTCTCAAAATCTGTTGTTTCTAGGAAATATATAAAGTTTTCAGAGGTCAAGGGATAACAAGTCTGCAATGACACAAACAGTCGAGAAAAAAGGGGTGTATGAGGGAGGGACGGAGAAGGATAAAGCAAAAGTCTTTATGTTCACTGTTATCCTCAGGTGCATCTGGCTTTAGTACATGGGAATTTTTTTTGCATTCTTTCGCAACTTTTCTCAAGTCTGAAATGTATTCAAACTTGACCAAGACGACATGTATGAACCTCAAAAACGCTACGAGATCCCCAAGCACACCATTCCATGCGTGTGAAATGTCCAGAATAGGCAAATCCATAGAGGCAGAAAGCAAGGGGTGCTGTCCAGGGACTGGGGGCCGGGAGGTCCGCGGAGCGACTGCTAATGGGTAAAATGGGGGTTTACTCTGGGTGATGTGAAGGTGTTTGGGAACTTGGTGAAGGTGCTGGGTGCTACATCGTGGGTATACTAAATGCTACTGAGCTGTTCACTTTAAAATAGGTAAATTAGCCCTGGCTGGTGTAGCTCAGTGGATTGCTCGCAGGCCTGCAACCAAGGCATCGCAGTTCAATTCCCAGTCAGGACACATGCCTGGGTTGCAGGCCAGTTCCCAGCAGGGGAC